TATATATATTAAATATTATAATATTGTTCGATTCCAACTTTCTTATAATTGGAACCGATACTTTTTATTAATATAATATTAAATGATGTATAATGTATGTATTAAATATGGCAATACTATTTGATGGATACTAAATAAGATATATATTAAATGTGGTAAGAATTAATTTTAACATGTTGAAAAGAATTCTTTTTCCTAAAAAAAAATAACTTTCAAAATTAATTATATGTTCATAGAAAAAAGTAAAATGAAAAAAATATTAAAATTAAAAATAATGTTCTAAAACAATGATTATATATTAATTATTATAACAGTTATTTACTTATAATATAATTTCTATAATATAAATTAAAAATATAAGAAGTCAAGTTAAAGTAATTCTTACTTTGAGAAAATTTATAATTTATTATTTTTAAAGGAGAAAAATAAATACAAAAATTGATAAAGACAATGAGAATTACTTTTTAAATTAGTCATTCAATTATTATTTTAAATATATATATTTGTTTCTACTCGCCGTAAAGCGCAAAACAAGGGACCTGTTGAACTCTCTTACCGAAGTTCCATTCTAATCCATTGAAGTTGAACTCTTGAAATTTTCAATTTGATTGCAATAAACTAATGAACTCAGATATATTGTTTTTTATAACTTAATTAAGGATATAGTCCCATTAATTTGATTTGCACTGTATTATTTAATTATTCTATTAAATTCACCATTAATCACAAGGATAAATAGTATAACAGAGATTGAAAAGGGAATTGTGATTAGTTTATATATATGAGGCACATAGAATCTTGAAACCAGAATACCGAATATGGGATGAATAAAGGAAGCAGAAAATATTTTTGTCAGCAGAAAAAGACAGCCCGTGAGATATAAATACTGCATATTATGGGGCACCAAAAGCAGAGTTTCAGTTGCATAAGGAGACTCCGTGAGAACGAGCCATCCTCACTTTTTTTTTGTTGGCTCGTCTTTGGATTTTAGCAAAAAGTTTTAACTCTGGAAGCGGTCAAGCTCTGGCACTGGGCCTAACGACATTCTCTTGTAAGGTCACTAGGTCCCACTGCTATGAGACCTGTGTCTTTTCTTTTTCAACCATTTGTCATCACCGGTTATGCTAGTCGGCCATATATGAAATCAAGATGTGCTCTTTTACGTGTGCTGAAAGTAGGGTATTTTATCTTTTCAAACAAACAGAAAAAAAAAAAAAAGTTTTATGTCAATTAGATGTATTTTAATTAATTTTTTTATTAATATAAAGAGCGAAATATCTCGAAAATTGAATTTCTAATCATATGAAAATTGTTTTGAATTTACATGAATAAAGCCGAATGAGCGAGGACCATATTTTATAATATTTTCTTTTACAAAACTATGATTTTTTTTTTTTCAATTCTAATAAGACGAGTCTTCTTCAAGTAATCATATGCCATATACAATCACTATGCCAATATAATATTATATATACTATATTTTTTATATATATAATATAGTCAACTTGCAATACGATGCCAAGCAATATTCATATTATATAATAGAATCAACTTGCAATAAATTGCTAAAGCATATATATATACGCTAAAAAGAGGAGGAATCTTAAAGCTCAAATCAAATAATTATATAAATAATAACAACTTGATGTAACATTTGAAAATTTTGAACAGTCCAATTTTCTTTCCCAAAAATTATTACGTGCTTTGCTTTCTTTCTTTGTTAGTATTCACTGATTGAATATTATTTTACAATATTAACAATTAATTTTAATAATTCCTCTTTTCAATGCTTCAATAACATGTGCAGTCTAAGATTAAAAACTTGTAGTTATATTAATGGAAGACTATAGTTTTATTTGAAAGTTTTAGGGATGAAAATCGTATTTTTATCAAAATATCTTGATTTTTTTTTTTTTTTTTTTTGAGTCGAGACATTTTTTATTCAATGGTTTAAAGAATTGTTTCTTAATATGAATAAAAAATTTAATAGGCAATAGCTTTCCAAATAAGACATAAACCTATTTTGGTTTAGCTGTAGTTGGGATTTGATAGAGAGAGAGTAGGCCAAAATTGTGATGGAAAAATCAACATGACTTGTTACTTTCACCAACCCAATGAATGCTCGGAACCACTCTTAGTGCTGTTTCTAAAATCAGTGAAGATCACTCTCAGTGCGTTGCAAGTAACCCCTCCCAAAAACCAACCAAACATGGTGGGTTCCTTCATGAGACATTACAAGATAACAAGAAACCCAAAAAAATTATTAAGAAATTGGATTTTCTATTCTTCAATGTTCCAATCTTCCTTCAACCGTAAACCAGCTCATTTCTTTATGTTTTGTTTAGTGCCATAACGGTCTTCTATTGCGGCTTCTATTAAAAAAAAAAAAAAGGATAAAGAGCACATATAGTGTTATCTTTTGCTAAAATATTTTCTCTCAGAAATTGTTAATTAAAGGGAAAAAAATTGCTAGGGTTTGAATCATAGTTGCTTAGCTTTTAATAATCTGGTGATGCGATAGGCTAAGTGTAAATGGCAAGATTCTTCCCAGCAAATTCCTCCCCTAAATCATTAAAAAAAAAAAAAACCTCTCTTTATATTATTATTAATGGAATATTAATTGATTGCTTAAACCTAACTCTGTTTAAGCATAATTAGTGTTTGGTACCCCTGATGGCATCTTTTCGATAACGGTATTGCAAATTGCATTACCATAATAATAATCTAGTATAATTGGCAATGACCCAATTCCCTTCCTCAGTCTATGAAGGCTGCGATGCTGAAAATGACATCGGAATGGGATTGTTTTAGTATATGGGAAATTTCAAAGAATCAAAATTTTTATATTCGCAGCAAGAGAATATAGAAAATTTTAAAACGTACTTTTCTTCTGAAGTTGAAAGTTCAATCTTCATGTAACAGAGCAAATGCCTATTGAGATTGCTTTACCTTTAACCGGACATGAATAGCATTTAGTTAATACTAAAAAATGAAAAAAAAAAAACTTTTCTTTATAAATTAACTCTTTACAACCAACATATCTAATTTTTTTAATTATAAATCAGATGAGAATACCTAAAATCTCTATCCATGTATGATCTTGATATGTCTTTTTGTTCTGGATCAACCTAACCCATCCAATAACTTGGATGAAAAAGAATCTTTATGGTTATTGAATAACAACATAACATCCACTTGCACTACCCTCCCTCATTTTGAGCAACAATATAGTAGTTAGCGGTGGTGGGGCCGGAGGTAATATTAACAAGGAAGATGGAAAAGTCAAAATTTTTTCCCGGGGTCAAACCACCTTCAAATTAAGATGGAGCCTAAGATGGGCTACAGTGGGCTTTCCTCTGATGGCTTGATCACAAGTTGCGTATTGCGTGAGCCTGACATCATAAATCACATCAGTTTTGCACCTTTCAAAAAGAATAAAAACCGGTCCGACTTGGTTGATTCTAAATTGATAAGGTAGGAACTAGTATGGACGCACAAGTGAACCGCTGGTTTTGGTTAAGAATTGGACCGGTTCTACTCCGGTTTTGGATCAGAACCCATGGCCATCCTTACCTTCTCGTGTGTTTATCCGTCCTTTCAATCATCATATATGCCTTCATTTAATTGGAGAACAAATAAATACACGGGCAATCTACATCTTGTCCCTATAGGAAAATTAAAGAGGCATTCTATTATTGTGGAGAACGAATGATCTCCAGTTTAACTTTTCTGATAATAAGAAGAAAGGGAAGATAACCTTTAGACCTATTGAACTTCCAAAATATAGAAAAAACAAAAAACCGTGAATTAATGATATTGGTGTAAATATAAAAATATTATCCTATTTTTGGTTATTTTAGATAAAGTGAACTTAATTTCAAAGTTTAACTACTCATCATTTTAATATTAGTTCTTTTCTCGTGGAGTTGGTAAGAGGAGGGTCTCTGAGACTTACTGTACCAACCAAATTTCATATCTTTGCTGTGTAAGCAGACAGATAACTTTGATCCCTTCATTGTTGTTGTTTGAATTTGCACTTGATAATCTGCGTAATTGGCATTTGGATTTTCAGATTCCACCTTCTACCAAATGATATATGATTAGCGGTAGTAGTTTCCGTTGGTTTGGTTTGACTAACTGTCAATCATTTTCAAAACTTTACCGTTTCCTTTTAGTTTCCAGTAAATGGTAGTGTATATAAGGACAAAAATCATTTATAATGCAAAAATGGACTGAAATTGTGTCTAGAATGGGCCTTTCGTAAGGGGATCCTACGAGTATCAAAATAGGCCCATTTGTCTTGACAACTTGGTCCCAGACACAAATGTCAATTGCCTTTTTCTTTTCGGTACTAGTCTGATTTGTGAGGTTAAACCGGATAAGACCAGTCTCTTTATCCAAAGCCTTGCGACTTGCGAAGAAAAAAATAAAAAAATGGCAGCTTCGTTATCTGCGTTTTCATGTTCATCGCCACCATGGATGTCGACGCGAATCGTACAAGCTCCTCGTGGTGCATCAGCCTCTTTGTCTCTGTTCACTGGTTCAAGACCAAGAACTAATTTCTCAATGAATGTAATCAGCAACTCCGCTGCTCGCTCTGGACTGCTTCACTGCTCTTTTCTGTCTTCTTCTCTCTCATCACCTTCTTCCTTCTCAGGTAATTGCAATGAACTCAAATTATGCTCTGGTTATTGTTGTTTTTGTTATCTTCTGTTCCGGACATCTTTCGTTGATATTTGGGGTTTGAATTACTTTGATTGTGTGATATTCTAGAGCTTTAAGGTGAAAGATTTTCAAGGGTATCTCTTTTTGGTACTTTTTTAGGAGATAAAATGCACATTTGAATTTGTCAAATTGAGAAGTTAAAATGTCGATAGGAAATGTCTCGAACAACGTTTCGGAATTCTTTGGTTTACCAAATTTTTAAATAATATTTTCTAGGAATATAATTAAAGTAAATTTTGTTTCTTTGAGCTAGAAAATTACTTTGTAAATGCTAAAGAAGCAATTTTGGATAGGTAAATGTTGATGAGCTAGAAAATTACTTTGTAAATGCTAAAGAAGCAATTTTGGATAGGTAAATGTTGATAGACGTTGGGACAATTAATAAAAACTCCTGTTTAAAAATTAAGCTTAAAATGTTAAAGCAGCATTGATACTTTGGATAATTATCCCATTATTTTCCTTCTTTTAGTATATACAGGTTAAAGTTTGTAGCAATAATATACACCTTAAACAGTTAGGTAGCACATCAAATGAGTTAACGTGTAAGTCAGCTTTAATGAGAGAACAAGGACATGTTGAATAATGTAAACTGAAGATACAATTTTACTTGTTGCTAGAGTTTTAAGTTTCTTCTTGTTTGAGGGAAGGTACTCAAATCAAATCTCAGTTGGATTTAGTGCAGAACAGTAATAGAAATATGATGTATATTCACATTGTCAGAGCTTGATGTGCCATGTTCAATACTGGCAGAAGCATTGCAGTGAAAAACTTGAGGAGTTAAAAAAGTATCATTGCATGGAATTAAATTTGCAGGTTTATCCTTGGGATTGGATTTAAATTCTAATGCTGAGGTAAGAAAGCAGAGAGGCTATGGCCTAGTGGTGAGAGCTGGCAAAGCTGCTCTTTGTCAAACTAAGAGGAACAGGTCCCGGAAGTCTCTGGCCCGGACTCATGGTTTTCGTCGACGGATGAGCACCACTAGTGGGAGGGCAGTGTTGAAACGTCGACGTGCCAAGGGACGTCGGGTCCTTTGCACCAAGTCCCACCCCAATTCAGGAAAGTGACTGTTCCTCCATTCAATAGAGTAGGTGCATATGATGAAATTTAATGGTTCCATCTGATTGTTTTGTACACTTGATAACTTTGCAAGCCTGTGTTTAATGATGCCGTTCTATTCTTATTTTTCTGTTTGTACAACATTATGTAGATCAATTCTGGCTGTCTCTGTTTTTTTCTGTTGTCCATGGTTGCAACTTAATGTTTAGAATCTGATTTTTTTTACTGGAATAGAGGATATTCATAGTCGATGCCATTCTTTACATATTATCTGATATTTATCTCTAGGTCAGCTAATTGTCATCATCTCTAGGTCAGCTAATTGTCATCAAGTGATTTGATGTTTACGCTTCATTTTATTTTTCTCCCTCCCCTGGTAGATTATCGCCTGCAGTTAGGACAAGATATTCTTGGATAATTCTGAGAACATCATCCATTTAGGAACTCTTCTTACGATGCATTTTTTTTTTTTTTTAAGTAGAAGTGAAGAATGAAGATGCAAAGCTTAGGCAATCTTCCTGTAAAGTAGGATCTTAGGCCTTTTCATAGGTTGTATTTGGTAAACTATTAGTCGAGGCCATATTATTATAAAGCGCCGAGATGGGGGATGCTGCCTGCACAGCAAACCAAGCAACATATCAAAATTTCAGATTTTATTATTTTGTGTTACTGTTTGGTGCTTTGATGTATAATAGCAAAGAAGTTACCAACATCCATTCCATGATTCCATTTCCAAATCAAACTAAAACCTTCATATCTAGATAAATTGTAGTACAAAGTCCACAGAAATGGAGCTAACTAAAAACATACACAGCAAAGGGGAATCCTAGATGAAGGTTCACCCATCATTCCTTTTCTTTTCTTTTCTTTTCTTTTTTGTCTATTTCTTTTAATAGAAAGATTCATCCATCATTTATGCAGTTGGATAGGAAGGCTGCATGGCAATTCCACATAGGCCTTCTTTAGCATCAATGTCTCTTTGCATTCTAATGTATCCATCCTCACCCCAGCTGGTTCCCCATGAGTTCTTTACTAACCAATACTTAGTCCCATCATCACTTGTCCCATAACCGACTACAGTGACACCGTGGTCTAATTCAGTTCCACAATCTCCAGTAAATATTCCACTCGAGTAGTGTTGGAAGGCAGATTCACCAGCATCAATGGCAACAGAAACTGGTTGGTTTGCCACTGCCATGCGTAAGGCCTCCTCATTGTTTTCTGGGAAACTGGTTGGTTTGCCACTGCCATGCGTAAGGCCTCCTCATTGTTTTCTGGCACATCTTCATAACTTGTGATTGTGGCAGCATGATTTGCTGCTTTCTCGGTGTTGCAAGTTCCATCCTCTGCCTGGTAAGGATAATTTGCTTCAGTCGTAAGGCCATTATTTTGAATAATGAATTCAAAGGCATCATCCATAAGACCACCCTCACAGCCTTGGTCTATTCCACTTGTATCACAGTCAATCAATTCTTGCTCAGAAAGGGAGATCAATTTCTCAGTTGAGAGTTTTGTGATCCCTTCCATAGCTGCCACCGCAGAGAATGCCCAACAACATCCTGCATTTTTGCATGCAATTCATATAATGTTAAGAGGTTTCTTTCTTTTTTCCTTTTCCTATTTTTTTCTTTTATCACAATTCTTAAAGGGATGGACTATCAGGATTTTGAAACCCTGACTTGTTTACATGAAGTCCAAGTTACTTACCACATTGACCTTGGTCTTTGATGGGTGTAACGACTCCTTTGCTTCTCCAATCCAAGCTAGATGGAATTGTAGTGACATTTTCATATTTGAATGAGTTTGTTCCTGATGAGCTTGAATAAGAAGACCTCTTGTATCCATTTCGCGATGCACGAAATTCCTTATTAGTGAGGTCTGTAAATGCATTAATCCCTAGCTTATAAGACTTATTCCCAGCCTTGTTGAAAGATTCAATGAATTTCACATTCTCCCTGAATATCTGAAAGCGCATCTCCTTTTCTGTCGCGTCTTTATAAACACGTTCATGTTGGGCCATCCAAATTTCATGCCTCTCCTCCAACGAAGCTTCATAGAGGGAACGTGACCAGCCTTGGCAAGCACACAACCCCATCACTAACACTGCAACAAAGATTAGTTTGTTTTCAAGTAGTACTACTACAGCCATTGCACCAACTGTGTAAATAAAACAGTGACAATGTGATTTTTATGTAGATAAAGGATTAAAGTTGATTGTGCACATTTTCTCTCTGAGACTACAGGTATTTATAGTTTTGTTTGAAACTGTGTTACACATGATTATTATAATTATTAGTAGTAGTAGCTGGTGGAACTGGCAAGTAGTATCTGATAAGGACGGGTGAAATTATGTCCGTAGAAGATGCGTTACTTCAGTTTTCATTGTTCTAAGGAGCTGTTTTTTCGTTTTATTTCAAACTTTATTTAACTAATTATTAATTTCTTATTCATAATTTCAAAAAAATGGATTTGGTTTACATTAGACAATTTAAGAGCAAACGGACCTGTAGGGGGAGTATATTGTTTTGGATTTGTCTGTTGTGCTATCCTCAGCTTCTTGTTCATGTCTTTGCTTCACCTCAAATTTATTGAAAATCCATTTGTAGGTGTGGTTCGTATTATGTTGGTTTGATTTGTTTCTGTTGTTTGTTTATTGTCCATCGAGCTTTTCTTGTTTCATTTATTTCGTTCGCTGTGGGTACTATTGCTTTACGCGGTTTGCTTCGCGTCGGTAAATTTACTTTGAATGAATCCTAGTTGTATGTATTTATCGTCATTTGTAAAAGGATTTGAAGAAGTTTGTGCTAATTGTTTATAGTTCTAGCTTTTATTATCTCTCCTGGGTTATCAACTTTCCATTGTGCTATCTATATTCTTCGTCAATAGGTACCTCCTTCTGTGTCTTAGCTTTATGTTATTTCCCCAGAGGAGATTTGGTGAATATAATATTTTCATGAAATATTAGTTTGTGGCGAAGTGGTTATGAATATACGGTGCGCGTTGGTACTAAAATTGATAAATATTCGGTTATGGAATTTTTTGGTTGTTTCTTAGTCACCTTACTTTGTCTATGTTTCGTCTGTATATTCATGTCTTCATTATTTCTAGCGGGACGTGTTTTCATACAAGTGTTGGGCTCTTTCAGTTATTCTCCGCCCGAGTCCATTTGAAAGTCATATTGATGTGTCCTTCCGGAGTTTTCTGGCAAGCCGGATAAATTTTGGCATCTCCACTACTTGTCATATCGGCCTCCGGTGAAGGGATTATCGAACAAATTAATATATTGATATATAAATTCTACAATATAGCTACAATTGAAAATACTATTAAATCATTGTAAGATACATGCTGATTTACCCGTTAACTCTTTGGAATCAATGTTACTTAATGACATATTATTATCTCCTATAAAACAAGAGAAGCTTTCTATTTCTTTTTTGCATAAATACTGCTCTCTTTTGGAATAATATTTTTGCATATTTCTCTTCTATCCCATGATTTTATCCACGTGTTTGATGGGTGACGATTTTTTCGTCTTTTTATCAGATTTATATTTTCCACTGTTCTCTAGCTTTGTGGCGAATGATACTACCTATAATCCTCTCTATACACGGGATATAGACCGTGTTAACACCCTACCATTATAATCTCTAATCCGTATATGCAAGCTTACCTCTTCTTTATCATAATGGATATCATATCTTTCTTTCTACCTTTTGCGAATTGATACATTAAACAATTGCATTAACTAGTGTGTATCTAGCTCCAGGCAATCACTCCATTGACTTCTTTAAGCGTTTGCTTTATCAAGCAATATTTTTATTTATCTTTAGTTCCATCGTGTATATTTTTATTTTGAATAATTTCTATTTTGTAAACCTGATGTAATATTTTTGTTCGTCTGGCTTTGGTAGTCCGTACATGTAGATGAGCCCACCACAAAAGTGAGGACCATAAGGTATCAGATATATACATTTACTACTCGAAAGTTATTCTATTTTTCACAATTGGTGATATTTCATATTTTCAAAAAATTGCTAAATAAGAAGGGACACTCGCACACAATCTGCTACTTACTTCAATCAACATTAAGAAAACATGCAATGCTTATGTTTATAGTATGCTAGATTGAGTTTTTTACATGTAAATCTAATATATGTGGCACGCCTTATTAAGCAAAAATCTTAGGAATGTGTAAATGTGTGATTTGGACACAATGTGAGGAAATGAAAAGTTCTCATAAATTAACATGATATTTATTATATAGATATTGACCCACATTTTCATAACTTAGGTAAACCTTTTACTCTCATTTCTGCACACATAAAAACTGCATGCAGTACTTAAGAGAGTTTTTTAATATTCAGATGTAAGAAGTAATAGCGTATGTGATCACATAGCAAAGGTTCCATTTCTAAAGTCAATATTTTTGGACACAACTAGAGAATTACTCATTTTTCGTCTTATAAGACAGCAATTAGACCCCTTATCCTTTCTCATTTCTTTCCATTTTATGCCTGAGCCCTACCTCATTATATTTTCTTAATCTATCGCAGTCCAATGGGGGATAAAGGATTATGGCTCCATCCGCAAGTTCGCCAATTTCCCACTACCACCACACAAAACCATAACTATAAGGGATCCTGCCATCACTTTCCGGCGTCTAGCGATTTCACCAATTATATCTCTCTAACTCCTTATGTAATCTATCCATATGGTGATTTCCCAGTATGTTTCTACCAGCTCCTCCAAGAAGTATACCTCTCACTCGCATTAAATTTTACTTCAACTCAAACCCCAAATGATGACTATGTGGTACCACATTCACTGGGAGCATATGGGTGCCACTACAGAAGCCCCAACTGGTGCAGTAAACATCAATACCATTGGCGTGTCCTAGACGTAGTCAGACTTTCCGCAAGTTGTTCTCTTCGGTAAAGTCATACTTGCCACCTGAGTACGTATCCAACTATAGAGAACATACCAGGTAGTCGCCACCTATTTTGAGCCAAAGGATCAATGGCTTACAGAAGCACTATCGTGGTCATTGGTTATGGCGTACCTAGGCTATTACGACATAAGGCCATCTTTTGACCTTACCTTAGCTGATAGAAGCCTCCAGTCCTCTCCTATTTCTAGTCATCAAGTTGACAGAGAGAACTTCAATGTCAGTGTCGTGCACTTCAATACGTGGATCTTATATTGCTTTTATTGGCGAGGTAATTGGATTGAGATTTCTATAGTCTCAGTTCCTTGGTAGGGTAATTGGCCATTTTTTCTTTCCATGAATTTCAAATTGTCATCAGTCCACTCCAAGTAGTGTCTAGTCCTCCCACATTTCTTTTCTGTTCAAGCCTTGAAATATTCCTTATACTAATGACCAACTTTGCATGCCATATCAACGAAACTCACAACAAGTTCCTTTGCCCTCTCATCGCAAGAAGAGAAAATCACATTTTTGCATAGTCTTTGAGCTCACACTTGTGTCACAATCAACAAGTATGTCTTTTTGCTTTGCACTATATCATGCCTTCCAATATAGAGGGCAGCAACACTCAAAAATTAGTAATCACCTAGTGTCCAGCTGAACAGTCCTAAGCTATATGGTAATTTGTCGTGTTTCTCACAAAAGTGCGAAAGCCTCAACCAAGCATAAAAAATGTACCTCAGGATTAACAACTATCCTATCTACTTATTAGTGCTTGTGTTTCTAAAGTAAAAAACGCATGGTATAGTATGAACATATATATGAAGAATATATAATTTATACCCTAATAAGCGTAAAACTAACTTATGAGTTGAGTCTCATGAATATAACCAAATAAGAATATACATTTGGCGGGTGTCTCTTTGTACCTGTGGAACGTCAACAGCTCCATTTTGTGTGCCCTCTCTGCGTGTCCCTCATGATTCCCGGCGAAGTTGAAGAACAGCTCCTGTGTGACAGCGTGTCTCGGACTCACTTCATAGTCGCATTTTTGGCAATAGTTGTGGACATAACAGCGGCGAGACAGCGTCTCAAGTATTTGATCTCTATACTTGCAAATCTCGCACAGGACTCAGCGTTTTTTCATGAATGTCACATTTCTTAGAGAGGCACCTTAAACTCACGTAAGCTATCCATTCTTTATCACTTTATCAGCTCTAGTTGCAAATCTCTTACATTGATATGCATAGCGCTTATATATCTAACTATGCCATTATATTCCCCTTATACCTTATTTAACTTAGAGTTTCACAAATCCTCAATTGGAATAATCTTTTATACCACAGCTTTAGTAAATTCTGCAATTATATTCCTCGTATAAAATCTCCTGTCAGTTTTCAACTCCAAGTTACTCTCTGAGCATTAGACTGAGTCTCCCTTACATGTTAATAATACACCGTTGATTAATGTATATTAAGCCATCCAGCGTTATCTCTCTCTTCTATCGCTCTCGCGCCATCTTGTCTCTTTACTAAAATCCACCGGTTTCATTCTCATTGTAGAATTGGTACTGTATGCCATCCAAAAGCTAGACTTTTTCGATGCCAGATCTGCACAATTGACCGCCCGCAAGTGGCAATTTCATTCTAACACTTTGCATACGAGAGGACGAGTAGCAACCAAGATTTGGGTCTTTGTAGTACTAAAGACAAGAAATTGGAAAGGCCATTCCCTCCAGTCCATCTGCTGAAACAACGTGCGAAGGAGAAAGTAAAGAACTAAGAGAACTCCAGTATTATGTATTTTCAAGATTTGAAGTGAGCGCGAAATTTTCATATGTTGTACTTTGTGTGCAGCAAGCGCACCGCGAAGTTAGAATAACCGCATCTAAGAGGAAGGTCTAGTTCAATAATTGGTATAGGATATTTAATTGTGAGTATAACATTTATTATTAATGGTGCACCCGAGCTTCCTTACCATAAAGGTCCTTAAAGGAAGTGCTGTTTCAATGGATAATAATGTCAGAGTCTTATTAACATTGTTGAAGTAAATTGGTTACTATTCCCCGCTTTTATGACTATTGATGGTGGTATGGATATGACAATCTGAAATTCAGAGCCAGGATACCTTCATTTTATGTTTTGAATGGTTAACGACTGTGTTCCTGTTCACGTTCTACCTGTAGTACTTTGATTAACGTTCCATTGTGGGTGGAGTCACCAACCAAAATATTCAGCTTTTCATTTTTTGTGTCCTTAGTTCCGTGCGAAGGACATGTTTTACTGTACTTCTTTATGCATATGGCTTTCTTGAGGTACCTACGTTTCCCTTATTTGTTTATTCTGTAACAATAGTTGTGTGATGTTTGGCTTGTCACAATGTAAGTAGGAGCTAAAAAGAAACGGTACTAGTAGATATATAGAATTGTAATCTATCTGAGTACCATTGAAAAAATAGAAAGCTTAATCAAAACCTTAACTAATATTTGGTAGTAACATAGTGGAGAAGATTTACAACAGTTAATATAAATGGTCAACACAGTATCAGAGCACTGTATGATGTTCCTCCAGTCCATGGAAGTTGGGACAGCGGTGACATTTTCATACTTAAACGACAGCGTCTCAGATGACTTAGCAATAGAAGATCTTTTATATCCATTTCTAGAGGCCTTAAACTCTTCATTACTTAAGTCTGCAAATCCATTGATATCTAGCTTGTAAAGCTTATTCCCATCCTTATTAAAAGATTCAATGAACTCCACATTATTCTTGAATATGTTAAAGCGTTTCTCCTTCTCTGCACTGTCTTTATAAACACGTCCATATTTAGCCATCCACATTTCATGCCTCTCCTTCATGGTTTCATTTTGTAGAGGACGTGCAAAGGCTTGAGATGCAAAGAGCCCCAGCACCAACACTGTCACAAAAACCAGTTTGTTTTCAAGAATTGAAGCCATTCTTCTTGGTGGAGGAGGAAGTAAAGACTAGAGAGTATATAATGTAGGATATGTGTATTTTTGGCACACTAGTCCTTAAAGAGCTGTCATGTATTTATAGAACATATAAATTGGCTTCCTTACAAGAGATGTCTGAAATTGCAGTCTTATGTTGAGTTAATCCCGTTAGTTGTGTATGATATGGACAACCAAAATTCAGTTTCTTGACGCTGTTTCCTTCTACAAGCTTTTACGTTCCATTGTTATCTACTATTTGTCTTGTTATGAGAAGAAATGTATTTTGTCTTGAGGACCCTTCTTTTGGAAGTGGATTTGGTTCACAAAGAGATGGCTAACGGTCCATAAGATATAAGAAAGAAATACAAATAAAAATAAAGTTAATAACCAAAAATGAGTACTGGAAATTTACAACTAGTTAAATAAACCGTATCCTGTAATTCTACAAGAGAAGAACACTCAAAAAGTGGTATAGCGAAATAGATTTCCTTTGATTGCTCAGTATGAAGTAATGTAAAAAATAACATTGTGGATATTTTAAAAGATAGGTTTCAATTTTTTTAAAAAAATTTGAAATGTAAAAATAAATTTTATTAATTAAAAATATTAAATTTGTTTTTATTATATTGTTGAATATGAGAAGCCTTTTTTTTTTTCCGTAAAAAAATTTGAGCACATTTGATTTTTAAACTATGAAATTGTTCCTAGCTCTAATGGGTTTTTTACCCGGTCGTCTTTGAAAAGACAGTACTCGATTATTCTTTTAGCCAGTCGTCTAACGACAGGTCGTCGGTTCTTCCCAGCTTTCACGCAGTCGTAGAACGAGAAGACCTTCCTTTTGCAAATATGTAAAATTTCATCTCAACTCCCATCTCTTATCATCCGTTGAATTGCTTTTGCGAACTGTAAATATTGATCCCTAAGCTTTGCATTGGAAAGACTAGCACTTTGCGGTGGTTCAATTTTTTATAAACGGTAATATCAATTATGAGAAAGACGGTTAGCAGAGGATGAGAATTGATTCTAGTCCAACCACACTGGAAGAGTTGGAAATCAACAAGATAAAAACGTAGTCGTTAATGCTCGTTAACTATCTAAGATAAAGATTAGAAACAAATTGAAATCTATGGTCATTTTAGATACTATACTGTTGGATTTCCAACTCCATTCAATGAGAATCAAAATGCTGCCATGCAACCGAATTAGGTCTTCTGCTGATGTTGAACAATATCCCTATTTGTCCTTCAATCAATTGACAAATGAGTTCAAATCAGAAGTAGGAAAAATTTACCAGCAAATCACAAAATACTTTCAAATATAACCATGAATTAACAAGGTACTGCTGATATCTGACCTGTCGAACTTGTACCTTAGAAGAGACATATCCCAGCACAATGACTTTGCTTGCTGAATTCCGTTGCTTTTGTCAAATCATTTGTTAACTCTGTATAGTATTTGAGCTTATGTATCTGCCTACCAAATTGGCTAGGGCATTGATTAATGACTTTGGGTTAAATATTATACCGGCTTTTGGATCACGAATAGAGTCGACAAAGATCTGCAAAATAAAATAAATTTTCCAGGTCTTTTGATCAGCGAATAGAGTCGACAAAGATTCTGCAAAATATAAATAAATTAAAAAAAAAAATTGTAAGTAACTCATGAAGTAACGGTATGATGAACTATTTTAAAGCAATGTGTCTGCTTATACTTTGCCCAATCCTAGTAAATAATCAAGTGCAAGATCAGAAATCTAAAATAGATATAGCACTTGAATATCCAAAGTAATTCAAATCATTTTCAGAGTTTTTACACTTATGAAAATAAAGAGTACTATTGCCCATCCCTAGTAATAATCAAGGCAAGATCAGAATCCTTAAATAGAAAGCACTTGATAATCCAAAGTAAATTTCAAATCATTTTCAGAGTTTTACACTTGAAATAAAGAGTACCTACTCTTGTCAAACTTATTTTCAAATAGATCACAAACACTTCAAAAACATATTGGACTTAGAAGATGATATGAAGGAAACATGTTTGAAAATACTATTCAAAGAAGCGGTAGCAGGCAACATACCACATTAAAGATTCCATGGGAATTCAAGCAATGAACATCTATGGGAATTTCACCTTCTTTGGGAACTAAAAGTGTATTGATATACTGATTTGGCTGCACAGAAACATCAATAGCAATAAATAACATGTCCCTTCACTTATATTTGTTTGTGATTGTTATTTGAGATTTTTCCACATTAAACATTTACTTTTTCTTCGCCAAATAATTTAGAAAAACATGAAAAGAATTTCCTACCAAAACAAGCACCTCCTACAGACAAGAATGTAACAGCCATTGAGTATGAGGCATTTTAAACAGTGATTCCATAAAATCCACTTACAGAGTTTTCTAGACAATTATGAGGATCTCCATATTTCCGATTTAGAGCATCTGCAATGGCAGTAACAAAGCAAGAAGCAGTGAAGCCACTTGTCTCTCGGTCATGCGTGCCATTCAGCAAAAGTACCTAAAAATAGGAAAGAAGTAAAAGAATAGCTTAAATCTTACAACTATATGTTCAACATTAAATCTAGATAGCAATCATGGTTTTTTTTGGAACTTCTGTTAGATTCCAATTTCATGCAAACAATCTAGCAAGAAAATACCCTCTTGAATCAATTCCAAGAAGTGCAGTAGCTCGATGGACAAGTACCTTGGGGCAGGTTCTTGAAGAGATAATTTCCCCAATGCCACGTAATACCTAAATATAAACTATTGAAATTGTTAATGCATAAACAAATCTCACATTTCAATCAACAATATGTCTTACAAATAATAGAAGATAAAAGCAAAAACATCAACCGTTTGATGGATGTTAAGTGGACAAAAAAATCTAAATAATTTGTTGGGAGAACATATTGATAGAAAACCAAATTTACTGTAAAGAAACTTCTTCATATTTTTGTATATGAAATCGATCCAAGTTGCAGTTGGTTGCAACCTTTATTGCTGCATTTATTGATTGGCCAAAAGAAATTGTGTCAATACAAGGAAACACGGGGAAGGGAAGCATCATTGCATGCATAACTGATAAGTAGCATACAGTAAAATATGAAACTTTTCAAGGCTTTTTCAGTCTTTTCTATTGGTCTTTTAGGATCAAATAACCAAAATTTCATGGTATAGACAGTTTCAGCATGTTTGTAATTAGAAATATGAAAAAGAAATTTATAAAAAATCAGCTAACTAGCTATAACTTAAGGTGATAGTGAGCACAATATACTTTTCAAAGGCACCCAAAAATGCACACATAATTAGCCGTCATGTTTCTCAGTGTTGCTGCCTGCCAAGAAGGTTACTCCCAATCGATCAATATTCTCGCAAAAAAGAGGTGTGCTTTCATAAATAACTATTATACTATAATGCCAATAAGGAGGCTTGTACAATCGCAACAATTAAAGAGCACTAGGAATAACCCATCTTCTGTAAATTAGCAATTCTTCATCATGCTGTGGAAAGAAAGAAGAAGGGAAGATAATTCTCATGGACAGTCACATTACCAGTGATGGACATATAGAAGTAAATAGGGACCCCATAGCATAAACAATGCAATCCACATTACTCAATTGGTCCAGCACAGATGAGTTAACGGTGGGAAAGACCTAATCAGTCAGAAGAGAAGGCAATTATTACAAGTTCAGAATATCATAAAGTACAAATATGAACAGCTGAAGCACATTTCTAATCCATCAGTATATGTCACACATAAAAACATGCAATGTCAATGGGTACATGGAACCATAACACATACAAGAATATAGAATCACACATCGTATCAAAAACCACATATATAGAAGAGGAAAAAGATCGAACTAAGTATTCCATATATCTGAAGCTCCCCATGTTACAATGTGCAATGCAGAAGATTTAACAAAGTAAGCACATAACAGATAATCCATGTATCTGAAGAAGAAAATCAGCATTTCCAGCTGCGATATCAATAAGTAATGACTAAATAACTGTACACATTGCAAGAGACCAAAATTACAAGTATGAATATTATCAAAGTAACAATGTGAGAATTCAGGCTCTAGCACTATGGATTAAGTATAAAAGAAGCCATGGAACGAATGAGTGACAACGTCAGAAATAAGTATTGGTCAATAGCACAACATAGCATCAACAAGAGACATAAGAAAGGCCAATAAGCAAAGACAAAATCATCTGCTATATAAGAAAGAAACAATGAAAATGTACCATTACCTCATGCAGCGAATTCCCACCCTCACTTGACATGTAGAACACCCTCTTTATTCTTGAAGGAAGCTCTGGAACTGAAGAACATTCCTGTGCATAAAATTTTCTTCCAATAAGTTAGTAATATATTAATCAAGTGCATATTCATATTGAAAATTTTATCATAACTGAAAAACTCAATCCGTATCTCATGTACCAAATTTTCTGCAAATCCACTAACTAAATTGTTATTAACAATATTTCAGCAAATGGTTTCAAATAACTGGGTTTCAAACTTTAAAGCATATTATTAATGATAAAAAAATGAAATGATCCTATTATCATTATAAGAAATAGACTAAAAGGTCTTCAGCCAGAATATCATAGCACCTTCACCACAACAACACCACCATGACCACCACATAGCTGATGCTACCAAGCACAGAAAACAGCTGTCTTTATCACATGAATGGCAACCACGTCGCTACCATCATTACAAATAAGCACAAAGCACTCACAGTTTGAAATCTTTTTATAAATATTCTTCAATAAACACATGATAAGCCAATACAGGAGGAAACTATTAGAATATCGTATTCCAATCATCAAATAACACTGGGATACCTTATCGACAGGTTGCATGGTACCACTGGCGGGATGAGAAATCTCATTCTGACCTCGTATCACAGTCCCATCCTATCACAAATTGCACAATGAATGAAAATGAAATGATCAGAAATTTGATTTCTAGCATTAGTCTTGCAAAATTCATGGCAGAGTTGCAAGAGTTAATGGTGAACCAGTGGGCAATCATGTGAGTAAAAAGGACATGTATTTTACAAGAATTAGTATATAACATCTTCCACAATTGCAAAAATCAACAAAGCAAAATAGATTATATGCAGGAAAAACTTGGGAAAATGTAAAATCATGTACACATAAAGATATGCCAAAAATGTCATCTCATACTCATTGAAACATAAACTGAAAATAATACCCATAATTCACATCCCAACGTAAGCCTATCATTTGTTGAGATCACAGGGAGGACCAAACTTTGTGGTGGAATCTCTGAAACACGTGAAAACAAAAATATTGCAGCATCTAAAGACTGAAAAAATATGCGTGCTCCTGCAAAGAAAAAATTCCCAATGCTGCAAAAGTGATTGATGTCAGTGAGGCCACGAGATGTCAAAAAATTGATTGTGCATTGAAGAGAAAATGCCCATTCATTCTACAATATCTTTGTTATCACCGTACATGCCTTTATAAAGTCCTTTTTACATGTAACTGTGAAGCAAAATTGGAAAAAATGCAAAAAGATTGTAAAATAATATCATTAGAAAGCCTTGACAATAAAAGAAAATTGTCCTTGGTCCTCACATTTTAACTTGCAGCGGAAACTGCAAGAACGTGCCAGACATTCTCAAGATCACAATGAAATCCCACAAATTTCAAGATTTATACCTATCATTTATACTTGCGTCCAAAAAACCAAAACCTTCAAATTGTGTTTCCATAAAAGACTTGAAATAAATCAAAAGGATGTAAAACATCCCCATTGAACAGAACAATCCACAGGCAAAGATTATGCTGTTAGGCTGCCTATGGAGTTCCATGAGATACTAACTAGCTGAGATTCATCCACTAAGGACTACTTTAACCTAGTATTTGTCCATGAAATGTCCAGAGAGGATCAGAAAAAGAAATGTTGGAAGTTCTCAGTATGTCTGCTCAAGCACAAGCATACACATGCATGCATACATTTGTGTGTGTGAGGGGACAGAGAAAGAGAGACAGCAGAATCCATGAAATACGCATTAAATTTTAAAATCCAAAGAGCACAGTGAAAAAACCTAACCACTCATACTAGGCAATAGGAAGCTAATTCCATCATTAAAATTCAAGAACACGGTCATCGAAATTCCAAGTACATAAAGATATTTAAATGATCCAACAAACCAGAAGCCTCCTTTCATTTTTCAGATGATAACACCCTAGTAATATACATACAAATAAAATGGGAAAAGTACCTGCCGTTGCTATAGCAAAATGATTCATTGGGCCGACGCAAGATCTGAGTTCAAAAAACATACAGTAGTTTCATACTTAGCACTACGTCAATAAGTTCTAACTAGTAAAAGGATGTGGAAACAAATAACATGATAATTGCAATAAAATTGAGCACGTTCAAGAATTAAGCATTTCGACTCCGCTCTTCAAAGCCTTTTCACAAATTCTTAACTACTTCATTCTTCAAATACCAGTTCTTGTCAATTGAACAACAAAGCCATGATTGTGTTTCACATGAAAATAATGCAACATAACGGAAAGTAAAACATAAAATCAATCAATGCTACAACAACAATTCAAAAAAAAAAAAAAAAAAGGCAGAAAAAAATTTTCCTTCTATAATTGGATATGGTTCAATAATATGAGTATGAACCATAGCTCGTCAACAGCAAAGCCAAAGGCATCGAAACAGTATATCTCACATAAAACAAGGAGATTGATTCTCAATAACTATAGGTTGACAATCTGGTAATGCTTCCATATTAGCCTACCTCATTTTGGAAATAAACCAAGAAAGCTAGAATTGTTTCTCTATATGGCCTTGATACACCTGTCCATAAAGAGTGTTCTCCTTCAACGATATTATACCTGTCAAATTCTCAACTCAGCATACTATAAGTCAATACTCCCACCAAAGTTATACCTAGTAAGTACATGAGAGTAGTTCAGGGTATAACCCCAAAAAAGAAAATAACTTTTGTCAATAGATTAAACTTATCCAAAATGACAAGACAGCTGTTATAACATGACATATCAAATTGAATACAAAATTAATTCCAAAATTCCGTGAGACCTTCTGTCAAATTTGGCACACCAACACTTGCTCACACAAAAACAGAGAAAAAGAGGAAAAGTAGTAAAGAAGGAAAAAAAAATACTCAAATTTCTTTGGAATTATATCTAAAACATAATGTCTAAGCGCATGATTAACAAAAAAAAAAAAAAAAAAAAAAAAAAAAAAAAAAAAAAAAAAAAAAAAAAAAAAAAAGAAGGAAAAAAAAATAACTCAAATTTCTTGGAATTATAATCTAAAACATAATGTCCTAACGCTTGATTAACACAAAAAAAAAAAAAAAAAAAAAAAAAAAAAAAAAAAAAAAAATAAAAAAAAAAAAAAAAAAAAAAAAAAAAAAAAAAAAAAAAAAAAAAAAAAAAAAAAAAAGCTTTATCAAATGTAAATGAAGTAAAAAAACAAAACAAATGAATTGCAGCAGCATAGTTGGGTTCACTACCATTCTGATTTGGCTCGAGGTGCATCCAGAGGTAATCGATGACCAAGCAACCTTCGGACAGCAAGAGCCTCAGCAGTGCTTTCATCAGACAATCTTAAGCATCTAGACCGGATGTCTCCAACAGCAGGACCACCTAAAATTTAACCAATCAGTTAAATTACATTAAATGAGACAACGTAACGCCAAATTAAACAGGATGTTTCCCAGAAGTAGGAAGGAAAATCAATAAACACAAGAAGAGACGCTTTTCAGTATACACGTTTCACATTTCTGTACAGGCATATCATTAACAGAGACTCATGTCTATGAAATATACCAAGCACACGAACAATCTCGGCAGTGCTGCCTCCATCATCGGAAACAGGCAGCACATGGGCAACACGAGTCGTTAACTTCTTAAGCTCTTCCACAACTCCATTAAATGCAGTACCACCTGCAGCAATGGCAGTATCAATTCAAATAAACAAATTGCAAATCGAGATGCAATTACATTTTCCTTTATTGCGAATACAATGAGATTGCATTGAAAAGATAGAGACCTGAGAAGACGAGCAAGGAAGGTTGGTTGGGCCTAGGGCTGAAGTCCGAAGAGGAGCATGGGCATTGAATGGAAGCAGAAGAAGCGGAAGTAGCCATTGATAGATGTTTGGATTTGGATTTTGAATTGGAAAGGAATGAGAAAGGAAGCCTGGGAATGTGGAGGAGAGGATTCGGTTTGATTGTTGAGGGTCCCAACCATACGTCCGCCATATTCCCGCGAGTTCTGATAGTATCGCCGTGAAAATGAAATTAAAAATTTGTTCCAGTATATGATGTAATGTAATTTATTCAAAATTAAATTTTAAATTGTGTAATCTTGCTGGTCTCCTGTCTCTTATAAAATAAAATGCAGGAAGTGAAAGTTACTAAGTTACTATGGGAGTGAAAGTTTTTGATTTCTCTCTAAAGTTATGATGTTATTCAAAGAAGAAAATTTTTTTTCCCTATATAAAAAAAATTTAAATTGTTATAATATTTTATTTTCATAATTAATTAAATTACAGTAAATTTAAAATATTTAAGCAACTAAATGTTTTATGGTATCTATTTATTATCCATTATACTGTTAAATTTATTCGTTTATTTTAATCGATTATACTTTAAAAAAAATAAAATATTATTTATCATATTACTTTATGTTTTTATTGGAACAATTTTATTCAACTAAGAGCTTTCAATTTATAAAATATTAGTATTATTATTTTAAATGTTTCATTAATTATTTGAATGATCTTGCCCCCATCAAGAAGAGTTATCATTCCAAAAATATGCATGAAAAAAAAAATCAACATCCAGCCGTAGATTATACAAAAAAATTCCTTCCACTGCCAAAAGCAGCAGATTTCCTCAGCCTTATAAGTGTAACGTTCACACTCTCTCTACAGCAATTAGAGCCATGGTGGATCATTTACTCTGAAACAAAATATTGACCTACTTTATTTGCATGTTTGAGATGACAAAAACACTTGGAAGTGCCAAACTCAACAAGCAATAATAAGTTATCTAGATTATTTCCCAATCAGATTCACAAATTTGATGATTTGATGGAGCAATAATAGATGATGCACAACCTTCCTCCTGTTGACAAGATCCTAGGTCTGAACTCCCATACCAAGCATGCCAGTCTTGATCTTTCTTTGATGCCCTCATTTTCTCAGTGAAAGTCTTCTTGAATATTTTCTAAATGAAAAGAAAAAGAAACATCTACTGTTAAATTTCCACACTTCCAGAAATAGAATAGCTCTTTCTAAACTCTAAACGGTAATGCTTTAAATGCAATTTGAAATGGTTGTATACTTCAACAAATTATGAGGAACTAAATTCATCCAAACAACACAGAAGTATAGAGAGAGTGAGAGAGACATGCCTTGTAAGATCCGTGTCTTTCAGCTTCATGAGAAACAGAAGAAAGTTCACTCCTATCTACTAAGATGCAACTTTCATCAAGCTTTAGTTTTTGAGACGATCCCACATTGATGATATCATCAGTGGAATTGTGTGATTTTCCTGTTACAATGTTAAAAAATATAATTACATTCTACTGTCACAAGGGTCAGCTAAATGAAAAATTAAAACAAAATACATAATACAACACCTAAGACAGTGATTATGTTTCATTTAGAATCAGAATCTCTTCTTCCCTCCTAATCTCTCTCTCTCTCTCTCTCTCTCTTCATTAAGAGATTGGAAAGTGAATGACAGTTGGAAAACAAAATTATAAGACATTCAAGTTTCTACTTCAAACACCAAGTAAACTGGTTAAATTCCTACATTTTAGAACTGAGGACAAAATACCTAGTACCCGTACTATTTAAAGTCAAAAATCATCCATCAATTACTACATATTGATAAAACTATAACAAGAAAAAACAAATTGAAATAAACTAAGAAACAAATCAGCAAGAAAAGCCACATTGTGATGTGCATGCTTTAAAGTATGGAATCCAATTGAAACATTCAAATAACCGTTCGTAGGGAGAAACTATGAGTTCAGATTTGGCAAAATTGTTAAAACAGCTCAAACTCATACAGAGAAGGTCAGCCAATGCATTACAGATTAGGAAAAGTAAAATGAATTAGAGATATATCAAAATGGTGAAAACACTTACTGATAGATTCAGCTGAGGCATCGTCAGAGGTAACTTCTATATCCAAGACCTCAACTCCACAGGATGTAACCAAATTATCAGAATCTGAAGATGGCACAACATCAGGAGTTCTATTTGTGAGAGAGTTATTCTCTAGTAGGTCATCTGATTTTGGGCATAATACTTTCTTTTCTGGGGTAACGCCACCAGATATCTCAAGGTCAAGTTGCTTTTCCTCAGAATCATGTAGTGAAACCTTCACAAGTTTCATGCAACATGAGTCGATTTCCTTTTCGAAGTGTTCTACATCAATTTTAACCTTGCCAATCTTTTGCCCTAAAGTAGAGTCATGAGGTGCACCTTCCTCTGTACCCACAGAAGACTGAGGGAGCGGCTCTTGCTCAAGATCAGAGCAAAATTGCTTCACATTATCACCTACTGTCTCCGACTGGTTTTCTATATACTGAATCCAAGTGCAATTAAAATTAATAGAGCAGCGAGAACAAAAACAGAAGCAACATCAACGCATTACAAGAACATAAACTGTTGAAGATAAGTTTAATTGCGAATAGTTTATATGAACTGTTCACTTGTACTGGGCTTTTATTTCCTTTTGACAAAATAAGTTACCTTATTCCTAAAAAATGTAACTCAATCAGAAATCATCCACCAGAACTTCAGAAACAGAAGACAATTCAAGCATTCAACAATAAAAATTCAAACATACATGTTAATTTAATCCAAATTACCAATGCAATAATTTTTTTAAAGAAATTGCATTATAGGACATCTTAAAGTTGTTACAAGTACCATACCTCTCGCATGATATCATCCACCTCTGAGCACATAGCTTCAAACTTGCGGTATATGCTTCCGATCCAGGATATACCTTCAATTGCATTATCCATATCCATCTTTTGGAGGTAGAAATAAGCAGTGGTATTTTCTTCACCTCCTACGGGAAGAAATAAAAACAGCAACAGTCAAACTATTGAGCATATCAGGTCAAGCAGTTAATCTAGTTACAATACAGGACTACAAACACCTGACTGTGTCATCAAAGCATAAATACAAAGCAGATAGAACAGGAGGATTTGAATCAGAAAGATCACAGCTTTGGAATTCTAAATATTGATTGAAACAATTACAGACAAAAATTGCGAGTAATTTAGGGATGTCAATAGCAAGTGCCTCGAGATTACAGTAAATAACAGGGAAAGAAAAAAAAAAGATGATGAACAGATTCTGAATTCATGTAATTATTAAAAAATTCTTCTCTTTTCTACTAACTTTATTAAAAGCACTCAAAAAATACAAATTCAGAAAGAAATTTGTTTTAATAATTAGAGGCCCTTGGGTGGAAAAATTGTAAAACGGAAGAGACAAAGAAACAAGTGATAAAACAAGTAAATCATACAAATAATGCCCTGTCAACAATAACGCATATTCTCCCTAGGTAAAAAGAGAAAGAAGTTCATCATTATTACTACTGTTTGTAACCGAATTTCACTATTTGAAACGAAATTCATATCAATTTGAAAGCTGGAAAATACGGAGTCATATGGTGCAAAAAAAGAAAAAAAAATTGAAAGACTAATGCATCATTAGTGAAGAGCTGAATTTTGAAATTAGACGAGTGATCGCTTACAAACTCTTAGAGTTGATTGCCCAGAAAAGTTTAAAAGCTTGAACGCCACCACAAGCCTTAAATAGACCAAGAAAATATTTTCTAGTTGGAATAGGATTGGATTGGACAAAATAAAAGAATTATATTCCGAAAAGGAAAGGGAAAATAAAAACTTTCGTTTATTTTTTCAAGATGGCTGGTGATGATAAGTGATCCCCATTACCCAGAGAGAGAGAGAGAGAGAGAAAAAAGATTTTCAAAGAGAGTGAAAGAGCGCATGCCAGAGACTGAAAGTGAAAGAGAGAGAGAGAGAGAGAGAGAACGGTTTTATTTGGGTGGTGTTTTGCTGTGTTGCTCTAAGGAGGAAGGAAAAGAGTTGCTTTCTATGACCCGTACGTACTTCGCTCTGTTTTTCCTATCACTGCAATTAGGATATTTATATTTTTTTTTTAATGAAAGGATTACTGTAAATCATATAGAAAGATTAATTCAATTTGTCCGAAAATTATTCCAAACGTAAAGGATAATTATTTTGTTTATTTTTTTAAAATTTTTATTTAATAATTAGAAATATTATACATCTTCATGGCATAAATAAATTACTATTTTATTTAAAATTGAATTTTAAATTACTAAATCATTATAATATTTAGATTTCCATGGCCTTACATCTTTATAATACAACTGTTTTTCTTCGCAATACGTGGGAGTTAGGAGTTCGTGGGTCTTTTATAATTTATGTTCGAGCTAAAGAGATAATTTCAAAACATTTTAGGTAATTTCATTACTATTTTATGTGTCTTTTGATTAAAAAAAGCTGTACAGCTTATCAAATTGTTATATGGAAAGATTTCTTTTTATATGAATCAATAAAATAGTTGTCTAATGAATTATAATAAGTTCAAACAAACATTCTCTAGTCCATATTTAGACTTTAGATCATGCATACTTCTAATGGATAATATATTTATATACTGGCTTCATATATTGTTTTACTCTGAATTTTATGTTTTATTGCAATTTCTTTCCGCATTGACTTTTATTGATATAGCAATCTCAATTATAATTAGGAGTTAAATTGCAAATAAAAAAAAAGTTCACTCTTTCACTGTTGACTTTGAATTTAGATTAACTTAATTCATCTGTGTGGGTTAATAGTAAGGATAATTTATGTTATTTTTTTCATATTTTTAGATTATTTTTAGTTGGCCTCTCATTTGTGAAAGAGTGAGAGAAGGAAGGTTATATGTAGCCCGCATTATTTTTTCTATTTTAAAACAAAATTTATATATAATTATTGTTATGATTTGATTTAATAAAAATTTAAAATAGTTATAAAATCTAAAAAGCAAAAGCTAATATGAAATCTAAACTATTATTTCTTGTAACAATGTTTTTTTTGTCAAAATAGAATATAAGATAATAATAATTAATTAGAATTTATAATTGTACAATGAAAAATATATGTTTAAAACAATAATTAAACCTAACGAACACCGGATCCGGTAGAACGAAGTGAACGAATAGTCATATCGGAAGGGAAAATATACAAGTAAAATTGAATTAAGGTAGATTTCATTTTAATGTAACTTTTTAATTTAAGTTTTAATTGCATTTGTTATTGCAATAAAAGATCAAAATTCAGGATGAAATTGCAAGACCATACAAAGTTGAGGATGAAACTATCCATTAAGCCTTTATATATGTACCAAATTGGTTATACTGATTGTTACAATCTAGCGTAAGTTACATCTTGTAGAATACTCGTATTCAGCTTCTCAAATATTCCTCCCAACTGCATACACATTTTCCCAAAACCATGGCAACCTGAATTTTCAAGAATAAAATTCTTTCAAAAAGCAAAAGAATTACATTAGAGGCCATCCTTAATCTTCTCCATGTCCACTGATCGGATGTTGCTGGTGGTTGCCTTCTCCAGAGGTAAAGCAAATTGGAATCCCAACTTCAAAGGGCATATGATTTGTGGTGGGTCATCCCACCACCACAACCCAACAGGAAAAAACAAAACATCGCCAAAATCATTAGTTAGTTCCAGCACCCATTCACAGTTTCTATCAGCAAAAATTAAAACCCTTTAACTACAAAATACAGCCTCACACATCCATTTCTTAGCATTAGAGCACAACCAAAGAGCCCTTGAACGCATCGTCAAAGCAAAGCACAAAAAATAAACTAAAAATAAAAGAATGTTAAATCTTAATTCTCTCAATACTTAATCGTCAAAACTTGCCCCTAAATGACAACTTAATCCATTTAAGCATCAACACCTCTTTTCATTTCACTTCATCACCCAAAACTTCCACCACTTTGAGTTCATTTGCATTTCCAAAACCTCAATGAATCATCAGGGTGTATCTCATACAAAAGTTGGCATAGAATATAGATCATACAATGACAACATTTTCTCAGCAATTTCCACTCCATTGCAATACTTCCCACTTATACAACATTTCCCACAAAGTTAATGCAATCATCACACATTTTTTCTTCCAAAAGCTATCAATTATTTTTGACAAGCATTCAAATAAGAGAATCGAGGAAATGGGATATAATCAGTCTTTTTTCCTTTTTTATATTATTATTTTACGGAATTATGCATTCTTGTTATGTTGACCCTAAACTATGGACCAATATGCTTAAATTAAAACAGTCAGATGTAGATAAATGTTGAATACACTCACGGACTCAGAAACCCTCCATGTTCATGGCACAGGAATAGTATATTAACAATCAAGAGCCAAGATAAAGAACATTAAAGCCTGCTGTGCATTTAGAAGTTCTGGTTTAATCGATTTCAAATTGTTTAAAGCTTTTGACAAAGCTTTGAATTTTGTACAATAAAGAAAAAAAGAAAATCCATTACAGAACATCATCAGCATGATGACACTAGGAACATCTTTTGGCAAGGAGGACAACATACCATGTAGTGCACCTTACCACATATCAAGTAAGAATATCACCATTAAAAACAAGAGCCAATGACTGAACATATACAGTCTCCACTATTATTGAAATACACCATGCTAAAATACGGTGTTCAACACGTGAGGCGAAAACCACTGTGACAAGCTCAAAAAATAATTTAACAGCACAGATTTCAATTGTAATAAGAAGACGGATTGTAAGTCACTAAGACAATAGATGACCAACTGTTACATTTACAGGCAACAAAATGAGAGGAATGATAGAAGCAGACCAATCTAAAGCATCTTTGACGCTCCCTTATCAAATAAGAAGAATAAGAAAAAAGAGTGATCTAAACAAGATCTGCACATTTTTTCATTATTTCCATTGTTAGAGAATTTTATTTATGACTAATTCTTCACCAACAATAACTGAATGCAGATTAAACCAATAACTCAAGTCACAAATAGTCAGTCCACAAGGTCAAAATAAGGAACCACAATGAAATCAACTCTTTTAAGGATACCACCGATTTAATGAATTGATGAGTCAGTAACATTCTTGGATAAACCCATCCACGAAATCCAATAATATAACCCAATCACCCAAATACAAGGAGCTTATGCTTGGGACGTGGGAAACATAAATCAAAGGCTTAAAATTGATTTCTTAGAGAAGAGGGAGGAAAAGAAAAGGTGGAAAGGGGATACTGCAATTGAATGCCGAGTCTAACCATAACACATATGCACATATTTCTCCCATTCCTGGATATAAGCAGGAGAGTATATTCATACAGCAATAAAAATTAAACATACAAAAAAGTGCTCATGCATTTATTTAACATCAAATTTACCAATATGAACTATAAAAGCACTAAAACAATATCAAATATTAGCTTGAGGAAGCAAGAATAGCACAAACACATTCTAATAGGCAGGAAAGAAGGGTTTTTACTAACTAAAGGTAAATATATTCCACCGCAACAAAAAAAAACATTCTACAATCCTTCCAAAAAAAAACACTGATCTAGTCTACACGAACTTCCATAAAATTCAAGTGACATCCATCACAAATCCAACCACAACTCATGGAAGAAGATGAAGTGAAGCAGCAACAAAAGCACAGTAGTCCACATAATTAAACCAAAGATTTCTGCATTGAGCAAATCACGACAACCATTTAAAGCATTTGTGCCCAAGAAGCTCTCATACACCTGAACCAAACACCCATCAGATCACAAACCAGTATTCAATGTCAAACATAAAAAACAAAAACATTGCTATATAAAGCAGAAAATAACAACTCAACAGAAGCAGTGGAAAGCCATGAAACAAATTCCACCATGTCTACAATCTGTTCATCAGTTAAAAGTTGGTAAATTCCAAGCGCATGGATAATAATTGGTTTCAAAAAACATTAATTCAAAGAGAACGATAACATTAAATACAAAATTTAAACTAAAAAGTTTCAAGGAACAAACAACCACCATTAAGAAACAGGCAAAATTAAAACCGTGAAAGGTGTTGCTGTAGAGCATTCTTCAACAAAAAGCCAAGCATGGAAAAAACGATAATTGATAAGCCTAATCTAATCTGTTATGAAACAGCAGCCACCGCAATTATTAAAAAGAACCGCTTGGATCAGCTTGGATTAAGAAGCAAATCAAGAAGCATTCCAAAATTTAATATTACAAGCTAAATTACAAAGGATGGGATATGGGTCCAATAATGCAAAGAAACAAGTCAATCCCCAAAAAAATAAAAAATAAAAAAAACAATTAGTGGACACAACCTCAATGAAAAGAAACCCAAAGAAGTCAATTAAAAAACCGATTAGCAACTAGGAGAAAACAAAATAGGAAAACTACAGCGTTTAGAATCAATGAAGTTTTTGTGAAAAGGCCTTAATAACACAGCACCAAGCACAATCAACACAAATGACATAAAGTTGTGTGACAAGAGAATTACCTCAACCATTGAAGAGAGAGGAACCTACACACAGCCCACATGCAAAACTTTTCAATTTCACCCCAAAGAAAGACAACAAACTACATAAAATAGCAAAAAACTGCAAGTTATCAAATTACCTCAGTAATATGGTGGCATGCCCTGATACATCCCTCCAGGTGGAACTCTAGGAGGCACTGAAGATGGCTGGTGCTGCTGAGACAACCCATACGGCCCACCATCCGGATATCCTCCGGTACCCATTCCAGCCGAACTTGGAGGCATCCTATACATTGAATTCCCTGCGTTGTTCAACCCACCAAACTCACCTGAATTCGGTCCTCCATACTGTGAAACCCCATATTGACCACCATAACTTCCGCCTGGACCACCATAACCTCCTCCAGGCAACGTGGAATTTAATCCATATCCATTACTACCCAATCCAGAAAACCCTCCATATGGTGGTAAATTGCCAGGAACACCGTACTGTCCAGGCATTGAAGACTGTGGTTGTGCCGGTGGCTGCTGAGATCCAGGCATTGAAGATCGTTGTTGAGACGGTGGCTGTGGCTGTGTACTGTCACCGACCACACCACCTTGAGACTTGACCTTCTTGTTATCAGCAGCCATTTTGCAAAGAATTTGATGTCCATCAAGATTCTTCACAGGGTCAGCAATTGCTGCCTTCGCACCCTCCTCAGTCTTGTATATAATAAAAGCAAAACCCTTAGATTTACCCGTGGCCTTATCAAACCCTAGGGGTCCCTCTTCAATCTCTCCATACGCCAAGAAAAACCCTAACAATCTCTCTGAAGGAATATCATACGGTACATTCCCAACATAAATCTTCCTCAACGAAACATCACCACTACCAGCCACCGAACTAGATTGCCCGGCAGAGGCCAGCTGAGTAACAGTCATCCTTCCGTCAATTTTCTTGCTTGGTTCTTTCAACGCAATTAGAGCACCATCCACGTGCTTATACGTAATAAACCCAAATCCCTTCGATTTCCCGGTGTTCTTGTCGAAAATTACAACGGCCTCCTCCAGCTCGCCATAAGAGGAAAACAGAGTACGGATAGTGTCGGTAGTGGTCTCAGAGGAAAGACCCCGGATGAAGAGCTTTCGGAGGGAGATGTCGCCGTCGGCTACGGTGCGAATGGAGTCGAGGACGTCAGAGTGGCGGATTGCGGCTGTTTGGAGGATTTCAAGAAGGTTTTCCTTAGTGAAAGGCTCGATTACCTTGCGGATGTCTTCTGGGGTTAGTGCGGTGGAGACGGCGGTGACGGTTGATGTAGGAGTTATTGCGGTGCCAATCTCATCGGCTTTGCGTTTCTTTGCAATATAGTCCATTACGGTCGAGTGCAGAGAGAAACAGAAGGGAGGCAGATAGGTTACAAGCCAAGGAAGAGGCTTTAGGGCACGTAATTTTATAGCCAAAATCCGAAATCTTGGGCTTCCTTTGGTTCGTATCACGAAACAGAACAATTAAATTTGAGTATAAAAATTTAGCCATATTTATTTATTTATTCATTTTATACGGTACTAATTTTATTGTTATTATTATTATTATTGTTATAAGACATACAACTTCGATTGTTATCATACTTACCTGTTACTTCGGTTTTAGTAACGTGTGAAATTTAAAAAATAATTTATTTCAAAAAATTTATTACATATTTTTATATTTATTTTTTATATGATTATTATTTTAATTTAATAATTTTTAGAGAATTAATATTAAATTAAAATAATATCGCGTTTTAACGTGTTGAAATTTAAAATAATTTTATTTCAAAATTATTAACATTATTTTTAGATTTTATTTCTTTATATATTATTATTTAATTTAATAATTTTTAGAGAATTAATATTAAATTAAAATAAATATAATTTATTATAATTTAAATAAATTTAATCATTTAATGGAATGTAAAAATTTAAATATAACAATATTTATAGAGCAGAAATAATATTAAATTTGATTTGAAGAAAATTTTAAATAATTTATTATAATTTAAATAAATTTAATCATTTTTTAATGAATGTAAAATTTTAAATATAACAAGTATTTATAGAGCAGAAATAATATTAAATTTGATTGAAGAAAATTTTAATTAAGGAGCTAATCAAATATAGTCTGAATTTTCACCAATATAATAAATTAAAAAATTAAATACTTCTATTATATAACCCGTGTGATTATTTCGGCTCTTTGGACTCCGTGAGATAATGAATAAAAAAAATTTTAACTAAAGGCTAAAGCATTTGTATTGTAATATAGGAAGAATTAACAAAATCCAATATACACCTTCATGGGCTTTTGATGGGCTGGTTCAATTGATTAAGAGCCCGCCTCTTCTAATTTCTAATCATGAGACCATGTTTTAAAGGCCCATTTCCTTTTTCCTTTTCCTTTATTCTAACTGGGAAACCTATGTAGTCCTGTCTGAAACGTTGTGCCGTCTGTCTTTTACGAACAAATGCTGTCCTTTCAATAGACGCTGGACTATTCTCTTCATACCAAATTGTCGTATGTTTTTTATCAGCAGCCACTTGGAATTTCGTTACTCCACGAATTGTCGTTCTTTTCATTGCCTGTCGTCTCCCAAGAACATGTCGATTTTGAGTAGGCCACATTTCATTTTCTTTGAAGGAATTGGCCCAAATAACATGGAAGTTTCGGTACAACCATGGAGGTGTTTGTCCTCTTTAATCCATAGCATGTAAAGTTTTTTAGTCTGTTAAAAAAGAAATCAAACTTGTGTTTTCCCTTACAAGGAGAAATCAAACATTTTGATGAATCTTTTAAGAAGAAAAAAGAGAAATCATAGAAATTTTATTTATTGGTTATCATGTACAATTGTCGTAATAGGCTATGCTGCACAAGACATGCATTTTTCTCCTCCACAAATAACAACATTCAAAATAAAATTACAAGAAAAAAAAAATCAAAATTCTAAAAAGAAGCCTGAAAATTGCTGAATGTGTATAATTAAAGTCTTTAATAAGGCAAGCTTTTAGAACTTGTGCTAATAACCAAAGACTTAAGCTTTGAAGAAGACTCTGCTGAAGCATTAGCCCTCCTAGTTATCATTTCCATGTTCTTATATAAGCTTTGCTTTACCAAATTCTTCATCATCTTCTTTCCTTCTTGAGTCTCTCTTGGATTTACAGGTGACCCCATTGTTATCCTTCCTGTTTGAGGTCCAGAATGCGGACCCATTCTTGTTTGCCTTTCATCTTTAAACCATTGCAATAATTTTAATGCTCTCTTTTGAGCTAAAGCACTCCCCAATAATGCAACTTCAAGAAGTACAGGAACAATCCCAGATTTCGCCATTTTTTCCCGCTGAGCTGAGCTTTGATAAGCAAGAATCATCAAAATATAAGCTGCTAATTCTTGGCATTTGGGTTTATCTTCCCAAGTTAGCACCTCTATCAAGCCTTCTGGTACCAATGAATTGTCTTCCATCGCTTTCTTTCCCATTAAGGTCACAACTAAATGCCCTAATGTCGCAAGGGCTTTTTCTGATACTTCTTTCACCGATATTAAACTCAAAAGAGTTTGAATTACTCCATTGGAGATCAAAGGTCCTGCATTTTCCAATGCAGATGAAAGATTGTAGAAAGTACCTAAGCATAACTCTTTTGTTTCAACACTTGAGCTTGATTCAAGAATCCCAACTAGAAATGGTAGAATTTCTGATGAGGTAATATGGAAGTGGGTGTTTGCTAAAGATGACAGTGATAAAATCAATTCTGCAAAATCATGTCGTGCTGATTCTTCTTTAATCTCTGTGTTCTTGGGTAATTTTGAGAAAATTCCTGCGTCCACCATGATAGCTTTGTTCCTGAACAAAAATTAAATAAATTAAACAAAGCATTAATCAGAAAAGTTTAATGCATAATTGAATTAGACTAGTGAGACGGTAGTTGTTTCTTTAGGTATACCCATCAAATTATAAAACACTGTGCATACCAAATTATCAGAGAAAGTCAATGAGATTCGAAAATTTAGATCTGTGTTGAAAGGTGAAGGTCAAAGCAAGGGATTTATTTATTGTTTTAGAGATCATAGGAATCTGATTAGTTATATTAAATCTTATTAATTTATATCTCTTTAAAGACAACAATGTCTGCTTCATTAACATTACTGTCCCTTCTAAGCTTCCCATCACCATAGAATTTAGTGTAAAGTAATTAAGCACTATATGTTTGCTTCAGATTTCCTGATGTAAGATGGAGAATAAATTTTCTTAACGAAAGAAACAATCATGAAATGCCAAATATAGATTCCTGATGAAGAAAGTACAAGCCCCACTTGGAGAAAAATAGCCATTCAACAGCACAACCTTCAGAAATGGAAAGGATAATACTATGCAATAAATAAAACTTTTCTGCAATAAAATAACAGAGTTGATGGTGAAGGACTAAAAAGGCAAATATAGCAGGGAAAAAAAAACTCAATAATCCAATAAAAGCCTAGTGTCCAGAGATAAAGACATATGACCTTTAGCAACTAGGGTCCCCTAGTAATTAAGGAACCTTTTGCATATGATTGAGCATTAGTTTCATAATGAAAGCAGGAATAGTTATACGGAATCTGGGTCCAGCCTCCATAATCTTGGAAGAGCAACCCTGCCCCTCTTTTATTCCCAATTCAAATAGTGCCAATGCCCGAAAAGGGCTCCACTCAAATCAAATTCTTAATGTTTCCCAATTGAAGATTGGAAATTCAAGATTAGACGATTGTATTTTTTATATTTAATTTTCTAAAAATTTTGATTCTGAAATCTTGAAAATTTAATATGGCTAGCTACCTACTTCTTATTGACCTGAAAGCAACTTGGTCATAAAAAAATTTGATTATGCCTGTATATGGTCCCTCTTATCACCCCACCGTAGACCAAAAACACCAAACTCCTAAATTTCAAACTTGGTTTAAGACAATTTAAACTCCTGAATTAGGAAACTAAATGAGTTAATTAAAAATCACTTTCAAGAATATCCTGTGATAAGTCTTGTCAAGAGCTATAATGAATAAAAATAAATAAATAAATAAATAAACTTACCTGTAAGTTCCATTAGCAAGTTCAATCAAGGCCTTGACGGCCAATCGCCGGCGGCCAACGACATCCGATGAAACGAAGTCTACTAGACCCGGAATAACACCGAGCTCAGCCATTAACTTCCTTATCTTGACGTCTTCTTTAGCTAATCTTGCAATTTCCATAGCAGCCATCTCCTTCTCTTCCCAAGTTCCAAAGTGAAATCTCTTTACTGATCTTTGTAAAACCAAAGAATCATCTTGATCAGTTTCTCCATCCATAGCTACTACTTGTACTTGTTCTTTATCACTATTATCGACCAAAACTACTTTGGACGAAGTCGTTCTTTGCTTATTATTATTACTACTATTCTTTTCTGCAGCTTTAGATTGCAAGAACCGTTTAATACGAGTAAAGAATTTAAGTTTTGTGTAAGAGAACAAACAAATAGAAGACGAAGAAGAAGAAGAAGAAGGAGCAGACATGATTGGTTTTTGTGTTTGGGACATAAAATAAATAAAGACAATCAAGAAATCGTTTTTGGTTTAGTCTTTGTTTCCCGGAAAAAGCTGGTAAAAATCTTGACTTCTGAGCTTTGAGAGCGAGAGAGAAGAATATATATGGAGCAGTGAAACCAGAGAAGAAAGAGAATTCAGAGACCGTGTGTGAGCAAAAATTACAGAGAAGATAGCACATGCAAAGGAACAGTGATGTCTCTTTATAATGCCTCATCTGTGAATTAGATAATTGGTAATTAAGTCATAAGAGGCCTCTTAATTAATTTTTTGTATTCACATATGCCTGCAGAGCACATGTTTTAAGGGCTTTTAGTCACTAAGATATGTCATTAGACAAAGGGATTAGTACTTTATTAGTCTAATAAGGCTACAGTTTAAGGTTTAAGTGGGATATTAAGATTTTGTTTCTTACAATTCCATATAATAAAGGAAGTTTCGTAGTGGAAGCTCAATCCGACGGCTCTGTTAACTCTTTTTTTTTTGGCGATTACTGATTATTCTTGATTTTGTTAATGTAATTTATAAATTATTCTTGATTTTGTTACTATAATTTAAAATAATTAATTACTTCTTTAAATCCGTATAAAAGTATTAAAAATCTATATTTTGAAATAAGTGGAATATAATGTAAACAAGGGATTAATTAAGTTGGGATTATAGAGTTAATTAAATTAAAGGATCATATAAATCTTGATTTTATGAGGTTATAGCATGATGCATGTGGGTTTCAGGAAGCATCAGCCTAGATGCTCTCGAAAAACAGAACCACCTAGTTATGGCTCAGTCACACGTGCCATCCTCCACTGAAATTGGGTTGCTAACCCTATCAATTTTAATTCTTATTTTTGAGAGGAAAATCTAAATCTGAACCAGTGTGTGATATTCTCACATGGATAGAATGATTGGCTAATTTTCTATGAGAAGGTAGAAACTAAAAATTTTATAGAATTACTTTGTTTTATGAATCAAAAGAAATAAAGTAATTAATTTGTGTTAATAAATCTTGGAAATTTTTTAAATTAAATGCAGTAACATGAAATTGCCAGCTTATATATGATGTGTCCTCTAGATTTGGGCATGCACGAAAGGGAACCAACCAACACGTATAATTTTTCTGTCTAGGGAGACAATACTGTGGCAATTTCTGCCTCTATTAATTAATTCATTCTAATTATAATATATTTGGGTATTAGGTTTTACATTTGCTAAATTAGCTAGACTAAGAGAACTTGCCATCGAGGTAGATACCGTGACATAAAGTTTTGTGTTTTTTCATAATAAACATAACGATATCTATCGAAATTGATCTATACAGTATTTTGTATTCCCTAAATAAAAGTAAGAAAAGAAATCGTAACTTTATGAAATTGATCTAAACAAGTCGACATGTGGGTTTGACCAAGAACGAAGGACGTAAATCTGGTGTAGAAAGATGATTAGATGAGTAACTTAAACTTCTGGGGATGTCTTCTTATTAAGAGTCAAGAATGTACTCAGCAGAAAGGTTTATTTTAGTGCACCAAAATTGACCTCTCTCTCTCTTCTCTTGTAAGGAAATTTTTGGTGGGTTTGCATTATTGGAGGTGTGATGGTGTGGCATATTTCCATTCCACGTCGGATTCCACTAGGATTTTTACTTTATCCCCTAGTCACGGGGTGGCTCACGAGTCGAACAGGTTCGGAGTATATGGTTTTTGTGGTTGATGGAATTCGGCTAGTGTTTAACTCCCTAATAATAAGAAATGGGTGCACATATGAGGTGTGCCACAAATTTTATCTCTTTGCCTTGAGTGGTTAATGGGATTTTTATTTTTATTTTTATGGAAGGATTGGTTATTTTAAGAAAGAGATAAAACTCCACCTCATTTCAAAAATATAAATTAATAATTTTTTAACAATTGATGTACTTTTTTTTCTTTTATGAAAAAAAGTTTTTATAAGATTTACTATTATTTCAAAATAACGATCAAAATCTTTGGGTACTCAGGTTCTCCATTTTTTTTTCTTTTTTTTTTTGCTTTTTATTAGTTTCTTTTTCCTGATTTATGTATGACATTAATGAAATTGCATCATATATGTTAGTTTTGTTTTTTGAGCTTTGATCTCCTCTCTATATTCAAATAATAATAATAATAATAATAATAAGTTTCTTTGGCCAAACTCCTCTGTAAATCATTCCATTTAAAATATAATTGGGAGGACAATTTTTTAAAGTATGAACTCTTAAAAGCGTGGGGTTTTTTTTAAAAAAACCCTATTATCAAATCAAAATCTTGCATTGCCTATGACAACTACACACATGGCACAAAACCCTATTATCAAAATCCCATGTGGTGCCACATGGCATGCCTCCATGACCAAACAACACGTGAAAAAAAAAATATCAAAATGGGCACTCCACTAATTAATTAAGTAATGCACATAAATAGAAAGAGATTGTAAGTAAGTGATCAGATCAGATGAGGGCTAATGTCCACGAACAACACTAGCATTACCCAAATCCTTAAATCTAATTTTTATTGGATGATTATATCATCCACAGAAGCTACCATTGGCTACGTGGCATTCTAAAAGTGCAAAAGCCCCACTAATCAGTTAGGGCTACACCTTTTATTGCAGGACTTAAAGGTGGCATGACGATGACGATAGAATTGTTGGGTTTTTCTATGTTGTCTGCTCAAACCCTCAAACCAGATGCTTCTCCTCATTTTCTGAGTTAATTTTAAGGTTGACTTCAGCTTTTCAAAGTTTAGATTTAACATGCAGAAATAGTTTTTGAGGTTTAGCTAGGCTGCCAACTTATCGCCTAATAATAGTGGAATTAGCATATCTATTTGTTGCCTAACAAATTTAGGAAGGCTAGTGCCTTCAGATTGCAGTTCAGTTACGTTGCCTTTAATTTCTTGTTAGGTTTTTGAGCATTTACATCTAGTCCTGCACAAAATTCAACAACTAAGAATGGGCAGATTTCCATATTGTCTAATTTCATTAGTTTGCTAATTTGACAAGTGAATATGTTTTATTTTTATTTTTATTTTTTTTTGTGAATCTTTTTTTATTATAAGATGAATATATATTTTGCTTTTAATTAAATAAAAATATATAATTTTTTTTTCATTTATAAATATGTTAATCATATATGCAAATATGATATAGTGTTGTTTTTCTTTTGTAATTGACTGAGTAATGATGCGGTTTTCGTTTACGCAGACTTTGTCAAATTTCAACAGAATCTGCAAACTCCTTTGTATTTGATGATAGCACTCTCCAATTTTATATTACGGTTCAAATTCAAAAGCTGAATAAGAAAAACGCACTGGACTTTGCTCTTCTTTCTTGGCTTATCATCATCAATCTTCAACGACTTCAGTAGTAGATTTCCAGTCTTCCACCTGACACATGAGTCTCACAAGTCAACCCAAAAAAAAAAAAAAAAGTTTAAGTGAAAAAGCAAATGCACCAGCCGGGAATCGAACCCGGGTCTGTACCGTGGCAGGGTACTATTCTACCACTAGACCACTGGTGCTTTGATGTTTGGACAAGCTAATATAAAAATAAGAAATAATATGTAAGCTTTAACAACAGTTAGAAGTCCGACGTCCAGACATTCAACCTGAACAGATTTTAAAATTTTTGGTGTTCCAACTTGCAAACGTAATTAGCTATTTTTGGTTTTCATTAGGCCACTGCTAGTACAATACGATAATCCATATCCATTTGAATCAGGAATCCAGGTCCAGAATTCATCATTATTCTTTTTCTACGGCGCCTTGTGCCTTCACCAACTAAACCCACAAGCTGCCGAGTTCTCAGGAATCATATTCCCTTTAAACTGAAGCAACTGATGTTCTTAGGTGCTATATGGCAAGAAATAAATAGCCTCTCGTCAGTATGGCAATAAGGCTAACGAGTAAAAGTAATAGTGCTAAAGTTGAAAGAACCTTGTATTTTTCATGATTATGGTGATGTTATGCATGTGTTTGAACAAATCAAAGTTGATGAACTGACTTTGATGTATAATATACAATTAACAATGTGCTACTAAGAGTAATTAGGAAACTAAACAGGAGTTTATAATTCAATACAATCATCATCATCATCCGTCTCGTTATCCCAGTCCAGTTTAAAAGCGCTAGCTGACTTCATCAACTCTGTGAGTCCAGTGATATCCTCCAGATAGGTAGGATGATTAATTGCTTGGAGCAGGAAGTCCATTCCATTTTTACGATATTCCGATACCACCTGAGAATTACATTTGATCAGCACAAAAAACGAAAAAAAAAAAAAAAAAGGCAAACTAGAAAGAGAACTAAAATACGAGTAAAGATACATTCATCATGCAGAAGCCGCTCTGCTTAACACAAAAATTAACAAATACAATGGAAGACAAGAGAAATATGCAAACATCAGTATAAAGTGTCAAACATGGAAGAGTTAGAAAATAAATTTTCGTCATTGCCATAAGCATTAAGTATCAACAAATCAATTATCAATACTAGCTCCTGTGAACCTTAATTTCTGAATTTATAGTCACAGTTAATTGTACAAGTTTTATGCTTCTGACTACATATGTAGACATCTGCTTAAGACATCAAACTTCAGAACCAAATGTATCATTAGCAGCAAAATCAAACATAAAGTTCCACAAGTCTAGGGATTCGCATCAAAGGCATTTCTATCGTGGTCTAAAGCAGGCAAGTGAATGTAACTGCAAAATTCTTATATCCATGAAAACTTACAGTGCTGCAGCAAGCAGTACAACTATTAGAAGCATGGCCTACAAGTGTCATCTGGGAAAACTGATGGAGAGAACCCCGAATCTGATGTGGTAAAATACCAAGAGGTTGCTCAATGTTTTCACTGTTAATGGAGTTTGCAATCTCACCTTCTGCAAATATCCTGTATAAAGATGGGAACCACAAAATGAAGTCAAATAAGAACTTGTGAACTCTTCACCACCACAACCAAAAATTTCCAGTGGCATTTGATCTATGAATTTACCCATTAGGATGATGCAGGATGTTGACAAAAAGTTCAACTGCAAAAGATGAAGCAATAGGAGCAAGCCCTGGACGTGTAACAGTGCATTGCTGGTCCAAAGTGCGATTGGCAGTTGACTGCACACAGAGTACATGAATTATTGCCAAACTTGATGAACACAGAGCGGCTAAAATATCAAATTCATTGCATTCTAGTAAATTACATCCGTCGGTGCAACCACATCATTGCAGAAGTAACAGCCCAATCTATGCCTTTCTCCATCAGGCACAACAAGGTTGTCCATAGCTTCAGTTTTCAAGTCGTGAACTGACCTAAGCGGACCAGGTCCATGCCGCATAACAAGGAAGCTATCAAATCCCAGAGCTGCAGTTATAGCAATCTGTAGAAAGATAAATGAAAAAAAAAAAAAAATAGCATAACATTGTCCAAGCTTGACGAAAGAAAACAGTGCCAAACTTCGCGAGAATGGAATGACATCAACATATTAGAAATTATATTAAGTGTGACCTTATTAGCATTTGCACAGAGGAGAGAAGGAAGCCATCGACTTTCTCTTGTATCAGTCAACAAAAATACTGCATCATGAGAATCAACCAATTCATGCAAATGTCTACAATCTTCAAGCACACTCTCCTCTTCTTGACTGCTAACTGGATGTCCAGGCATTGGTATACCCATCACAACACCTTCTGCTTCCTGAGAAATGAATTATAGAAGAGATGGACATAGGAGAATTTCAACATTTGTTTTGTTATTTTTTTTATGTGAATCATGTGTACTAAATTTTAGCAGCTAAATCAATTACCACAGCAGGAAATATTCGTTTGAGGCTTTTAACAGCTGCCATGGCCTTAAAATCACCTCCATTTAGACAGTCGTCCAATGTATACAGCGACTGCCTTAAGGGGTTAGACATTGCCACCCTTCCCTTGTCAAGTAATGTAATTTTCCGGACGCCCCAAGACTGCAATGTACAAAAATCTTTCAGAATCTAAGACATGTGATACAAAGTCATTGATGTAATCCTTTAAACACTTACCATAAGCATGCGGGCAACCTGGCATCCAAGTGTACCAGCCCCCAGTAGAAGACACTTAATAGAAGATAAATTATCCAAGTTAAGGGAAGGTAAAGCACGCCACCTCATTAGTTTTAAATTCAAATCTGCTGCAGATATGGCCAACCTGTAAAAAAAATATCTCATTAAGCTAAGATAAAATGAAATGATACAGTTGTGGAGTAATGAATGTCTTTGCGAACAAGGTACCTTGTTGGATCCATGGATTTAGCAAGGTTAATAACCCTGGGTCCACCTTTGATAGGCTCCCATCCTACTGCATTAGGTACAGACTGCAGACCTGGAGAGATACTGTTAAAATGCTAGAAATCCAGTATGGAAAGAAAGACTAAAGCTGTTGGAAGTCAAAACCAGCAATCAGAATAGAGCTGTTACCCAATTTCTGCCGCTCTACCTTGTAGAACTCTGATTGAGGCTTCACCAACAAGGGATAGCCCCAGATCTGGAAAACCACGATTCTCTCTATAGCATAAGAAGCGGACAGTTTTGAGCTTCCATCTTGAAGAAATCAGTGCTAGAAAGTTGCGCAAAGGCCAACCAGGATTACTAGGAAGATGGCAAGGGTCATAAAAACCAAATAGCACCTGATAGTAACAAGCATAGTAGCTTTAAGAAAAAGGCATTTGTAACTGTACGTTTTGCTAATTATCCCATAAGTCTATCATACTAAATTTTTAAGGATTGCCCATCTATTGGCACAAACATTCCACTTTCCAAATAACGTGAAGATTTATGAAGACGTACCTTTTGCCCATCACGTTGGCAAGCTTCCCAGTCCTTCAGATGCCTAATAGTAGCATGTGAATCAGAAGCAATACAGACCAGGAAAAATGGCACACCTACAGCAGGTTTTTCAGATTAAGGAATTTAGATTTTCCAATAAAAACAAGGAAGAATGGAGATAGATCATAAGTAAACTGAAATCATAGCAATAAATTTACCAGCAGTTAAGCTTGAGTTACGCCATTCATTACAAGCTGCTGACACAGATTCTGCCTGCACATTTAAAACAATATACTAACATTGATAAAGCAACAGCCATGTAGGAATCTACAAAAGTTGCAACAAACAGTATAATTCAATCACCTCTTCAAAGGTAAACCATTGCGACGCAGGCTTCAAGTCAACAACTGTTGCAGGAGGATCAAGCACAAGAGCAGGGAAAGCAAACCAGTAACGAAAGTTCCAATTTTTCAGGTCTGCAAATGAAATAAGAAGGAACCTTGACAGTACTGCACTGTCCTCAACAGCTTTTCCAGAGCCAATGTCTTCCCAAATCTAAATTATCCACAAAAGATTAACTAACTTCTCAGTGTTTCTATCAACACCAATCAAAACCACATATTTTCTACTAACATTCACAACTTTAATAAATTGGGATCAATTATCTCAAAAGAAACACCTTCTTGGCTTCCTCCTTAAGCAAGATTTTTCTATCCAGGGCGCGGTAGGCCTCCAATGTATTAGTGTTGTAAAGAATGCCAGGAACAGAGCATCTATTCCTGTTACCGCCAGAGACTGCTGGGACAGAAGATTGCGCACTTTCATCACTAGGCAAGGATTCCGCAAGAAGAGTCAAGTGATTCGATACCTGAGAATGCGAACAAGGCGCATAGAAGCCTGCAAGGGCTCATAACAAAATTTAAAAAAAAAAAAAAAATGCTATCATGATTCATTGTTCTGAATTAGATCATCAGATGCAAAATCCACTGGATATCAAGTCAATATTGAGGGCTCATGTTCAATATTGACAGTGAATAAATAAATAATTAAATGATCTCACAAACGCAAAATTATGCAGATATTAGAAGGCGTACCGGTGATGGCAACAGGAGAATCGTCAATTCCAAACTTGTTGAGCTTCAAGGAAGACAACCTGTGCCAGAAACCCTCATCGACGAGGCTCTGAAACGGCGCGAATTGGAGAATGGATCTTTCAGTCCCTTCTTGTTTAGCCATTGTTAGCTCCGATTGATGGATTGAATTTGCAGCTTATTGTTGTTCTCCGTCGTCGTCACGCAAGATACAACCTTAACTAATGGCTATTTAATTGTTTATTATTATTTGGCAATGTCTTCTTCTTCTGCTCAGAAGAATTAAGATCGGTAACTTGTTTACGGTAAAGGAGTTCTTGTTTAACTTCAGTTTAGTTTGGATTATCTGCGACTAGAGATTCCCTGCACCGATGTACCTGCTTTGGTGTCTGGATCCTCTGCATATGAGCTTTTTCTGCTCTGGTTGAAATCAGGTCTAATAACTCGCCATGTCAGCAAAACATTGGATTTTCAGTTCACGATAATCATTTAGTTATTCAGGCTTAGTCCAGAATCAGCAATTTTGGGCCAGTTTCGAGATTACTTTTCTCGGGCCAATTGGATTTGGTCAAGAACAGCCCATGGCAATTGCCATGTTACAATTCTTTTAATAAATAATTTTATCCATTCTTTAAAAAAAAAAAAAAAAATCCAATCACAATAATTTTCGATGATAGAGTTTTTTCATTTAAGAGCTAAATCCATAAATGAAGAAGAAAAGAGGACTAGCCAAATTAAACAAAATCATGGGAAGTTAGATTATCAAGTCATATATAGAAATAATTAATTTTTAAAAATAAAAAAAATTAAAAATTAAAAAAATAATAATAATAATTGGCAAGGTAAGAATAGAGAAAACCAAGTCGTGTTGATTGAGATCATGTTGAGGACTTTTTCTATCAGATAGACAACATCTTATTTTATATTATTTCACATAAGACATTGTTTTACAACAACAAAGATGACGCCACCGATATTAATACTTCAGATAGCAACAGCTTTTGTCACATAATTTCTACACATAATCTGTTTATACAAACTAATCAAAAACACCATATATGATTATGCACATCACTATCAACAGCAACAACTAAGATTTTGGCTCTCAAGAACTCAAGCTGGAGGCATCAAAGAAAGTCACCCTCCTCCTCTTGTTCGGAAGTGTTGTTCTTGGTGAGTATTCAGGTGAAATAGATCCTTTCTCCAATACAGAATTCAAGGCCTGGTGGATAGAATTTACAAGAATCTGTTGTGTTTCAGTATCATCAGTGACATTCTTCTTTCTCTTTCTGTAGCTGGTTAGAAAAAGCACATTCTTTAACTGGCCTCCTAAGGTTGATATTTCTACATCCACCATTTTCAATTGAAGAGCATTGACTGCTTGTTTTATGTCATACATAAGCTCAGGTCGATAATCGCAACATATGGATGCTTTGAAACACAAAGTTCCATCTTCTGCTCCATTGTCAAAGGTTTCAACCTTCACTTCATCATCATCCATTGGAATAAGAAGGCCTTTACTGGCGTCTATTGCTTTCTTCTTCAGTTCTTTCACTTGTCAAAGCTAATACTTCCTCCTACCCTGTTATGATTTTCATGCAGTCTAGCAAAATCAACTCAGATTTAATCCTACGCCTTATTCTTAATACAATAAATTGGTATCCGATCTTTAGGTCTTAAACTTTTGCAGATTCTCAGCAGCCAGACCACGTTTATTACAAACATCTTCGAGAATTTGTTAAAAAGAAAAGAAAAACATATGAATGAATAGACATGTTATATCAGCAATCAAACAGTATATCAGCAATCAAACAGGTAAGATAAATTGGTAACACAGAGAAATTGTATTAAGTATTAACCTTTTTCTGTGCAGGGCACAAGACCGCGAAGAGTAGCAAGATGGGCGTTGATTCTCTCTCTTCTCCTCCTCTCTGCCTCGCTATGGCTCTTCAGAGCTGCCAGAGCCTTGGCCTCAGAAGGTACTTTTTTCCCGACTCTCGTCACCGGTGCCTTTACAAGTTCTCCCTTCTCATTATCCAACACTAGGGCCTGCGACACCATCGATCCATCTCGCAAAACCCCATTAAAACCTTGTAAACGGAAGGAAAATGGGTCCAAAGTGTTAAAATAACCGATCCCAGACGAAGAATTGGCGTTATAATTGCAGTAAGAAACCATTGAATGAAAGAAGAAAAACAGAATAGCCTAAAAATGTTGGCCTCTTATGTTTTATGAGCGAAAAGCGGAGCAGATTAGGCCTGGAGGACGAGTGGCAGGGGCGAACCGGAAAGAGAGCTTTTGGAGAGGGAAACTTGGTTGTTTAACAGGTTTGTTAGTGATTCTTGTATCTTTGATCATAACTTCCATAGCGCAAAAGGGATAGGTTTTAGGTTTAAGAGACATATGGAGACAAGTTAGTGAGAAAACATCCACATTTTCTTCTTGATAGTATTGAAGACCATTATTTCTTTGATATGTGTGAGATTCTTTGAAGAGTGTATCTTTAGTTTAAAGAAATGCAGAGTCTTTGAAACTGTGAATATTGTTTCGTGGAATGTCGATGAATCTTGAAGAAGAAAGAGACAAAAGCTCAAAGAAAATGGGATTGACAAGAGAGCTTGGAAAGAGGTTTCTCTTCTTTAGCGGCTTAGCAAGTGTTTGAAAGTTCAAAGCTGAGAATACGAGAACTAACCATTCGCTTCAAAAGAAAATGATAAAATCGAAACAGGCATTTAATAAGTCTATTTCGATGAAATTGCACAAAACATCAAGTTTGGTGGGGTTTGTCTATTTTGCAATTGGATGAGTCATGCAATGCCACTTATGAAAGACAACACAACAAAAATGTGATTACATACTTGTCTGTAGTAGCATTTTATGTACATCTTGTCTAAATATTTCATTATCAAATTCGTAAAAATTTTTATAATTTAAAAGTTTCAAAAAACATGCTCCTTCAAATCAGGCATTTAATAAGTCTATTTCGGTGAAATTGCACAAAACATCAAGTTTGGTGGGGTTTGTCTATTTTGCAATTGGATGAGTCATGCAATGCCACTTATGAAAGACAACACAACAAAAATGTGATTACATACTTGTCTTTAGTAGCATTTTATGTACATCTTGTCTGAATATTTCATTATCAAATTCGTAAAAATTTTTATAATTTAAAAGTTTCAAATAGCTAATAGTAATAACTATTAAAATAATTAATTTTGTTAAACACAATTTAACACCAAAGATAAAACATCACCAAACAAACCCGTAAATTTAAAATTTTGAAATTTTAAAATACACATGCAAACTAAAAAAAAAAGGGTTGTAAACATTTTTTACATTATGAAATCAAATTTCATACGAGCACATACCAACATACGGCATCACGAACTACAAAAGATGATTAAACTCCATATTGTATGAAATATTTTCAAGAGAAAAATCAAAATCTTCAAAGAATGGAGACTCCTTCAACTGATGCAGTCATCAAAACCAAAATGTTTCCACATATCTACTGTCATTAGAGATGTATAGATTACTTCTCCATGCAGGCAGTGAAATTTTTTCTTTTTAAAAATAATATTATTACAACATAAATTTTTTTATTCAAAATAATGTCTAAACCAATCTGTTTTAGAACATTTTGATTAATTTTTTATAAACTAATTTATTTTGTTTTTTATTAAATGATTTTATGAGTTAATTTATGTGCTTTTCAAAAATTAATAATTTAAAAAATTAATAATTTAATATTTCATGAGTTAATTTTTTTTTCTTTGCCCCCTAAAATTTTTAGTTTTGGTTCCCCTTAATTTATGATATTTTCCTTTTATTTTTTTTCCTTTTCATATTAATTTGACCCACTAAATTTTATTTTTTTACTCTGCTAACTCAATGATTATTTTTCTTTTTTATTTTTTTCATCTGTAGACCTTCAAATTTCTATGTATTTAAAATAATTATCTTGAAAATTATTTTTATTATCTAGGGTCAATTTTGTGTTAATGAATTGTATATTGAGTTTCTAGAGGGAGGCCAAAGGATCAAAATATTTGGAAGAAGCAAAGGGTTGCTCTCAACAACTTCTCCATTGACATCTGGATTTCAACTATTAATTAAACAATAAAACCGGAAATTTCTCTTTTTATTTTTATTTTTTGTTTTTATTTTTTGTTTTTACAAAATTTCTAATTATTTTTAATGCTAGACCTTGTTTTAGGAGGCTAATGGGTCCTGCCTTTGTCATGATGTGCCTTTGTCGTGATGTACCTTTGATGTGGACATTGTTGTCCTACATAGTGGCATGTTCATTGGTATTAAAAAAAAATAAAGTGAAAATTAGTTTTATTATTATTATTATTAATTAAGGTGCTTGTCTAATGTCTAGATTCAACTTATTTGAGATAAGAGTAAATTAAATTATGACTTGGTAGCTTGGTACTTGGTAGCGTTTGGTCATATGTGCAACCTATATCCTTCTTAAAACTCCAATCCTCCTAAGCCATAATGTTAGAATAATTGTCAAAAATAATTATTAATAAACATGCTTTAATTCTTTTTTTTTTTTAATATCATAAGATTACAATAACATTAATTATACTTTTTGAAATATTCGTCTTTTTTTTAATATCATAAGATTACAATTATTATACTTTTGATATTCTCCTTTTTCTAAAATATGTTACTATTGTGTATCCCAAAATAGAAATTCAGTATTAATTAAATTTAATAATATGTTATAGATGTTGTTTATTATTTATAGGTCAATGAACATAGCATCCTCTTATGGGCCACTTTGGAATATGACATACTCTTCTAAAAAAATATTTAATTTTGATAAATATATAAATTGATAAAAAAAAATTATCTGTGTTACTTAATAAAAAAAAAATACACTTTAATATTGTATTTTCAGCCTCATGGAATTTGTCAACCTGTAATCAACTATGCATATTAAAATTAAAATGCTGCTATCATTTATTTATTTATAAATAAATGTCACTTTCTTTCATTTCTTAAAATTTATACTTGGCTGGACTTGCATCCACAATAGATGGTGTACAAAAATTTATTTTCTCTCAATCATAAATAAACTTAACCGGACCATATGGATTTTATATTATGACTAATGACTTGTTAATTGTCTAAATAATTAGAGTCAACTTTAATTATTTCTTATAATCTAAAGAAAATAAACAATAAATTTTCGACAACACAGCATTAAAATTAGTATTCCAGTAATAACGTAATCACTGATCAGATTGGTTAGTGTAACGAATATGAAAACAACGTTTGCATCATCTTCTAATATTGTGATTTTCTTTTTTTGGGTGAGCTTCTACAAAACATGCTAATTATTGAAGTATTTCAAAATCCAAAGTCAAACCCTAATCGATTTTAATATTTTTCCTTATAATTTAGAGTTTCTTTGTCAAATAAGAATATATTACCAGAATAAGTAAAAATATTTCCTATAAAATATTTTATTTGAGGATGAATTATAACAAATGGAATTGTATATTCTAGTTTTTTATTTATTTATTTATTTAGAAGTAGATAAAGCAATATAAACAAGTAAGGTTAGTAAATGTTTTTTCTTTTTATCAATTACCAGTTAATCTAGTGAGATGAAGATGCTGGATCTCTTAAGTAATGTTCAGGATCGCCCCCATAATGAGTCTATGTAAAATCGGAATCCATATCAGTCGGCTTTACTAAATACCGGGTAGTTTAACAAAAAAATACTTTTTCTTTTTAATTTTTATATCGATTCTATTATGCCTTAAGTAACAGTTTCATCATATATATATAATATGTAACCAGTTCCATCATATTATCATATATATATCATATATATATAATACTATTATTGGACTGATGTAATCTTCCAGGAAACCAACTGATGTAATCTTTCCAAGAAACCAAAAGTCAGCAGCCAGGTGAATTTGCATAATCTTTTGCTTTTTTTTTCTTGGTTCCATGTTATATTGTTTATGTATGGAGTCTCTTACTGTGTTGCTGATAATTCTGTTTTTTTTTTAGTTGGAGAATAAAAGTGGGATTGGGAAGTAGTTTTCTTTTCTTTTCTTCTTCTTCTTCTTCTTTGCTCCATCTCCAGCATAAATAGAAAAGGGAAAGTTATATTACGATATTTGTAGTTTGTCTTTATAGTTTGCTTTCATCAGAATAAAAAATCTTTCAGTCCAATTTTTACATCTTTCCTAATAAATACTTTATGAAACGATGAAAATGCTCCTTTTATTTTTAAAAACACATTGACAGATTAATTATATTTTTCAAACCATGGAGACTGCACTATAATTTTTCTTATACAATATTTTAGTATTTCTCCTTTGACCTCTGTGTTTTATTGTTGACTTAACAACAGAAAATATGCAAAAATTGAATAGAAGGATTTGATAGGGTAAAAGAGAATATAAAGAGAAACTAATATATTTTAAAAAAGATAAAAACAGACTAATTATATTTGGCAAAACACAAAAATCATACTGTAATTTTTTTAATAAAAAATAATTGTGGAGCGCATATTATATTTCGCTCACTTTGTCTCCCAAATCAAATAAAAGAAGAGAGTTTTTCAAAAAAGAAAAAAAAAAAGAAAGAAAGAAAGAAAGAAAGAAAAAGAAAAGAAGAACAAAAGTGAAAGAAAATCCTTCCATTTTACTCTCTTCTCTTTTCCAAACATAGAAAATAAGAGGCCCAGGCCTACAGAGGGCAAATCTTTACTAACCTCCCTAAACTTGAATTTATTTGAAGATTTAAATCTCATATTTCTTAATGTTTATTTAAAGAAAAAAAAAAAAACGAGAGAAAATGAATACCCATTCCTTTTAAATTTACATACAGCAAAATGAAGTTCCATTACTTTTAAATTTACTTGCTAAAAAAAAAATAAATTTCATAATTTTGATTGGTTTTTTTTATTAATTATAATTTTGATGTAATTTGTTATTTAAATTCACTCATATGATCATTAAATGCATGTGAAATGGATGCAATGGATTAACTCATTATCTAAAATGCTAAAAATTTTCAATTTTACTTATAAAACAGTGAAAATTTTCAATTTTGCTCCTCACACTAAAAAAAAAGGATTAACTTATGAATTCAATTACATACTCTAATATTAAATAAAATGATAAATATTTTTCTATAAATAAGTAATTGCTCAATTAGGAATAACTTTAATCTATATAGTCAATGTCTAATTTATCTTCGATCAATTGGAAATTTTTATAAACTAATATTTTATTATAATTATTAAATAAAATTTTAAAATAAAAATTAATAAAAAAATATATAAAAAGTTAAATTACTAATATAATAATGAGTATAAATAAGGTGTAACATAGGTTTGTAAAAATCTAGTCTTCAATAAAAATACTACATCCCCCAAATTTTTTTTAGGGAAGTATCCTCAACTACCAAAATGTAGACAATTAAAACGAGGTAGCCGACGCCGTTTCACGCACATATACTTCCACGTGGCTAAATGTCTAAATCTAACAAACTCCCACCCTTTTTAACTCTCATTTGCCATCTCTGCTGCCTCGCTTCTCTTCAGCAGCACACGCACTCCTCTCAGACTCTCAATAATGGCCGCCGCCGCCGTCGCATTCGCCACCAAGTCAGCACTCTCTAGACCATCAATATCACCACCATCATCATCACTTAAGCCCAACGCCTCAAGATCCACGGTAGGATTTATATCATCGTCTTCACCGACTTTAAAACCTTTGGTTTCTCGTGTTCACACCAAACAAAATGTCCCATCAAAACGCCTCAAGATCCACGGTAGGATTTATATCACCGTCTTCACCGACTTTAAAACCTTTGGTTTCTCGTGTTCACACCAAACAAAATGTCCCATCAAATGGAAGATCGTCGCTCTCGGTTAGAATGGTTTCCGCTCCTTCCATCACTCCTATGACGTCGCTTGATTTCGAGACCTCCGTGTTCAAGAAAGAGAAAATAACTCTTGCTGGCCACGACGAGGTATGTAGCAAACCTCAAGTTCCAATCAGTATTTTAGATTTGTAAATACATTTGTAAATACGTAGAAAGGAAGCTCGTGCCTGAAATTTGAGGAAGTTTTTGATGGTTTTATTTGTTCATTTAAATTTATCTGGTGATTCATTTCCTTGTTGCTTTGCAGTATATTGTTAGAGGAGGGAGAGACTTGTTTCCCTTGTTGCCTGATGCTTTCAAGGGGATTAAGCAGATTGGAGTTATTGGCTGGGGATCCCAGGTTTAGAACTCTAAAATACTGTTCGTAGTTTAATTTTCAAATGGATTATTTTAGTGGATTACTTTTATCGAACTTATTATTGTGCACTCGAATGATTTCGTTTTGTCACGCTTTGTTGAAAATGGATAGAGATTATAGCTAAGAGTTTCCTTATTTTTGGGTTTTGACCTTATTATTGTTTTTGTTGTAACCTTCTCTTGCTTATCTGATTTGTGTTACTTGATAGGGGCCAGCCCAAGCACAGAATTTGAGGGATTCTCTTGCTGATGCAAACTCTGACATCGTAGTAAAGGCAAGTTATACTTCCGCCTGTGATGTTACTGCAGCTGTTTATTGGTCATTATCTTCAAAAAACCGTTTGCTATTTATGTGATCGATAAGCACGTTCCATTCTTAACACTATGCTTGGAAGTGATTCATTAATGTGAAGTATGGTAAAGGAAGGTGAAGTGATAATATTAAAACTATAACCCTAATGTTTTTAGAACTGTTTAAAGGAAAAGTAGGAAATTTTTGGGAAAGAAATAATACAGACACACTTGTACTCTGTAGTCCATATTCATCTTAGCCGTTTTGCTATTGCAGATTGGGTTGAGGAAGGGCTCCCGCTCTTTTGCTGAAGCTCGTGCTGCGGGGTTCACTGAAGAGAGTGGAACATTGGGAGACATTTGGGAAACTATTGCTGGCAGTGATCTTGTCTTGTTATTGATTTCTGATGCTGCTCAGGTTAGTGGTCTTGTCTTGTTTTCATGGTTCACTATTGAACAAAATCTTACATTAATGCCATTGCATTGAAAACAGTCTTTTGATAGTCGTAAGTTACTGTTGCTAACTGGTAGTGTTAATTAAAAGTTTTCACAGTTTTTGTTGCCTTTGCATGTCTGCTTTAATTCCTTGTTTATATAAATAGGTTTATACTTCTATAATTGGTGTGATCCTTTTGATTTTTGTCCCCTCATAAGCAAAAACTCTGCAACATTTGAAGTTGGTTTTATATTGATTTCTATTTAATTTTTTGTCCGTATCCTTACTCGTTTTGTTAATCTCCAACTTGTGTTGCAGGCAGATAACTATGAGAAGATATTCTCTCATATGAAACCAAACAGCATCCTTGGCCTTTCCCATGGTTTTCTTCTTGGACATTTGCAATCACTGGGGCTTGATTTTCCTAAGAACATAAGTGTTATTGCTGTTTGTCCCAAGGGAATGGGGCCTTCTGTTCGTAGGCTCTATGTTCAGGGCAAAGAAATAAATGGTGCAGGAATTAATTCAAGTTTTGCTGTCCACCAGGTTGCTTTCTCTCTGCTGTTGACATTGCAATTAATGCACGTGGTTTTAAAAAAAAAAAATACTGAAATTTGATTTTGAGCAGGATGTTGATGGTAGAGCTGCAGATGTTGCCTTGGGATGGTCTGTTGCTTTGGGCTCTCCTTTTACATTTGCCACCACATTGGAGCAGGAGTACAAGAGTGACATTTTCGGGGAACGTGGTGAGTTGTTGCCTTGGGATGGTCTGTTGCTTTGGGCTCTCCTTTTACATTTGCCACCACATTGGAGCAGGAGTACAAGAGTGACATTTTCGGGGAACGTGGTGAGTTAAAGTACACTATGCTGATGATATCAATCATGTGCGTGAAAGTTACACATTGCCTCTCATCATTGACCTTTGGACTGTCTTAGGCATACTACTTGGCGCTGTCCATGGGGTTGTGGAATGCTTGTTCAGAAGGTACACTGAGAATGGAATGAATGAAGATGTGGCTTACAAGAATACCGTTGAGAGCATAACAGGAATAATATCAAAAACTATCTCAACAAAGGTTGATGTTATCCCTGTCTCTTGGCTCTTTGATTTACTAATTAGGAATATTTCATTAACTTTAACTGGGACATTTACTAACTCTTGTACTCTCTTTGTTTGTTGGTTATATGGTTTTTGATAGGGCATGTTGGCTGTTTATAACTCATTATCCGATGAGGGAAAAAGGGACTTTGAGACTGCATACAGTGCAGCGTATTATCCCTGTATGGACATTCTATATGAGTGTTATGAAGATGTTGCTAGTGGTAGTGAGATTCGAAGTGTTGTGTTGGCTGGGCGTCGATTCTATGTATGTTGAGACCAAATGTTGGCACCCTTGTGATTGTTGCATTGTCTTTTTCTGAAGATTTAGAATTTCATTTTTTCTGAATTACTCTTGGTGGGCTTTTAATTGTTAATAGGAAAAGGAGGGCCTACCAGCTTTCCCAATGGGTAAGATAGATCAAACGCGAATGTGGAAAGTGGGTGAACGTGTTCGAGCAACACGACCTAAGGATGACTTGGGTCCTTTATATCCTTTCACTGCTGGAGTATTTGTAGCATTGATGATGGCTCAGGTAATAGATCCTATTATTATTGCCAGATAAATGTTTTGGCATATTTCCCAATTCCTAAAATTTGCCTGCTGTGTCCTTTTTCACCAGTAATTGCATTAATTAAGTAGTTTTCTATCTGAAATATGTTACTTATCAGATCGAGGTGTTGCGGAAGAAGGGACACTCGTACTCTGAAATCATAAATGAGAGTTTGATTGAAGCTGTGGATTCACTAAATCCATTCATGCATGCCCGAGGTGTCTCATTCATGGTTGATAATTGTTCGACAACTGCTCGATTAGGATCAAGGAAGTGGGCACCTCGTTTTGATTACATCCTTACCCAGCAGGCCTTCGTCGCTGTGGATGCAGGCAGTCCTCTCAACCATGACCTTATAAGCAACTTCATGTCAGACCCCGTTCATGGGGCTATTGAAGTGTGTGCCAGGTTGAGACCAACTGTTGACATTTCAGTGCCTCCAGATGCAGATTTTGTTCGCCCAGAATTGCGCCAGTCTGGCAATTAGAAATGAAGAAATTCAGCCTTACTGCTATGCATTTCAGTAAGATATGGAAGAGTGGAAGATTTTGTAGGAGTGGAGTAGAATGTGATCTAGTAAAGCTCTGTCTTCCTGTCAGGATAGTTGATTCAGTAATGTGTTTCTGTTGAGCGTTTGTAAGAACATTATATTCCCCTGAATTTGGATGCTTTGTTTCCCCTACTCTTGTAAGAGTTATCAGTCCCTATTTCTATCTTTGTGCTATTTCCCCTGAATTGCTTGTGAATGCCTAAGAAACGGTCTTACTAGTAAGTCCAAGTCGGTCTAATTTCCGGCAACAACATTCACAGATCCAAGAATCGTTAATATTGCCATATTTTGACGAAGAAATAATGTTCAAAACGGCCATGATCGGGGGCAGAGGTTATGGTTCTTTTTCGGGCAGTAGGCAGAGGTGGAACTAGACTTTTAAGTACGATGGGGCAATTTTTTATTTTTCAAAAAAAGAAAACAAAGGAAAATGAAAAGCAAAATTTGGCGCAATATGGATATTTTGTGAAAAAATATATTAAATTTAGGGAGATTTTAAATTTTCAAAATTTTTTGTAAGAGATGGACATTTTAAAAATATATATAAATTTTAAGGAAAATTTTTAAATCTTTAAAAAATTTGATAGGGCAAATGTAAATATTTTTTAAAAATATGTATAAAATTCCGGGGAAAAAAAAATTTGAATCGTTCTGGAATCAGACATTCTAGTCTAGCTCATATCTGTGAAGAATTTACTGTGAGAACGTGAACATCCGCCTCCCGCCTATCAGTATTTCCAAAACTACAATCCACTGGTTCAATGTCTTTCCGTAGCGTATCAATCGAAGAATGGACAATTTCTGAACAGAGCCGCTTGAACTAAACTACGACAGTATCTAGATCCGGAATCCCACTCCGTGCCGTGTGGGCTCTGCCTTTCCACTGCTAAAATAAGTGCAAATTTTTTCTAATCCAAATGGATATATGCGTGCTTTAGTTGCCATTCGTTGCAAGCTCTCTGGGAGGTGGACCAGAAACCTATTTGCTCCTATTTATTTTTTATTACAGAATTTCTTCTAGAGCTAAAATGACGATGAATGAGGCAGCAAGTGGAAGACGGGTATGTCAATGACCCAGCGCAATGTACAAACCGGGATTTTTTTTTTTTTTTTTTTTTTCCCAGCGCAATGTACAAAACCGGATTTTTTTTTTTTTTTTTTTTTTTTTTTTTTTTTTTTTTTTTTGTAAGTCAAACGCGCAAACAAGCTATCGCCCATCGTCAGTTGTAGAACGATTCAAGCAATGCGACTTTTTGTATTTTCTTTCTTTGTCGACTACCGCAAACCAAAATACCACCATTCAATTGCAGGTTCTTCAACTTTTCATTTAAAGTTCATATCCTATTATTCTTTTTCTTGATCACTTAGCAAAAGTGGGAAACAATGGCTGCAGCGTTGGTGGGAGGATCGGTTGTCTCTGCTTTTCTTCAGGTTTTGTTCGATAGGATGGCTTCTCACGAGGTTTTAGACTTCCTTAAAGGCCGAAAACTGAATGATGGATTGCTTATGAAGCTAAAGACGACAATGATATCTGTCAATGGACTGCTTGATGATGCAGAGGAGAAGCAGGTATCTAAACCAGCTGTGAAAGAGTGGCTTGATGAGCTTAAAGATGCTCTGTACGAGGCTGATGACTTGTTGGGTGACATTGCTTATGAAGCTCAAAAATCCAAGTTTGAAGCTGGATCTCAGTTTATCACTAATCAGGTGCGGAACTTTTTCTCTTTTCGTGATCCTTTTGGAAAGGAAATGGAAACCAATTTAGAAAAGATACTTGATAGACTTGAATATTTAGTAAAACAAAAGGATGCTCTTGGTTTGAATTTGAAAGAGGGTATAGGCAATGAAAAACATTCACTGCAGAGAACTCCTACGACTTCTGTAGTGGATGAATATGGTTTCTATGCTAGGGATGGTGACAAGAACTCCTTAATAGACTTGCTACTATCTGATGATGCAAATGGCAATGGCTTGGGTGTGATTCCAATAGTGGGCATGGGTGGGATCGGTAAAACCACTCTTGCTCAGCATATCTACAATGATAATAGAGTAAAAGAATGGTTTGATCTTAAAGCATGGGTTTGTGTTTCGGAAGAATTCAATATTTTTAAAATGACTAAAGATATTTTTGAAGAGGTTTCTTCAAAGACTTGTGACGCCAGCACTTTAAATAAGCTTCAACTTGAGCTAAAAACTAGATTGAAAGGGAAAAAGTTTTTGCTTATTTTAGATGATGTTTGGAATGATAAGTATGACGATTGGGAAATTTTACAGAGACCTTTGAAAGCTGGGGCACAGGGAAGCAAGATAGTTGTCACAACGCGTAACCAAAGTGTTGCATCAGTTATGTGCACAGTTCCAACTCACCATCTAAAGGAATTAACCGATGAGGATTGTTGGTTCTTGTTTGCCAAACATGCTTTTGTTGATGGAAATTCCAACTCGCATTCAGACTTGGAAGTAATTGGCAGAGAAATAGTAAGAAAATGCAAAGGTCTACCTTTAGCTGCAAAAGCAATGGGGGGCCTTTTACGCTCCAAAAGAAATGTCAAGGAATGGGAGAAAGTGTTAGCGAGTAGCATGTGGGATTTGACAAATGACAACATTCTTCCAGCTCTAAGATTGAGTTATCATTACCTTCCATCCCATCTAAAGCGCTGTTTTGCTTATTGTGCAATATTGCCAAAGGATTATCACATTCTAAAGGATCAATTAATCTTTTTATGGATGGCAGAAGGTTATTTGGACCAACCCAAAGGAAATAAAGAGGCTATTGATTTAGGTGAGGAGTACTTTCATGATCTTATGTCTAGGTCATTTTTTCAACAATCAAGTCCTATGTCCACACATTTTGTTATGCATGATCTTGTAAATGATTTGGCTAAACTTGTATCTGGAGAATTTTTTGTTAGATTGGATGATGATAATGCTTGCAAGATTACCAAGAAAACTCGTCATTTGTCATATCTGAGGATGAGCTACGACGACTTGGAAAGATTTGAGCCGATATATGATGCCAAGTTGCTGAGAACATTCTTACCAGTTAGTTTGTTACATTATTGGATCTATGAAGAGATCGATAGTAAGGTACTGCATGATTTATTGCCAACACTAACACAGCTACGTGTGCTGTCTTTGTCGCACTATGATAATATAGCCACATTACCTGATTCAATCAGCAAATTAAGACATTTACGTTACTTAAGTCTTGCTGGAACACCTATTAAAAGATTACCTGAATCTGTGATTAGTTTGTACAATTTACAATCTTTGATCTTGAGAAAGTGTACAGAATTAGTTGAGTTGCCAATCAATATGGTGAAGTTAATTAACTTGTATCATCTTGAAATTACCAACACGAGTTTGAAAGAGATGCCACATCAAATGGGGAAGCTAACAAAACTAAGAAGGTTAACTGATTTTGTTTTGGGAAGTCAAAGTGGGTCTAGCATCGAACAGTTAGGAGAGCTTCAACATCTTGGGGGAAGGCTTTGGGTTTGGAATCTTCAAAATGTGGTGGATGCTAAAGATGCTACGCAAGCTCATTTGAAGGGTAAGAAGCACCTAAAGGAGCTGCAGTTGAGATGGGACAGTGACACTGATGATTCATTTCATGACAGAGATGTTCTTGAGCAATTAGAGCCTCATAGCAATGTAGAGAATCTTCTAATTGTTGGTTATGGGGGTACAAGATTTCCACATTGGGTTGGAGATTCATCTTTTTCAAATGTGGTATTCATGGAGCTGAGTGGATGTAAATATTGCCACTTCTTACCACCACTTGGGCAGTTGTTGTCTCTAAAAGTTCTTTCTATCAAAGCGTTCAATGGAGTAGTCTCTATAGGTCCTGAGTTCTATGGTAATTGCACAAGCATGAAAAATCCATTTGGATCCCTTGAAATTTTAAGGTTTGAAAGGATGCCACAATGGCGTGAATGGATTTTGTATGGTGATGGAGCTTTCCCTCTTCTTCAAAAGCTTTCTATCAAAAAATGTCCCAACTTAACCAATACCTTACCCAGTAATCTCCCTTCATTGACAACACTTGAGATTGAGGGATGCCAACAGCTTGAGGCTTCACTCCCGAGGTCTCCAGTCTTTCTTTCAATCAAATTCGCGGATGACTCTCGCAATTTATGGTTCGGAAAAATGTCTTCTGGCCTGCAACGTCTCAAAATTGAACGATTCCAATTACACCCTCTCGATTCTTTGCTGGTGCAAATGGGGAGTCTTGCCACTCATTTACATGAAATTGAAATCAGAAATTGCCATTCCTTGAAGTGCTTCCATTTGGAGTTGTTCCCTAATCTAAAGACACTTAGCATCAATGAATGTCGAAATCTTGAATTCATTTGCGGATTTGGAGGATGTCTCAGCTCCTTGGTAATCTCTAACTGCCCCACTTTAGTATCTTTCTCCAGAGGAGGAATAGCAGCCCCCAATTTGACATTCCTTGAGCTAAGGGATTGCTTAAATTTGAAAGCCCTGCCAGACTGTATGCATTCCCAACTGCCTTCTCTTGTAGATTTGAGATTGTATCATTGTGCAGAACTTATGTCCTTCCCGGAAGGAGGTTTGCCATTGAAGTTGCAATCCCTTCAGATCCATCATTGCAACAAATTGTTTGCTGGACGCTTGCACTGGGAATTACAAAGGCTTCCGTCTCTGTCACAGTTTCTTATTGGCACAATTGAAGATGTGGAATCCTTCCCACAAGACACATTGCTGCCTTCAACTATTACTTCTCTTACAATCTCAAGCTATAAGAATCTGAAATCCTTGGACTGCAATGGGCTTCAATACCTTGCATCTTTGAGAGAATTGACTATCAGTAACTGTCCAGCTTTGACAGAGCTGCCTCCACAAGACCATACATGCGCCCGACTTCAAGCTAATTACTTCTCTTACAATGGACGCTTGCACTGGGAATTACAAAGGCTTCCGTCTCTGTCACAGTTTCTTATTGGCACAATTGAAGATGTGGAATCCTTCCCACAAGACACATTGCTGCCTTCAACTATTACTTCTCTTACAATCTCAAGCTATAAGAATCTGAAATCCTTGGACTGCAATGGGCTTCAATACCTTGCATCTTTGAGAGAATTGACTATCAGTAACTGTCCAGCTTTGACAGAGCTGCCTGGACGTATGCACTCCATCCTCCCTTCCCTGGTGAAATTGGTGATCTTCAACTGTCATGAACTTGAGTCGTTCCCAGCAGGGGGTCTTCCCTCCAAATTAGAATCACTTGTGGTCCAACGTTGCAAGAAACTCATTGCTGGTCGGATGCAATGGGACTTAAAGAAGCTTCACTCTCTTGCAAACTTAACTATTGGCAAGGATAAAGATGTTGAATCCTTCCCGGAGGAGATGCTGCTGCCTCACACACTTTCCTCTCTTAAAATCAAGGATTTTCAAAATCTAAAGTCTTTAAACTACAAGGGGCTTCAACACCTATCTTCTCTCAGAGAATTGAAGATCTGGAAATGCCGTAAGCTCCAGTCGTTGCCAGTAGAAGGTCTGCCTTTGTCCCTTAATTCTCTAATTATCTCTGGTTGTTCTATGCTGAAAGAAAGGTGTGAACGGGAAAATGGTGAAGATTGGCCCAAGATTTCTCACATTCCATCTATAGAAATTGATGGTGTTACCATCACTGAGATAAAATACTAGATGGATTCTCTCGTTTTACATTCATCTAATCTAGAAAGATAAGGTATGTTTCTTTTCTTCCCTCTATCTTCTCTTTAAAGTTTCTACACCAAAGGCAAAACTACAGCGGCCATTATTTACTTTGAAACATTGAAATGCGCGGCAGGTGGCAATTTATTAGATAGACACGGAAGCCAACCAGCTTAAATTGCAAATGCAGCTCTTGAAGCACCGAACCAGAGCATTTTGTCACCGTAAAAAAACCGATGATGGCTGATTCCCAAAACCCCGATACATCTCAAAACCTTCCTCCTCCTCCTCCTCCTCCTCCTAATTCTAAAATTCCTTCAGAAATCAGAAACGGTAACTCCAACTCAAGCACTAACGCCAATTTCTCTGGCCAAAAGGCCCACTACCGAACCCACCCGATGCGACCAACCCGGACCCGGCGACGCTGAGGGAGCAGTGGAGGTTCGCAATCAAGCAGTACAGCAGATGGTACTCCCACGCTTGGGGCACATCAATTCTCGCGTGTCTCTCGTTCTTCGCTCTGGGTTGGATTATCAGGGCCCGAACCCTCTGCCCTCCTTCAGGAAGGAGAATTCTTCTTCTGAATCCTCTCCTTCAACTAATGATGCCAATGAAGCTCGCCAGTAATATGTGAGTGATATTATCTGTGGTTTTTTTCACTCTGTGGTTTTGATTCGTGGTTTGGGTTTTTTGTGGGTTTAATTTGAAATCTTGGGTTTTTTGAGTTTAATAACGTCATAACTCTTTTCAACAATAAAAGTTATATAATATATTATTATTCTATTTTTTAAAGCGTATCATTAGTTGATTCTGATTATGATTCTTCAGAAAAAATATGAATAATGCAATCTAGAGGCCGTTGTTGTTGGATTTATGATAAGCTAAGTTGCTTTTGTCTAATATTTGCTTTGGAAGTTCTATGTTTTTTTTTATTCATTGTGAATTTCTAGAAGCATTCTAATCAAAATTTTTAATCATATTTGATGGTGAAACAAATAAGTTTGACTTGTGCATTTTGGATGTTAACACATATATGGTGAAACAAATCAGTTTTGACTTGTTAATTCTAAGATCAAAATTTTTACAATGCATAATTTGATAGGTGAAACCAAATAAGTTTGACTTGTAATCAAAATTTTTAATCATATTTGATGGTGAAACAAATAAGTTTGACTTGTGCATTTTGGATGTTAACACATATATGGTGAAACAAATCAGTTTTGACTTGTTAACAATATTGTCAAGTGTCTATCTAAAACTTACAATTTTGCGCAATCACGTAGATTTTAATCGTATATGTGGTGGTTTCTCTTGCAGTTGTTGAGGATGGCCGTAAATGGATCCTTCTATTGCATATTTGTGAGTTTGTTGTGAGCTCAGAATTTGATCACCTGTGGTTTCTCGGTGCATGGCATTCAACATTCACCAAGGACACTGGAGCCAGTTTGTTCTGGTAACTGCATTATATTCATTATTACAATTGCTCTTTTAATGCCATACTAGATCATATCTAATTTATCAATTCTTGCATTGTTTTTTCTTTTTGCTTTTATTTTTCCTTTGTCTTAACAATCTAACTAACACCAGCTGAAGAAAAATAACAAAACTAGTGCAGCAGTTGGGATATGGTTTTGCAAGAGATACATGCATAAAAAAAGAGCAAAGGGGGTAAGACTTGAATTTGTCTGATTTGTTTTATTTCAGTTTATATTTATGTAATTAAGTTGTTTCTTTGGGCATGTGTTTATATTCCACTTTTAATAGTGGGATTCTAGTGGGAATGCAGTTGTGGGAAAGTGGCTAGTTAGCTTGTTTTTATGTGACTGAATGTCTGTTTATTATGAAATGAACAACACGGAATATCAAGCAGTAGTCATTTTCGTCAAAGTTCTTGTTTTGTTTAATGAGGTCAAAAGGTTCTTATCTAACTGGTCCTTGAACTAGCAACCATTGTTGAAAGGCAGAAACAGTAACAAATTCAGAGTTCATCTAATATAGTCTTATTTTTGTGTTAATCAGTGTCTAACCAGATCTCAAATGCATGACAATAATGCCTTTCTTTTTGTGCTCAATGTTCCCTGAAAAAATTTAAAAGTCTTATCAAATTTTGATAGCAATTTAGTTGCTTACACTACAAGATTGGTACTTGATAGCTAAAATAAATGAACCTTTATACATGGATATTAAACACATATTGCTGAAATTATACAACTGCATGAAAGATAGAATGAGCACAGATAGCAGAACATTTTACAGCCTATAAATTTCCATAGAATGAGCACAGATAGCAGAACATTTTACAGCCTATAAATTTCCTGATACTAACATATCAAATAGGATTTATTGCCATTATGCTTCTCCTTGTTCAATTTCAAGCAGTTGGATACGAAGCTTTCATGGCAATGCCACAGAGGCCTTCGTTTGCACTAATTTCCCTTTGCATCCTTATATACCCATTCTCACCCCAGCCGGTGCCCCATGAATTCTTTAGCAACCAATACTTAGTACCATCACTGCTACTACCATACCCAATTACAGTAACAGCATGGTTTAGATCAGTAGTACAGTCCCCTTTAAAGACACCAGAAGACACCAGAAGAGTAAAATCTGAAGTCATACCCACTAGCATCAATAGCAACAGAAACTGGTTGGTTTGCCACAGCTTGCAAGAGAGCCTTTTCACTGTTAGATGGCACATCTTCATATCCAGTTATTTTAGCCGTAGAAGTTGCCGTCTTCTTCTTGCTGCAGATGCCATCTTCTCCTTGGTAGGGGTAATTAGCCTCACTCGTGAGACCTCCATTTTTTAGGATATATTGGAAAGCAGTGTCCATGAAACCTCCGTCACAACCATAATCCTCACCTGCTACGTCGCAATCTACGAGCTCTTGCTCTGATAAAGATATTAAATTGCCAGTTTTGAGTTTTGTGATCCCTTCCATTGCTGCCACTGCTGAGAATGCCCAGCAACTTCCTATGCATTAAACATTAAAAAATGATTTATTAGAAACGAATTTTCATTTGTGGTGCGGGGATTGCTCTTTTCTGTTATGCATCAATAGCATGATTTTTAAGATCAAAATCATTGTTCAATTTCATGTGTATTTATTTAGCAATAGGACAGTGGTTGAGTCTGTCTCATAGTATGACAAGTTAAGGTTCTAAATCCTAGGTCTACTTCTGCCTTACATATTAAGATTATATCAGCACTCACCGCAGGAGCCTTGATCTTTGACAGGGGTCACAGCACCGGCCTTTCTCCAATCTATAGTAGTTGGCACAGAAGTTACATTTCTGTACCTAAAGGATCTGGACTTTGAAGTGGACATTAATTTGGAGGGTGGGCTCTTGTAACCAAGGTGCATGGCCTGAAATTCCTCATCTGTTAAGTCTGCAAATTTGTTGAGTCCTAGCTTGTATCCACGGTCCACACCATTGTTAAAGGATTCAATACGTTCAAGGTTGTCCTTAAAAACCAGGTATTTTTTCTGTTTCTCTGCTGTGTCTTTGTAGACACGTCCATGTTGGGCTCTCCATTCTTCATGCCTCTTTAACATGTATTCTTCGTTAAGAGGACGACAAACCGTTTGTGTAGCCCATATGGTTAATATGTTCAACTTAATATGTTCAACGCCCATATGGTTAATATGTTCAACACAAATACCAGAAATATGGATTTGCTTTGTTTTTTAGTCATAGTATCAAGAGAGTATCTATAACTATAAAGAAGGAATCTTTGAATGGGTGTAGCTATTTTAAAATGGGTATCTGGGACTTTATAGATCAACCTGTCCCTCTCTCGGTGTAGTCAGCTATAGTGACTGTGACTTGTACCTTTCAACGTTGCTTACAAGATTTAACAAATTAAAAGAGTTGTTTATATTATTTTGAATAATAAAACTAAAAACTGAAAGAGATGATGTTAGATTTCTCTTGAGAATGATCTTGGAAAAAAAAAAAAATCTCATAGAAAGAATTATATACTTACCATTTATAAATAATCATGGGATTCGGTTCAATCAAAAAAAAAAAAAAAAGTACTCAAAAAAAAAAAAAAAAAAAGTACTCTAACATTAACTATAAAAACATCTAATTCATACTTTTTGAATAATTTGAGAGTGTTGTTATGAATTAAGATTCCAATGATTTCGGTACATTAAAAAAAAAAAAAAAAAGTACTCTACATTACTAATCAAAAACATCTATTATACTTTTGATAATTTAGAGTGTTGTTATGAAATTAAGATTCCATGATTTCATCAATTCAAAATTTTGATTCAAATTAACTTTAACTTTGGCATGATTGATTCTTTGATGTGAAACAGGTTTTCTTCATATATGAAATGACAAAGACCCCGAAGGAAGACACTGTAGGACTAATATAGCACGGAAGGTAAACCTTGATGGAGAAATACCTTCCTTAACGACTAATATCAAGTTCAATATTTGCATATTATTTGTTCCTATCTTAGCTTATCACTAGACAAAGACTTGGCTTGAGAAAATTTTCATTTGAATTTGTTTTGATGAATTTAATAAGCTGAGTTCGAACTTGCTTATCAAACTTATTTAACAAAGGACCTGTACTTTTGTTTTGCAACTGAGTTCGAAAGGTGGCTTAGTGGCGAGACTATAGTTTGCGAACTAACTCGATAATAGTATATTCTCTCTGTAATGCATATTCATTATTGGTAATTTCTAAAGAACTAACTAAACCAGTGAACAGTTTTAGACAATTATTGCTTAGAAATTTTAAGACTCGCGACGTGACAACATTATTTCAAACAACATTATACGTTGTATCAGCGTAAGAATATAGTTGTACGTTATTAGTTGTACAATGGAATTTGTATTTTGATTCTTTAACAAGACATCCACATCGTTGAGATACCATCAAGTACAATATAATTTGTGTGGCTGAAATTAAAGATTCCATGCTGCTCTGCAAGCTTGGAATGATAGCCGTGCAAGTTTATATCCAGTTAACGTATTATTTTATTTTAATTATTCCTAAAGCAAAGCTTGTCGTATGAACAGTTTTTACGTCCCTACTTAATTGCAGCTTTCCATCTGATTGGAACTTCTTTATTATTGGTTAGAATGAACAATGTGATCGACAGGAAAATACATTTTATGGTTTGGTTTAGTTAAATTTTTTAAAAACTGTCGATTTGATCTAATTATTACAATTCAAACGAAACTCTGCAAACTAAATTCTGACTTCCTAACAACTATTTTATTTTTAAAACTCATTTTTTAATATATACAATCACTAAAATTCATAGCTTGAATTTTGAGAGCATAAAACAAACCTCCAAGAGAGAGAGAACGCAGGGTAGGAGTTAGGTTTGCAATTTTGAGTTCATTAGGCTTTTGAGCCCTCTAAAGCATATCAGCTAAAACCCATTAATGGCCATGTCAAATGTGGAATTGGAACTTCAATATGTTTGAGCTTTTGTCATATCTAGGCCTATCCAGTGTAATCCACAGTTGATTAGGCTCTTTTTTTCTCTTTCTTTTTTTTTAAAAAAAAATTATCAAATTTTCTCTACTTTTAATTGATTGGATGATAAAAGTTATTGGCCACATGTGCAATCAGAATGAAAAAATTCAATTTTTAAAGGATTAACTTAATCAGCTTGTAAGTTTTTGAACAAATTGAGATTAGTGACTCGGGTAATAAACATGTATTATTATGATTAAATTAAATGAAATGATTCGCCAACCCCCACAGCAATATGAATGCTCAACTGACACAATACCTATGCTTGAGTACGAAACTGTTTCATAACGGCCACAAAAAAACAGTTCTGCCGTAAACAATTCGTTTCTCTTATTCATAAATGATTAGTTCATCATCTCTCTTAATAAAATAATCCACCTAATTTTCTTTAATCTTACAAATAAAATTTGATCTTCACTTAAAATCAGAAGGTACTCGAGGAAACCGGTTGATCTTCACCGATTCATCGGCTCTACTCTTCATTTCTTAAATAGCTTCTTTGTTATAATTTGCACCGGCATTTGCTAAAGCCGACGTATTTATCGACCGCGGACGATTTATTCGGATGTTTACCCTAATCGCTGATGTGTTAAAAGATCATGTAGACAAGTGGTAGATAGTGAATGATGTGGATTCATTCTGGTAATGTGTCATCAAATCCAATGACGTGTCAAAACAGTTGTGGCAGAATGTAAACACCTGGCACCAACGGATGATGTGTGTATATTACATGGCAAGCTAAGACACTTGGCAGTGATTGATGGCATGGAGACAATGCGATGTGTACAAATATTGATGTGGCAAGTTTGTACAGCTAACTTATTAGAAGACATGGTCGATAACCGCTGATCTGTTACACCATGGCATGGCGTTAACGTACACCTAGCACAATTAGGTGAAGTTCTCGTGTTGACATGACAATATCAAACTGATGGCATGTCTATATGATGTGGCAACGCAGAACACTTAGCACTGACTGATGACAAGACAGTACACGATGACGTGTCTAGAAGTTGAAGTAGAGAAATTTATACAGCTGGCCAACATAAGATGATATGTCGATTTAAAACTAAATGAGTAGGTGTCAATTGATGACGTGTATGAGGTGATGTGGCACAACTATACACTTGGCACCATTGAATGACGTGGCTATTGTGTACGTCTGCACCCTTACGACGCATCATTTTATTTTCGCAGCATCATGTGAACAGCTTAGACCTTTTGATGACATGTCGATATATGTTGAATGACGTGTAAATTGTGACATGGCAGATCAAGACACCTGGCATTATTTGATGGCGTGTATTTCCGTTGACGTGGTCATATTTGTACTCCTGGCAACATTTGACCTATAACCACTGATAACCTGTCGCACAACTATTTCTTTGATGTGGCACACTTTGGACGCCTGGCTACATTTGATGACGTGTTTCAGAATTAATTTTTACGTTGTAAGATTTGTACACTTGGGACCATGTGACCCACTGACGGCGTGTCGCACAGCTATTACTTGACGTGGCATACGCGGACACCTGGCGCCATTTGATGACGTGGGATCCGTTGCACATCTTGGATCATAGATGGCGTGTCTGCGTTGACTTATGTGGGTGAGGGTTTATGACATGTCATAGAACTGAAGAAGCAAAATTTGCACGCCCGACGTCATTTGATGACGTGTTTGAGACTTGGATTGCAGATAGTAAGTTTAAACTATGGCGTTGTTGCCTCTGTAACAAATTACCTAAAATAGTGCAGAAGAAAAACCCTAGCAATTGGACCAGTGAAGGAGCTCCGATCAAGGTAAACTTTCTCTATTCCTCATTTTAATTTTTTTTGTCTTTTGTTTTGATCCGATTATTGTTGCATCTTCAGTAACCGTAATCGCATAGCCCTAGAATTAACCTCAGACTTTAATGTAAAACCAGCTCTCAAGTTCTCCTTCTTCCGTGCCTAGGGTTTCCTTTTCTTGCGATATTGTGTTTGTTCATAAATTATTTTGGTTTATCTACTAAAGCAATTAATTTTAACAGAATACTATTGTGCACTCATCTTTCAACTTAAGGCTTGAGAGGCAAACAATGGTAAACGCGCAGCAAACAATGGTAAATGCGCAGTGAACTGTGGGGATATATATAGGGAGAGACGAGAGAGAAATTTATTTAATTTTTTTTTTCCAAATTTTACAGCAAAATAGGGATTATGCAAAGTTTATTTATCTTTCAGTTTTGAGAAAAATAAAAGTCTCCCTTACTTTCACCGTTTTGATGCTTTATCTATATTTTTGTTCTTTTTCATATTTGAGTTCTGGAAATTATTATAAGTTTTGGGGCTGGTCTGAATTTCTGGAAGATCTCTAGCCTATTAACATCAACTTCCTTACAGATTTTTATGTTGTACTTCATGTGTTGAAGAGCTTTGAATTCTGAAAATTGTATATTGCTTCACTTCCTAAAGCAATACAGAGAAAAGTAGTTTGATATTTATAAGAGATCAATTTTCCGCATGACAGAATGTTGGAATTATTTTTGGTGGAAAAGGTTTGGGTTTCAAGCACTGAATGAGAGAAGAAAACGTACTTCTAAAGTTGATGGTTTCTATGATAAATCTAATAGGGAGTAAAACAATGCAGGGTTAAGTTCTTAATAATTACTCAACTTCGAAAAGGATGAGTAATTGCAAATTTATGATTCTGTTAGGTTTCCTATTATAGCTTTGTTTATCTCTCGTTTGGTTCTTGATTAAATGAGCAATGAGTCTGATTGAGCAACTGTGAGCAATGACAACAATGGATAACTCTGTTTCAAGGCCTGAGATAGGAGTCAGTAACTCTCATTTGGACTCTGTCCCAAAACCTCAAGTTATTTACCGCTGTAAAAAATGTCGAAGAATTGTTGCGTCAGAAGAGAACATAGTTCCCCATGAGCGTGGAAAGGGAGAGCAATGCTTCAAATGGAAAAAGAGAAGTGGTGACCCCCAGGAGAAGGGTAAAAAATGTCGAAGAATTGTTGCGTCAGAAGAGACATAGTTCATGAGCGTGGAAAGGGAGAGCAATGCTTCAAATGGAAAAAGAGAAGTGGTGACCCCCAGGAGAAAGGAAACCACTGAATGCTCCTCCATATTTGTAGAGCCCATGAAGTGGTGCAAACAGGTGAACATAATAAACTGTAACTATCCTACTATACATTGCAAATGGTATTGTTTTTATTTATAACACTAATTAAATTGATTTTTGTATTGATTAGTACAAGAAGGGTTTGTTGGAGAAGGCCTTGTAGGAGAGAAACTTCAGTGCATGGGCTGTAAAGCACGCTTGGGTTCCTTCAACTGGGCGGGCATGCAATGCAACTGTGGAACATGGGTTAATCCTGCATTTCAACTGCATAAAAGCAGATTAGATGAATGCTTCATATAGAGTCGTATTGTATTTGGTGCAACAGAAAGCAGTGAAATCCTTGGAATTATAAATCCTTGGAATTATAGGTGGATAGAAATGCCAAGTTGACTGAACATTGGCTGTCATTATAAGTTCTAAATTTCTTTTTATTATTCTCTTTTGGCAAAATTACCTCTGCATTGCACGAAACAGCTGTAAATAAAATAAAATAAATCAATACTCAGCATCTAAGCTGTGAATGAACATGAAAGGTAATAGATTTTAACAGCTATAGGATATTGCAGCGTAATAGTAATAGTTTTGATGTAACCAAGAAGTCTCATGGTTGAGGCTACAAAAGAAAGCTCCTGAGCATAATCCTATTTCCTGTAGTCCAAACGAGAAATAATTAATTACAATAATTACTGTATCATCCTGATTAGATTTTAACAGCTATAGGATATTGCAGCGTAATAGTAATAGTTTTGATGTAACCAAGAAGTCTCATGGTTGAGGCTACAAAAGAAAGCTCCTGAGCATAATCCTATTTCCTGTAGTCCAAACGAGAAATAATTAATTACTGTTAATCCTATTTAATTACAGTATTAAAATAATTAAATAATAAATATATCAACAAACAAGTAGATCTTCATAATTTGGAGTTGGAAAAGAGTGCATCGGTGAGGGTATGGGTATTATTGTACTTTTAGATGAAACTGTTAAATCTTACCAGAGCATTTTGTCACTGTTAAAAAACCGATAATGGCTGATTCCCAAAACCCCAGTACATCTCAAAACCTTCCTCCTCCTTCCCTAATTCTAAAATTCCTTCAGAAATCAGAAACGGTAACTCCAACTCAAACACTAACGCCAATTTCTCTGGCCAGAAGGCCCACTACCGAACCCATCCGATGCGACCAACCCGGACCCGGCGACGCTAAGGGAGCAGTGGAGGTTCGCAATCAAGCAGTACAGCAGATGGTACTCCCACGCTTGGGACACATCAATTCTGGCCGGTCTCTCGTTCTTCGCTCTGGGTTGAATTATCAGGGCCCGAACCTTCAGCCCTCTTTCAGGAAATAGAATTCTTCTTCTGAATCCTCTCCTTCAACTAATGATGCCAATGAAGCTCGCCAGTAATATGTGAGTGCTATTATCTGTGGTTTTTTTTACTCTGGTTTTGATTCGTGATTTGGGTTCTTTGTGGGTTTAATTTGAAATCTTGGGTTTTTCGAGTTTAACAACATCATAACTCTTTTCAACAATAAAAGTTATATAATATATTATTATTCTATTTTCTTAAAGCTTATCATTAGTTGATTCTGATTATGATTCTTCAGAAAAATATGAATAATGCAATCTAGACGCCGTTGCTGTTGGATTTATGATAAACAAAGTTGCTTTTGTCTAATATTTGCTTTGGAAGTTCTCTGTTTTTTTTATTCATTGTGAATTTCTAGAAGCATTCTAATCAAAATTTTTAATCATATTTGATGGTTGAACAAATAAGTTTGACTTGTGCATATTGGATGTTAACACATATATGGTGAAACAAATCAGTTTTGACTTGTTACAATATTGTCAAGTGTCTATCTAAAACTTACAGTTTTGCTCAATCACATAGATTTTAATCATATATGTGGTGGTTTCTCTTGCAGTTGTTGAGGATGGCCGTAAATGGATCCTTCTATTGCATATTTGTGGGTTTGTTGTGAGCTCAGAATTTGATCACCTGTGGTTTCTCTGTGCAAGGCATTCAACCTTCACCAAGGATACTGGAGCCAGTTTGTTCTGGTAACTGCATTATACTCATTATTACAATTGCTCTTTTAATGCCATACTAGATCATATCTAATTTATCAATTCTTGCATTGTTTTTTCTTTTTTCTTTTATTTTTCCTATGTCTTAACAGTCTAACACCAGCTGAAGGAAAATAACAAAACTAGTGCAGCAGCTGGGATATGGGTTTGCAAGAGATACATGCATAAAAAAAGGAAGAGCAAAGGGGGTAAGACTTGAATTTGTCTGATTTGTTTTATTTCAGTTTATATTTATGTAATTAAGTTGTTTCTTTAGGCATGTGTTTATATTCCACTTTTAATAGTGGGTTTCTAGTGGGAATGCAGTTGTGGGAGAGTGGCTAGTTAGCTTGTTTTTGTGGGTTTCTAGTGGGAATGCAGTTGTGGGAGAGTGGCTAGTTAGCTTGTTTTTGTGTGACTGAATGTCTATTTATTATGAAATGAACAACACGGAATATCAAGCAGTATTCATTTTCGTCAAAGTTCTTGTTTTGTTTAATGACGTCAAAAGGTTCTTATCTAACTAGTCCTTGAACTAGCAACCATTGTTGAAAGGCAGAAACAATAACAAATTCAGAGTTCATCTAATATAGAGTCTTATTTTTGTGTTAATCAGTGTCTAACCAGATCTCAAACACATGACAATAATGCCTTTCTTTTTCTGCTCAATGTGCCCTGAAAAAATAGAAAAGTCATATCAAATTTTGATAGCAATTTATTGCTTACACTACAAGATTGGTATTTGATAGCTAAAATAAATGAACCTTTATACGTGGATATTAAACACATATTGCTGAAATTATACAACTGCATGAAAGATAGAATGAGCACAGATAGCAGAACATTTTGCAGCCTATAAATTTCCTGATACTAACACATCAAATAGGATTTATTGCCATTATGCTTCTTATTGCCATTATGCTTCTCCTGTTCAATTTCAAGCAGTTGGATACGAAGCTTTCATGGCAATGCCACAGAGGCCTTCATTTGCACTAATTTCCCTTTGCATCCTCATATACCCATTCTCACCCCAGCCGGTGCCCCATGAATTCTTTAGCAACCAATACTTAGTACCATAACTGCTACTACCATACCCAATTACAGTAACAGCATGGTTTAGATAGGTAGTACAGTCCCCTTGAAAGACACCAGAAGAGTAAAATCTGAAGTCATACCCACTAGCATCAATAGCAACAGAAACTGGTTGGTTTGCCACAGCTTGCAAGAGAGCCTTTTCACTGTTAGATGGCACATCTTCATATCCAGTTATCTTAGCCGTAGAAGTTGCTGTCTTCTTCTTGCTGCAGATGCCATCTTCTCCTTGGTAGAATTAGCCTCACTCGTGAGACCTCCATTTTTTAGGATATATTGGAAAGCAGTGTCTATGAAACCTCCGTCACAACCATAATCCTCACCTGCTATGTCACAATCTACGAGCTCTTGCTCTGATAAAGATATTAACTTGCCAGTTTTGAGTTTTGTGATTCCTTCCATTGCTGCCACTGCTGAGAATGCCCAGCAACATCCTATGCATTAAACAGCTAATGTGGAACATGGGTTAATCCTGCATTTCAACTGCATAAAAGCAGATTAGATGAATGCTTCATATAGAGTTGTATTGTATTTGGTGCAACAGAAAGCAGTGAAATCCTTGGAATTATTGGTGGATAGAAATGCCAAGTTGACTGAACATTGGCTGTCATTATAAGTTCTAAATTTCTTTTTATTATTCTCTTTCGGCAAATTTACCTCTGCATTGCATGAAACAGCTGTAAAATAAAATAAAATAAATCAATACTCAGCATCTAAGCTGTGAATGAACATGAAAGTTAATAGATTTTAACAGCTATAGGATATTGCAGCGTAATAGTAATAGTTTTGATGTAACCAAGAAGTCTCATGGTTGAGGCTACAAAAGAAAGCTCCTGAGCATAATCCTATTTCCTGTAGTCCAAACGAGAAATAATTAATTACTGTTAATCCTATTTAATTACAGTATTAAAATAATTAAATAATCAATATGTCAACAAACAAGTAGATCTTCATAATTTGGAGTTGGAAAAGAGTGCATCGGTGAGGGTATGGGTATTATTGTAAAAGCTCCTGAGCATAATCCTATTTCCTGTAGTCCAAACGAGAAATAATTAATTACTGTTAATCCTATTTAATTACAGTATTAAAATAATTAAATAATCAATATGTCAACAAACAAGTAGATCTTCATAATTTGGAGTTGGAAAAGAGTGCATCGGTGAGGGTATGGGTATTATTGTAATTTTAGATGAAACTGTTAAATCTTCCCAGTCATTCGTTATTTATTCTCTCGATTTCAATTTCATCTGGATTGTCCTTCTTTTGTATTGAACTCCATTCCACTCTCTCTCTCAGGTTGGCAAACTTTTGCGGAAACTACAAATTTTCTTGGTAACCAAACACAATAAATGCACACCTCTCTCGTCATGCCCTGTATAAGTTGCGGACACAGATCCCTAATCCGCGACGACAGCACTGGCAACCTGGTATGCGAATCATGTGGCACCGTCCAAGAATACGATAACTATGAGGCTCGCACCGGCGGCATCAATGGTCCAGAAGGTGTGTTAATTCGTCTGGGAACTTCAGGTACTGGTAGTGTCTTAAATTACCGAGACAAAAAACTTTACGAGGCAAATAAGCTTATTGATGAAATAACCTTCAGATTGGATTTAGTAGGCAAAAAAGTTAGCGAAATTAAGTCCATGATCGATAAAGTTACTACGAGGCAAATAAGCTTATTGATGAAATAACCTTCAGATTGGATTTAGTAGGCAAAAAAGTTAGCGAAATTAAGTCCATGATCGATAAAGTTACCGAAAGTGAGTTTGGGCAAGGTGATTGGTTTCCAGTTTTGATAGGTGCATGTGCTTATATCGTAGTGAGAAGTGATAATAAGTCTTTGTCTGTTGCAGAAATTGGTAATGTGATTGGTTGTGATGTTTATGAATTAGGTAGAATGATAAGGCGTGTTGTTGATCATTTGAATATAAAGCTGCCTGAGTTTGATATAGTAACATCATTTGAGAAGGCAGTGAGGAATTTGTTGGATACAGGGAGGGTTGACAGTGATAAAGTTGAAAGAATGCGGGAACAAGGGGTGTTTTTGATACAATGTGGGATTAAGTGGTTTTTAACCACAGGGAGAAGGCCCTTGCCTATTGTGGCAGCGGTGCTGGTGTTGGTGGCAGAGTTGAATGGGGTTGAGTGTGTGAAAATTGAGGAGGTGGCTAGGGATATGCATGCAGCAGTGTCTACATGTAGATTGAGGTATAAGGAGTTGTTAGAGGCACTTGTGAAAGTTGCACAGGCATTGCCATGGGGGAAGGATGTGACCTTGAAGAATATTGTGAAGAACGCACCATTTGTGATTCGGTATATGGAGATCAAGTCGATGGCAAAGTCTGATGGACAGGGGGACGGTTTGGGTTATATTGGATTTGATTTTGGGGAGGTGATTATTCAGTGTTTGAGGAAGGATGTTGAGTACGGGGTTGAGGATGATAGCACAGAATGTGATGATTCTCGGTATTTTGAGGTGAGAAATAGACAAGGCTTGAATAACATGGGAGACAATGATGTGGATAAGCTTCAGCTTTCACATGAGTGCTTGTCCTTGGCTTATGACAAGTTCTTACATGAGGGTGGAAGAGATAAATATGCTGGAAATGTTGAAAGAGTTAATAGTACGAAAAGGAATAGAGTGTATGATCTTCATCCAACTGAATGGTGGGATGGGAAATCAGATTTAAGCAAGAAGCTTTTGCTGAAACGAATATTAGAAAAAGATGTGGGATTAAATCCTATGCCTCCTTCTTTTGTTAATGGCCATATGGCAGTTGAGAGGAGAAGAGCAAAGATAAATGCTGCAAAGCTTCGTATTGAAAGGATTATGCATCCACGGAATGCTGATTCAGGTGTTGGTAGTGACTTTTGCTTTCTGGAAGCTCGGAAGAGAAAACGAAAAGCAAGGGCAAAAGGACTTGATTGGGAAGATTTTGTCATTGAGACCCTCCTTCTTCATCAGGTGAAAGAGGATGAAATTGAGAAGGGGCACTACAATACTTTGCTCGACTTGCATGTTTTCAATTCTGGAATGGTGTGAGAGGTTCCAGCAAGGAGGCTGAACATTTTCAATATTCTTATTTGAACCTTTATTGTTGAAGAGAAAATTTTGGAGAACACTCGTAAAGGTACAGGGAAAATTTAACTTCTTTTTCTTGAGCAAGATACTTTGTTTATATTTTTACAGGAACAAAAACATCAATTTCCTTCTTTTTTTTCAGCAAGGAGCAGTCATGCCTGAAACATTCTTCCAATATTATAGTTCTTATTTTGAACCCGTATTGCATCTGGAAGAGAAACTATTTTCATCTTGGAAACAAACGTCGTAAGGTACCAGGGAAAATTTAACTTTCTTTCTTGAGCAAAAGATTTCACCCTTTGTATATTTTTACACGGAAACACTATAAACATTCAATTTCCTTCTTTTTGTTTTTTTTTTTTTTATTCTTTTGTACATCTTCAACTAATTTTTAGAGTTCAATGACAATTTGTTTTTTTTTTTTTTTTTTTTTTTTTTTGTACATCTTACAACTATTTAAGAGTTCAATGACAATTTGACATGTTCATTGTCATATTTAATATTTAAATATATTCTATATACACACTCTTGTTATTCTGGTAAGTTGCAGCTTACCCGTATGTTCAAGTTCTAATTTTACCTTTCATCTTGAGGTATTGTTCTCTGTTTGATTGTTTCATGGAATCTCTCTCTACATGCTTGAATTTTGCCATTTACTTTCTCAAAATCACTTATTCTATGAACTTTGTACTTTTATCAGCATTACTTTATAGCTTATCCGTTTTCCTTGATCCACTAGTCTTCATTCCTTATTTCTCTATAAAAGGCGTACTAAGCAAATTAGCTATGGAATTAGAAGAATTACCACGCTCAAAATCTTTTTATCAATAATCAATCAAATCCTTTTGTATTCAGAGAGGGAGAGTTTTGCATGGGTAAGATTAATGATCTTGTCCACTTTAGCCAGTACAATTGAGATGAAGTTGCCTAACAATATTATGTGATAAAAACATCATATCTTGAATTTTATTGTCTTTCTTTCTAAACACTGGTTTGATTGGTCAACAACTCCTTGATGAGGGAATTGCAAAATGATGGATGGAAATATAATGCAGCAAATGGACAACTACATTTAAGATGTAAAAGCACTTAAAACTTTTGCAGGTGCCTGATGGACCCTTCAACAACAATCACTTGTTGTGTCTTATTGGCCAGCAGCAAATGCCTCAACTGGGAAAGTTTTGGTGATGCCGGCAAGGCTCTTGAAGTGAATTTTACCAGTGGGCGGGTTATCAACAATTATCTCGCCAACGGGAGGCCAAAGCATGAGCTCCTTAGCCTTTACTCCCTTGAGTTTCTTGATCAACTTCTTGCTGACATAACCAGTTATTTCACTATCATAGCTGACAAGCTTGCTGATCATCTTGAAGTTGCGCTCGACCTTCTTTTTTTGCAGGATCCACATTTATCCCGTATCCCTAACAAAACCAACCTCGATCACATCTTCTAGTGGTAGAAGTCCCAAAGGAAGTCCAAACTCCTCAAGAAGAGAAGTTGCCAGTTTAGTCCAAAAACTCCTCAAGAAGAGAGTTGCCAGGTTGAAGCCCTCTTCCTGACCCTCTTGACCATTCCTCCCTTCTTCCTCTGCCACGATGTGTGGATGTGTTTCTAGTTTCTCATTCTTTTTAAATCACTCACTTTGAAGCTTACAATTTGTGCTGATTGAAAATTTACTGCAGACTAATGGCCGCTTTCAGTTTATTACCCAAGTAATCATTCTCAGTAAGACAAATTTAAAAAGGAGAACCCAAGGTGCAACACTAGCAATTGTAATTAAACCTCCAAATTGGTTTGCTTTAAAAACTGGCCTCTATCTCTGGTTAAATGTTTAAGGCAAATTTCAGTAAAATGTTTTTTTTTGTTCTGATTTGACTTGGAAAAAACAAGTCTGGCACCTTATCTTGCATTCGCCTATGATGCTCCGGTTTCTCATCCAGGAATGATGACTTGGAAAACAAGTCTGCACATTATCTGCATTCGCTATGATGCTGTTTCTCATCAGAACACACAGTTCTGCTTGTGGTAATATTAGTAAGTTTAATGAAAACTATGAGAAAGTTTACTGTATGTAATATTATCAAAAATTCCATATAGAATCAGAAATAGATCAAGAAGCTACTAGTGGTAGGCTGGTGGCCTGTTCATGGTGGCAATTTCAGGCTGTCTATACAAGAATTGTTTCTAATCTCTTGTGATTGATTTGTATTTACCTGTTTTGACTGCTTGTATTTTGTTCTATTGTCTGAGGTACGCATCTGGTTATCAGTAAGCATTATTTTGTCCCAGACTGCATTGAGCCATTTGTGACTGCAGAAAAATATTCTACTCGGGCACCTGTGTGAAAAGGAGAAAGACAGGAGAAGGGGTGATGACACTACTGGCGTTTGGATCCAAAAAGTAAACTGGGCTCTAATTCAATCTCTACAGGTATGCTTGATTGTTGAACTGCCAGATATAGGTAACAAACAGAGTTAACTACTTGTTTTGCTCATTTCGCTGCATGAGAGTACTTTTGGCCCCTACAATTCAGTATCTCATATGAATATATGCTGATTGTGGGGTTTCTGTGATGGGACAAATTCTGAAGCTAAACAAAGTTGTAGTCTAAGTTTAAGTTTTCACTTATGTTTCTACACATATAAAACATAAGCATCTAATATAGATGTACCAAACGTTTTATATTGAACTAATCAAGCAAAACTGAAACACCTAAGCTTTTTGTTTCATGTGTTGTGTAAATCGGATCTTGAATGCCTGGTCATTGCAAATTTGCAATATTCATACATTTATATGAAAAAAAACATGTAATATTGATGATTTACCCCCTCATGTTAATCTTTTATTTTTCAGCTCTAAACCATGGAACTTAATTAATCAATAATTTATTTTTAGATGACATTGCCATTTGATCAATAGATTCTCCAAAATGATAGTCAGCCTCAAACCTAATACCATTGGAAATAATTAAACAATTCAATAAACAATACTGCTTTGAGATTACTTTAGGTCAACCAAAATCATTATTAACGACTTGAAGTCATTTTAAAATCATCAAATATGTTCAATCTTCTGCTTAATTTTATAGCATAAAAATATTTTAATTTTCTTCGTCAAAACTTTGATTGCTACTTATGACAATGGACTGGACAATTAATTGATTGGTTTACCAGAAAAATCCAAGAAGAGAGCCAGTTGAGGAGTTTAACTTCCAGCCCCCGTTTTTCTAGTACGGTTCCTGTACTTGCTGAAATTCAAGTTCTCAATCAGAGGGAGCTAAAGAAAGTTTTCAAAAATCAAGAGAGGCTACTCTTATGGCTCTATCGAGCCATTGCCTCTAACTTCTTTAAAATTTTATTTTTACATATATGTTTTCAGAAATACTTTTATTGATTTCCAAAATGTTTGAAATTTTAATTTTTGTCATTTTTTTAAATAAAAAGAAAGGAACGCAAATTACATCAGTATGTGTCTAATCTGCACAAACATTGGCTTCTCTATAACTTTTGTCATTTGAATTTAATATGTTTTTAGAAATATCCATATTGCACCCTTTGTTTTCAGTTTTTCTTTTTTAATTGTTGCTCTCTTTAATACTTAAAATTTAATTTCATCCCTGCTTCGACGATCAGTCTCACTCCCTTTGGCACTATATATAAACTACTGAAACTATAAATACCCTCTTTGAAATTGTAGTCGTATCAAATTCAAAAACATTAATTAAAGGTCAAAGAACAAGAACTTTCTTCATTACAAGTGCCAAGAAATTAAGCAATCTAAGATTGAAATAGGATGGATATCAATTTCATTTCATGTTGCTTTTTCCGTTCATTTTCTGGTACCATCATCAATATATATAGCCATTAATTTCTAGTAAGGTCATATTCGAGTAATTTACCTTGCAATACACCACTTTCAACCTCCCTATATATACATTCGAATTAATTAATTGTTGGGTTTGTTAAGTTTTTTTATTATTCTCTTGTTGTTACGCGTTAAGTAATCGAATTATACATAATGCATCTCTCGTCAGTCAGACCACGTCCCTACGCGGTTGCCAAAACCACATGTAATAGAGTTCCAAGCAAGCAAAAACAAATAAAGAATAGTACACAACGAATATTATTTGTCTATGAGCATTTTTAGAAATTAAAAAAGTAAAAATTTCTAATTCAATTTTAATTAAATAAATTTTTAGCATTCAGGAGTTGGGAAAAAAGTTAACTAAAAATATCTTTCATTTTTTAGCATTCAGGAGTTGGGAAAAAAGTTAACTAAAAATATCTTTCATTTTTTGAAATTTTCATCATTACATACATTAAAAGAGATAACCACGTCCAAAATCATAGGTAAACAATTCCCAAATTTAGATTCAACAGCAGAAAGTGAAACGAAAGGACACTACTTTTTCTTGTAAGGGTAGACATTGATGATGAGCTCATGGAAGGTAAGGTACCACCTCTAATAATCTGACTTGCAAGCAGCTGCTATGCACTTTCTGTCGAATCTTTGGCCCAAGTTTTGTCGCTTAGAAGCAAGTTGAATATAAAAGGGGAAAAGCAAAAAAGTCAGTGGGGACTATCTTCTATTTTATTCTTTCTTATCCCTCTTTTCTCTTTTGCCTTACCTCCCAAGATATATATATATATATATATATATAATATATATATATATATATATATATATATATATATATATCTCCATATGTATACATACACCCTTATTTTCGTAACAAACACATATCTAAGAGACCAAAACTTAAAGATTTCTCATAAACTTCCAACAATATGACGGTTAGTTCTCTCTGTCTCCGGTCATCTGCTAGCTACTGCGTGTTTTCTTCATTGCTTGTGTCCATTGCAAATGCAAAATAAATATGAAGCTTATATTCCTTATGTTGCAGATCACAGAAATGAGAGTGCATATGGATTGTCCTGGCTGCGAGACCAAAATCAAGAAGGCTCTTCAGAAAGTAGATGGTGTGTATATTGATTTCTTTTTCTTTCTCTTCTTTTAAGAGAAGGGTTTAAACTTTAATTAATTTATGGCAACTAAATTTATATATTTGTTGTTTGTACAGGAATTGATGATATAGACATAGACATGGCCATGCAAAAGGTGACAGTAATGGGTTGGGCAGACCAGAAGAAGGTTCTTAAAGCAGTAAGGAAGACAGGAAGAAGAGCAGAGCTATGGCCGTACCCTTATAATCCTGAATACTATAACTTCAACCAACAGTATTACTATCTGCAGAAACAAGAAACCCAACCAGCTGCACTCACCTATTATGAAACTCAGTACTCCACTTCCTCTTACAACTACCGCAAGCATGGATACAGTAATGAGGACTATGGCTATTACCAAACGCCACCGTATTCAATTGCTGTTGATGAACAGGCTAGTGCCATGTTCAGTGATGAAAATCCTCATGCTTGCTCTATAATGTGATGATTTCTCAGGACACAGTTTCTCCATATATTTAACGCCACCGTATTCAATTGCTGTTGATGAACAGGCTAGTGCCATGTTCAGTGATGAAAATCCTCATGCTTGCTCTATAATGTGATGATTTCTCAGGACACAGTTTCTCCATATATTTTAGAGTTTGATTTTGAGTTCAAGAGTTCTTGTAATAAATATTGTTGTTTCTGTGAGGGAAAATTAACCTCGTACGCATTAAGGAAGTGCAAGATATTAGTAAGGTGTGGCGTATATATAAATATGATTTATTAATCATGAATAGCTATATATACTTAATTGCACGATCACAGGATTAGCTAAATTTAATGTTTGAGAAGTGAGATACATTTTCTTTTTTTATATATTTTAATCCACCTGTTCATTTTCATGAATATTATTTTAAATAACTATATATATAAAATGATAAAAAAAAATATCAATTTGAAAATTTTATTTGTAGATTTTTTTTTTTTAGAGAATGGAATCCAAATATAATATTATTCAAATCAGTCAACTCCGAAAAAAGCTCAGACGTAATTATGAAATTAGCAGCATTTTGAGATTTTTATTAGCTATCAACGATTAATTATAAAACTTATTAAATAGCTCCAACTTGCATGAATTAGTTGAGATTTTTATCACCTATCCGTTGGATACATTGGATTTGATACATTGGATACATTGGATTTGATACATTTTTCCCGAATTTTATAATATATATAACAAAATAAATTGATATTTGCTGATATTCTTATGGAAGGAAAAGTTTCCTGTTGTCTATATATTGAACACCTGTGAATTAGCATTTACAAAAATCCATGAAATCCAGCTTTATTTCATTTTAGGTTACAGTTGCAATTGCTATTGACCTGGGCTGCTGTAACAGTTCACAGCCATTTTGGCGCGACTCGACCACTGACCAGTATAACCACTAACCACACTAACTACTAAACCTAACATAAACAAAACAAAAAGAAAAAAAAAAAAGATTAAAACTTTTTTCTCTGGTTGGCTAAAATACCCATAAACCACTTACTCGTTGACTCTTTCCAGTTTTATTTACAATCCTCAATTCCCATTGGTTGATGACCCCAAACCCAATCCCAATTCGTCTCGTAGCTTCCCTTCCGTTTCTCTCATCTTCTGTGTCTCTGCTCTCATTGACACTTGTCCCTTTACAATCCAGTTTGAGAAATTTATACTTATATGCATTTGCGTAAAATTCAAAGCTTTTTATTATTTCTTTGCAATAAAATTGGGGGGTTAGGAAGTGACTCATTGATGATGTGCAATCATACACAGCTTTATTTGATTAGGAATGGGCTTCTATAATTATAATCCCATCAACGGAAGATAGCCGAAATGTTATGGGTAACGATGCTGACATTATCATAGCATCGAAAACCGAAATTTTGGGAATTTCGTGTCTATCTTACTCTATCTCGGTTGCTTTATAATTTTTTTTATTATAAATAAATAGATGGCAACGGCTTCATTAATACATGCTCCATGTGGGTATTCACGGAAATTTAGTTATAACTTGAGAAATGGAGTTTATGGAGGAGCTGCAGGTTCCACCTCATATTCACCGTCCTCTTCTTCCTGTTCTTGTTGTTCTTCTCAAGGACTAAACTTCTCTTCCGGTAATTAATTCAGTTTCTTCTTTGGAATTATTAATTTGTTCTTGGCATTGTAGTTTGTTCTTTTTTAAAAAAAAAATTTTGGAGAGAATTTTGTGAACAAGAAGGATTTTCTTTTCTTTTTCTTTGTTTTGTTTTTAATTTTTAAATTACGTGATGGGAATCCGAAAGTCTGTAAATTTTGATACCTTTGTAGCTTTGGAATCAGAGTTACGTTTATGTCTAATTTTATAGTGCATTTTTTCTGGAAATTTTTGAAAATTATAATTCTTCTTTAGGCGAGTTTTTGTATAGGGGGAAATTTGGTTAAAGGAGGATAAATGTCTATCGTCTTCATTGCTAATTGTTCTGGCAACGTAACTCAGGTGTAGGAAACAGTGAAATCCAGGATTCTCAATCCTCACTTGAGAGATAGTTGGCAAACTTCCCTAGGGAATACCTTCACTTTAGATTTTGAGTCCCCTTGTAGAGTGATATCCTCATTGGTTGGGCTTGTATTGTTCAGGCTGGATTAATTTTGGCTGCAATAGTTTACAAAACAAGAGCTAGCTATGTTGTGCTATTCATAGTGAATAGATATTATGTGCAAAATTCTTGAAAGAATATTCTCTACTAGGCAAATGTAGATTTCATGACATGCAAGCCAACATCAATGGCGGAGCCAGACTCCGAAGAAAAATTTCCAAAAGTTAGTGGGCCCATATCAAAAAAAGAAAAATCACTATTTTATAAAGCAAAATTCAAAAAAATTTTGGAGCTAGGGGGCAGGTCCCCCTCCCCCCGCCATTGGCCAAAGCTGTCTTGATATCTAAAATTGTTGGCCAAGTGTTTTACAATCCACATGTTAATGTGTTATAAAGGATCTTTGTTATGATGCCCTGGTTTCAGCAACTCTTGTTTTTCCTTGCACAAAAATGATTTGTTACATGAAGCTACATTATTTTATCTCTTTATTCATGCTTTTGCTGTATGATGTTTGATAGTTTGCCAAGTTCATATCTCTCCTTTTTTTACCCTTTTTTGGGATTCTTATCTCCATATAATATACAGCGTATATATCTCAATTCTGCTTGGAGTCATTAGAAAATCTATTGCAGGTGTAAAGAGTAATTGCAAAGGTCAAGGCCTCAGAGCTCAAGCTATGAACACTACAATCCAAGGAAATTTTGCATCACCAAAGGCGATCGTGAATAGTAATACTGAGCCTGATCATCTTCTTGTCCTTGTTCATGGCATCTTGGCTAGGTACACATTAAACAAATACAATTAACAGAGTGATGCACCCTTGAATTACAAACTAGGAAATGATGAAATGATCATTTAAGCCCAAAGGTTAGCTAAGTCACCACGTGGGTTTGCTTTCCACCTTGTTGTTTATGGTTTTGAATCTTGAGGTTGGTCCACAAGGGAGCCATTTTCCTCCTTTGCAACTGGTCTTGGCACGGGAAGTCTTTTGATTGACCAATGAGATAGACTAATACCAACATACCTCCAAACCAATACAAAGAACACAAAATAAAATGGGCATTTCCATTGTATACCATGCACTAGAGGTGCAGTTTCGCATAAGATCAATTAATCACAATCCACATGTATTAAATGTACATCAATATCAAGGAAAATCAAAAATCAATTGATCCAGCAATTCCATTGATGGATCTCATTCGGAACACACTTGAATTTGGAGTTTGGAAAAAGATATTAATAAAGAGTATCATTTCTTTCTGCTTCTATAGTTTTATTCCAAACTGATCATGAATTGATATTTCTGCATGATGCAGCCCGAGTGACTGGACATATGTAGAAGCAGAGTTGAAAAGGCGGCTCGGGAGAAACTTTCTAATTTATGGTATGTTCATCTCTTTAACCGGCCTTGTGCTCCATTATCTCTTACCTAAGCAGTGATTTTTGTACCTACTTTTTCCCCAAATGTATTGTAGAACAAATCTGCAAATTAAAAAAAATAAATTTGAACTTGGCATAAGTTGGTACATAATAGAAGTTACCTGATTGAGGTGCAGCAAAATAAAGCAACAGAAGTGCTGATTACAAATAATTGGTTAATGTCGACTAGTACATGATAGAATGGCCAAAAGGATGAGGAAGGAGTCATTCTGAATAGTTGATCTCTTGGTGGCAGTTGTATCTTTATTAGTGGCAAACTAATTTCAGGGGGCTTGTACCCAGTAAGAAATTTCTCACTTTGTTTTTTTTTTTTTTTTAACATTTCCAGCAAGTGCGTCTAATACCTACACTAAAACCTTTTCTGGGGTTGATGGAGCTGGAAAGCGACTGGCAGATGAAGTGAGTCTTCAAAATCTCACATGCACATGTTTAGTTTTAATCTGTGGTGGTTTGATGTATTTCTTGTATGTCCTTGGATGGACTATGGGAAAGTCAATGATGTCTCTCCTCCTTGTGCTTTCTTGCGTGAATTTTGTGAACAGGTTATGCAAGTTGTAAAGAAGAAAGATAGTTTGAAAAGGATTTCCTTTTTAGCCCATTCTCTCGGTGGATTGTTTGCAAGATATGCTATTGCTGTGCTTTATTCAGAGGCTGCCTTAAGTACTGGCCAATCTAGTGATACTACTGATTCTACACTGCCTAGTTCACAAGCAGTGCGAGCTGCAAGACGAGGTACAATTGCTGGGTTGGACCCAATCAACTTTATTACCCTGGCAACTCCACATCTTGGAGTGAGAGGAAGAAAGCAGGTTTGTCTTGGAGGGTAGTTATGGCCAATCTAGTGATACTACTGATTCTACACTGCCTAGTTCACAAGCAGTGCGAGCTGCAAGACGAGGTACAATTGCTGGGTTGGACCCAATCAACTTTATTACCCTGGCAACTCCACATCTTGGAGTGAGAGGAAGAAAGCAGGTTTGTCTTGGAGGGTAGTTATATTTTCATTAGTTGTAGTCATCCCTCAATAATTCTCCAACTTGTTATTGATTATGAACCTATTAAGGCACCTTCTACTTGAAGCTTCCTCTGAACAGTTACAGTTATTGTAAACAGTGATGCAATAATGACTTTAACATTAAAAATAGACATGCATGCAATGATAGGACAGAGGAGTGATCTAAAAAGAGCGTAATCAGAAAGCTGTAAATGCTGTTGATGATATCCATACAGCTGTAATTCTGGATAAATGCATCCAATTGAATGCTGCATTTCACTGAAAGCAGTTATTTCTATTTATAGTTATGACAAAACTTTGGCAAGTGGTAACTTCTAGTTTATGAGTCATTTCACTGTCAATGCATAGTTCATCTGGAATGAGCAAAAGTATATGATCCAATGGTCTTCATCACCTCTTTCTACATGTTGTATAAAATGTGTGCATGGGGAAGGCTTGGTCAGTATTTTCAAGATCCATCGAAAGGAATGATGGATTATGAGGATCGTCTTTTAGTTTGGAGCAAGAAAGATAGAGAGAGATTTGACTTTTGAGGATTCTCTTGTGGACAGTGGAATTCATCTACTGAATTATGCTTGATTCATTTCTTTGTGAAAAATATGTAGTTAGAAAAAGCAGTATTTACAATGCATACTATTGGATTCAGTGTTCTGAGGATCAATAGTTAGCATCGACTTTCAATTGTAAACAGTCTGGCTCTGCTGCTTTAGAGGCAGGGAGACCCATAGAACCAAAATAGTATGTAATCGCCCATTTAAGCATTGTGATTTAGTTTCTGATTCACTTTTTGGCGCATAAGGTTGAAAATTTTGATGTCAAGTTATGCTTGAATTGTTTTGAGATGCTGAAGTACTGTGCTAACAAGCAGATAAGATGAGATCATTGAGATGATGGCAATGCATGTCTAACTGCTTTATTGTGATAGCTAGCATTTTCCATGTCAACTGCTTTTTTGTGATAGCTAGCATTTTCTGCAGAAAAAACTTTTAAATGAGGGTATCTAAAATGATCAAGAGAAATTCCATTAAGCATGAATTAATATAACATGTTTTATTTCAATTGTCTGCATGTAACGTTGTTTTTTTTTTTTTTTTTTTTTTTTTTTTTTTTTTTTTTTTTTGAACCATGAATGCCAATGAGGTCTCTGGCAATCTTTTGCATCAACCGTTATGATTTGGTTTAATCTACACATGATGTTTTTTCAAGAAGTGTTGGACCATCACATAATAGCTTTAAAGTTTGGTTAATCTACACATGATGTTTTTTCAGAAGTGTTGGACCTATCACATAATAGCTGAAAGATGCATATGGCATCTGACCTTCGTACAGTTTAAATATTTAACGGATGATGTTCTTTCTTTTAATTTTCCAGCTTCCATTTCTCCTGGGAATTCCCATTTTAGAGAAACTTGCTCCACCAATTGCTCCGATTTTTACTGGTCGAACTGGTAGTCAACTTTTCCTGACTGATGGTAAACCTAACAAACCACCTCTTCTGTTAAGAATGGCATCAGACTGTGAAGATGGAAAATTTATGTAAGTCAACATATTTGTATGGTTACATGAGCCAATAACATTTTTAGGACATAGCCCGTCCTTTTGCCTTCTCTAATTCTCTTATTGGTTTCAGATCTGCCCTTGGTGCATTTGGATGTCGCATCCTGTATGCAAATGTATCTTATGATCGTATCCCACTGCAAGCCATCTTTTTGTCTTCAGTCTTAGCTAACTATTTAATTTTCCCTGCACTATTATTTTCTGACTATGTTTATTCAGTTTCCTTAAAATTAACTAGATATGGTTGGTTGGCGTACATCCTCCATAAGAAGAGAGAAGGAACTTGTCAAGGTGAGATTAGCAATTTCTTGTATTGCAGTGCATTTTATTCTGATTAACAATCATTGGGTGAATGAGTGCCGATGAGAAAAATATTGTCATCAAACTGAATATCATTCCTCTTAATACTTTTCCCTTTGCATCCAGCTATCAAATTTTGAAACTTTAATCCCTTTGGGTCGATGTATAAAATTTTGAACCTCAGGGGTGATATGACTGATTCTTTGTACATCTCTAGATGTGAGTTGCCATGCATTTTTGTTACAGTATTTATGAGCCTTAATATATTTAACACTGCAAATGGCTGGTTGCTTGATCTTTGGTATTAAGGTGTGTCCTGTTTTCTTGTGAATGGCTATAAACAGAAGTTGAGGCCAGAAATTTCAGTTTAGTTTGGCAGTTTGGTGACATATTGATATAACTATCAACTGTACCTTTTCCCATTTCTATAGTTGTTTGACTTGCAATTTGTATCCTTACCTAGTTATCTGGTGAATGCGGCACAGACATTCGCATATACCTCGATTATATAGAGAGATCTTATCATATTTTACTGTTTAATGTTCTGGAAATTCTTATAAAAATCTTGTACTGCTTTAGCTACCTAGTTGGTATTCAATTCATTCCACTGTAAGACCTCGACTTTGGGCCTAGCAATCACACTCCAAAATGTTAGATCAATAGTATAAGATGGTAAAAATGCCAGGGTTAATGGTCTGGGTGTTTTCAAGCCCGATTGCTGTGAGCTTTATAGGGGTTTTGATAGGTATAAGATTTTATGGGCTTGTGAAGTAAGCTGGCTGTATTAATCAGTATTAATCAATATGGCGAATCTTCTTAGAATTAAGGAATCTGGGGATTCATTATCCAAAGTATGTTCTTCGCTCTTCAAGTTTTCAGCTGCATTGCTCCTTGGGTTGATGTGGAGAATCTGAGTTGGTTAAGAGATTGAGCAAGTTTGTGAGACCTCATAGAGATGTTAAGTCATTATCATTGCTCCAAGTAAAAATTGGCGTTAATCATTCTTAGAACTTTGAGATAGGACGAAGAGAACTTATTCTCTCACCTCTCCCCCCTTTCTCTTGTTTCCACTGCAAATCTTTACCTTTTAGGCATTTGTCAACCCAGGATTGTAACTGATCTTCTTTTCTATCCTCGTGTGCGAGAAAAATTGAATTCTGATAAATCATTAGCTTAGTAATATTTGAAGTGTAGGACAAAAAGAAAACCTAATGACATCCATAGTAAAAGGGAAGGTTTTTATGGTAGCCGTAACAGCCAAAAAAATAGTTCAGCGTTGCAGTGTAAGAACACATGTGCTGGTGCAAAGAGCAATAATGTTACGTTTTATAACTTTCCATTTCATCCATGCAAGTCATTGATTGAACCACTGGAATTAGTTTCTTTTATAGCAATTAGCAATTATTTTCTTTTGCATAATTCATTTGATAGTATCTGGAAAGATTTGGGAGGTGGAATAGTAAAGATTGATTGTGAGATTTTGTTCCTTATTTGAAGAAAGCACTTTTCTAAGTGAAAATACTGAAGACTACCCTTGATTTGTAAAACATATTATGCTGACATTTTTTGCCCCATTGATATTTCTTGAGATGCAGCCACCTCGGCGTTCTTTAGACGGTTACAAGCATGTTGTAGATGTTGAGTATTGTCCACCACTCTCTTCCGAAGGCCCTCAATTTCCTCCAGAAGCTGTCAAAGCTAAGGAGGCAGCGCAAAAAGAACCCAATACGCGAAACACAGTGGAGTATCATGAAATCATGGAAGGTAAGATTATATGTGAATAAGAGTCATGCTTTGATGATCATAGAATTAACAAAGAGTAATGACCATTACAGTTTGTTAACAGAGGAAATGATACATGGATTACAGCAGCATCATAGAATTAACAAAGAGTAATGACCATTACAGTTTGTTAACAGAGGAAATGATACATGGATTACAGCAGCTGGGATGGAAAAAGGTCGACGTTAGCTTCCATTCAGCATTTTGGCCCTTCTTTGCCCATAATAACATACATGTATTGGCTCTATATATTTGATTTTCATATTTAGATATATTTCTCTTTTCATTTCTTAGTTCGACTTTTGTTTTGAATTCAGGTGAAAAATGAATGGCTTCACAATGCTGGTGCTGGAGTAATTGCTCATGTTGCAGACAGCCTGAAGCAGCAGGAAACCTCTTCACTAATTATTGCTAGCTTGTAGCTATTGAGCAGTAATGCTAGTACTATTATAGTTGGAAAAATGATAAAATTATTTGCAAAATGTAGATTTATAAGAAGGGAAATTTTTATTCCTGTTCGCCATGCCCATGTTGATTTTTCTTTTTTTTGTTTTTAAAACATTGTGCATGCTCAGAAAGCAATATCCAGGTATTGATGATTGATCTATACTAAAGGATGGTGTTAGACTTGCTTGGATATCCAGAAACTTGTTTTCTGATGAAGGAATTAATATTTTTATCTCCTACCAAAATTCAAGAATTTCAGTTAAAAAGAAAATTAAGAAATAGCATCAGACTAATATACCAAAATACCTGAACGTCACGGATATTTACAATTTTTCATTTTATTTTGGCCTTTTTATCAATTTTCCTTCATTTTAAAAAATCTGCATTGTTTGGAGTATTTGGATATATTAGTTGAATAGCACCCCAAAAGCCACGGATAGAAGGGTAAATGATCCTAAAGAAAAACAGAATTATCTAACTGGTAAAGCAAATGATCATCATCGGCTTCGAAATTCAAAAAGGATCAATTTTTTTTTATTATTATTAGGGGATAATTTTTTAAATTATCTGTTGTAATATTGAAAATTAATTGAAAAAATATATTAAAAATTCAAATTAATAGGCTGTAAAAATACGTACATGGGAATATATTTTGTTTAATTCATTGTTAAATAAAAAATCATAAAAAATTATTATTTGTGATAATTGTGGAAGACTAATAGTCATCAATAATTAAATAGTCGGTGACCCAGATCAATGAATTAACATATATGTATTTACATACTTTTTATAATCATAACGAGTTTACCCTAAAAGTTTATAATTTTTTTGTTTTTTTATACTTGCTTTTTTTTATACCTGCACGAGGTATCTAGACCTATTTCTGTTTAGAGATCCATATATCTAGGCAAAGAGACTAACCTGGAAGGAGTTTGCTTTGCGAATGAACAAACCTATGACCTATATTATGGTGATAAACTCCTAAGTGCTTTTTACCACTGAACTACTCCATTCGGATTTTATAAAACTTTCTTTTAAAGAAAAGAAAACCAAAGTGAGCTTATGTTTGTGGAGTAACAGAGAGAATGTTAGAAATTTTTGCAACTAATAATTTAAGCATAAGATTGAGTCAACTTTATTTAATGAAAATTTTAATCAAAGAATTAAATAGTTGGAGGATCATAAAATTAAGTGTGGGAGAGTGAATTTTTCGAGAGTTTCATTATGGGTCTATGGAGTATTTGGCTGAGCCGTAATGAGCTAAAATGGAACCAAGTGGACGAAGGACCCTATCACGTGGTCACACGAGCTAGAAGTATGCTCGCATCTTGGAAGAAAGCCAGCTAAAATTGTCAGGTTCGGATACAGGCATAGGTGCTCCTGCAGGTAGTTAATGGCTTCCGCCACCTACTGGCACTTTTAAAATAAACTTTGATGCTGCTCTTCTCCCCTCTGTCGGCTATAGAGCTGTTGGTGCTGTAATCTCAAACTGTCATGGCCGGTTTGTATTAGCAGCAACGTCTTCGCTGCAAGGCTGTTCTTCTCCAGCAGTAGCAGAAGCTCAAGCGCTAAGAAAGGTATTATCCTGGGTACTGTCAGGTCATCCTAATCTGACGATTCAGGTTGAGACCGATTGCCTGCAAGTTTATCAAGCTATGAAGAGTCCTACCCCAGACTGGTCTGAATTTGGAGTTGTCATCTCTGAATGTAAGCTACTCTTAGTCCAATTACCTAATGTCACCTTGGCTTGGATTAGAAGACAAGCAAATGATATAGCTCATGTGTTGGTTAAATCGGTTCCTAGTGAGGCTTGTTTTCACACTTGGGATAGTATTCCCGCTTGTATTGCTCATTTCTTTGACTAATAATATGAATCATCATTCAAATGTCAAAAAAAATAAAAAATAAAAAAAATTAAGTCATAATTAATATATTTCTCTGTAGAAAATATAATAGATTTCACTAAAATAGAAATATAAGTTTTAACTAATATATACTTCACTAAAATAAAAAGAGTATAATTTGTTTTTTCAGCGACACTAATTATTTTTATAATTTATTTAATTTTTAAATAAGTCACGTTAATACTACTCCATTGCTAGCTGAAAGACCAAATAGGACAATTATAAAGTTAAGGGACTATTGGATTAGTTTTAAAACTGTAGATTATAGTTTAGTGTCATTCAGGAAAATAAAGGGACTAAATAGCAATTCTTTTAGCAACACTAATTAGTTTTATAATTCATTTAAGAAAAAAATTTTAAGCCAATAAACGACGCCGTTTCATCAAAAACTGAAAACTTATCCCACCTCCTAATCGCGCGTGTCGGCCAGAATTGAGCCGGCCTGTCCAGTGTTTGTCCCCGCGTCTTTTTTTGCCTTCCATCCATACTCATAGATACAGTACTTCTCTTCCTTCGTTTTTTCCCAGAGAGAGAAAAGAAAAAGGTTCCTTTCAGTTCGATAAAGGGTAAATCCTCGCCTCACATAGAGAGATCGGTGGATCAACAATGGCTCCTGCCACTGAACGAGAGAACTTTGTCTACGTCGCCAAGCTCGCTGAGCAAGCTGAGCGCTATGATGGTTATACTCTCTCTCCCTCTAACACTATTGTCTGATTTTTCGTTTGATCACTGAGAAAACTAGAGAAAGTAAAAGTTGAGTGTAGAATATTGATGTTACTAGCTTAAAGTAATGGTCGGACTAAAAAAATGAAAACCCAACCCCAAGAGCATTAGTGTACTTTGTTTAATTTAATATACTTTGTTTAATTTAATGTACTTTGTTTAATTGATGCGTGGGCTGATTATTCAGTAACTGCAACTAAGCAAAGACTTAATTCTGAGGGTTTTGATTTTTGTTTTTGTTCATTCTGTTTTGGCTTTCAATTAACTTAGAAATGGTGGATGCCATGAAGAAAGTAGCTAAATTCGATACCGAGCTTACCGTAGAGGAGAGGAATCTACTCTCTGTAGCGTACAAAAACGCGATTGGTGCTCGTAGAGCATCATGGAGGATCTTATCATCGATTGAGCAGAAGGAGGAAGCGAAGGGAAATGATCAAAATGTGAGGCGGATCAAGGGGTATAGACAGAAGGTCGAATCGGAGCTTTGGAGTATTTGCAATGATATAATGACTGTGATTGATGAGCATCTTATTCCTTCGTGTTCTGGCGCAGAGTCCAGTGTGTTTTATTATAAAATGTGAGTTTTTTTTTTTTTTTTTTTTTGTTTTATTATAAAATGTGAGTTTTTTTTTTTAGAGTTTTTTTTTTTTTTTTTGTTACTTTTTCTCCCCTGTCGAAGTCCTGACGTTTTTTATTGAGTGGTTCTTGTTGTTGAGGTTTTTTAGGTATTGATTTACTGGAAAATGCAGACCAGTAGAGCGATGAAGTCTTAGGCTTTGATTTTCTGTATAACGCTAGAGGTTTTTATGTTCATGATCCTTTGGTATTCCCTAATTTGGTTTGGTTTGGATTTCAAGATTTTGGGTTTTAGTTTTGCTATAGAATGAAAATATTCTTTTCCCTTGCCTGTGTCGATGTTTCGTTGTTATTTAGCTTTATTTTTTATTTTTGGTATTGTATGCTTGCTGGATTTTGATGATGTTGGAGGTTCTTGCTTTATTTGAAAAGTGCAAGGGATTTGTTGGTGAGTTTGGTGTTTTTGATTGATTTTCAAAGGTGTTATGAAGATTTTGGGATTTTGTTCTCTCATGTCTGCTTTTTTTTTTTTTTTTTTTTTTTTTTTGCTTTTTTTTTTTTTTTTTTTTTTTTTTTTACAATTTTTTCCATTTGCCATGAGCCGGTAATTTTGGTTTTTGGAGAGCTTTTGATTTAGCTCTGCATTATTTTTTTTTTTTTTTTTTTTTTTTTTTCAATTTTTCCATTTGCCATGAGCGGAATTTGGTTTTGAGAGCTTTTGATTTACTCTGCATATTTGCAGGAAAGGGGACTATTATCGGTATTTGGCTGAGTTCAAGGCTGGAAATGAGAGAAAAGAAGTTGCAGATCAATCAATGAAGGCTTATCAGGTTGTTGATGTTCCATATTCTTGACTTTGATTTTTATTATGTTTATTTGCCAAAGAAAGAGCAGGAAAAGAAAGAAATTGGATGCTAAGTTCATAGGTATTCATGAATCACGCACAGATTAGCTCAGAAAACTGCTTATCTTTATAATTGGGTCTAGGGTTTTGAAGTTGAAACAGTCATATTTTATATATTCCTTTCCTTCTCATCCATCATATCCAGCCATCAAATTGAGGGGCTTAATTTCTTATTTGGAAGCCCATCCACAATCAAACTTGCAAGCATTTTGTTTTCTTTTGTATAGTTTTCAATGACATTCTGGAATTGTGGTGGGCTATGATATTTTCTGAAATTGTTTCAGTTGAAATTGCTTGTTTGGTATTGAGATTTCGTGATTAATATCACTCCAAGCATGAGTTTAGCCTTAGTTGTATTTCATTATGATAGTTTTAATTTTATACTATTTGTCTGTGAACCAAATCTGGCCAGTTTTATGTGAGGATGCATTAGTAGTGGCTTAATGTCTTATGAATCAAGGATTTTATTTTTTTTCAACATAATGCTGTTTATTTATCCTCTTTATGGCCTTTTATCTACTTTCCCTGTTACTGCTGGTTATGGACTTCAACCATGCTTAAATTGAATGTTCTTTTTGGATGAGAAAAGTTGATCATATTTTTATATGGTTTGTTATTTTAGACTCCTGATAGGCTATGTTTTTTAGATGGGCAATAATTTTTTAGGAACTGGTGGATAAATGAGGCCATTCTTCTGTTGTTCACTGCTAAGATTGTTGTTACCTGCAAAATCATAGTTGGTCAGTTTGAATTGATCCGCCAATTGCTTGTTCTCTTTGCAGACAGCTTCTACTACAGCAGAGGCTGAGTTGCCTCCTACACATCCCATTCGGCTGGGTTTAGCCTTGAACTACTCAGTTTTCTACTATGAAATTTTGAACTCTCCTGAAAGGTTTGCATGCTATCTTCACCAGGACTTTGAATTTGTAGAATATCTCCTTTTATTTTCTTTAGGGAGCAAATGTGGAAGCTGTTACAATTGTGATTTTTTACCAGGGCCTGTCACCTTGCCAAGCAAGCATTTGATGAAGCTATCTCTGAGTTGGATTCTTTAAGTGAGGAATCTTACAAAGATAGCACATTGATCATGCAGCTATTGAGGGACAATCTCACCTTGTGGACCTCTGACATCCCTGAGGATGGAGGTAACTTGTAGATCTCTTCCAGAGAAAATACTTAACCTAGCCATTTTACTTTTGCTGTGCTTAACAAAAGAATGGTTCCACATTTGTTTATATTGTGCACTTTTCAATGCGTCAATAATATCCTACTGCCTAATTGCTTGATACATCAATGGATGATGTTGTGCTGGTGAGAAGACATATGTGAGCATTCACTTCAAGAGTTCTTCAGTTCCTTGCATATGTCCTATCCTACTTCACGCAGTTATATTTTGCAATTTTCATTCAAAAGTTGCATGCTGAACAAGCCATGGGCCTTGTAATCTGACCTGTTATGAAATCTCATTGAGTAAAGTAATTTGGTATTTGGATGTATACAAGCATTAGGATGTTTATATGCATGTATGCTATGTTTGAATACCAAAGGAGTCTGGAACATTCTTAACTGATTAAACAGCATTCTGACTCTGTCTTGAGCTCACTTTTTTATTTTTCTCAAATATATTGAATGAGAAGATGTTCCAGTACTCAGGGGTGGGGCTTAACAGTCCACTGTAGAAACAATTTTTTCCTCAACCATATAAATAATATCGAGGTAGAGAATTAGAGATAATATCATTATCTTGAATGTCGAGAAATAGGCGATGAATGCTTTCCTTATCGGCATGGACAATTTGTGCCACGGAGACTAATTATCTTAATGATAAAGACCTGGCTTGGAATATCCAGTGTTGCACTTGTGGCGTTCAAGTGACTGGATATCATGTGCGTTCTGGGATAACTATAGCAAAAGGCCTTAGGATAAAGCTTTAGCCATGGTAGGAGTTATTACAGGCGAGCATATCTGTTCAAATGGAAGGAGGAGGAAAGGGTTAAAATTAATATACTTCCCTCCAAGTGAAGAGTATGGCAGTAGCTGTAACCTAATCTGGATACCTGTTCTAGTCCAAGATAAACTACTTTTTTCACCAATATGTAACTTTTTTCCTTCAATATATATTTGCATCATTATTTACATATTAGCAGCTGTGATTTTGTAAGTTATACAAGTTACTTCTTGTGCTTTTTTACCGCAGTGGAAGAAGCTCAGAAGCTGGACAACAGTGCTAAAGCTAATGGTGGTGAAGGTCTAGAGGTAGTTTATTTTCTTATTTAGCTTTTTTTTTTTTTTTTTTTTTTTTTTTTTTTTTTTTTTTTTTTTTTTTTCGATCGTGGTAGTAGCTTCAATCTATGGATTGTAAAGTTTTCTGTTTGATTTACATAACATTTTTTTTTTTTTTTTTTTTTTTTTCGATGTGGTAGGTAGGTTCAATCTTTGGATTGTAAGTTTTCTGTTTGATTTACATTACATGTGTATGTGATATTTTCTTTCTTATGTTTTGCAGTGAAACCGACACTGGTACAGTGATTGACATTATGACATGTCCAGTGAAAGTTATAGAATTTTTAGGAATTATTTTTAATTGCCAAGAAATTCAAGATTTCTGTTGTGATAATATTTGATGTTTGGACTGCCAACTGCTTTTTCATCTTGTTAGCAATAACCAAAATTGAAAGGATTGTAAAGGTTGCTATAGGAGCCTTTTCTTTTGTTTCTTTGCTGTTTGCTGAATATTATTTCAGGATTAGCTATATTTATCATTCTCTCTATTGTAATGTTTTCAGCATTAAAAAAAGGGAATAGCGGGTCAACAATACATTTTACAACCATACAAGCTCAACAAGAAACTAACCTCCTAAAAAATGAACAAAACTCCAAATTTAACTTCATAATTTTCCTCTTATAAAGGAAAACTTTCTGGTTCCTCCATTGGAATACCAAAGGAAAAATGAAAATGGCCAACATTATCTGTCTTGCATCTGCTATTTGCTTTTTGTCTCTCTTTGGCTTGGCCTATGGCGAAGCGAAATTTAATGTGGAGGGCGTAGTTTACTGCGACACTTGCCGTGTTCAATTTATGACCAAAGTCACGACGCTAATCGAAGGTTACAGTCTGATTTGATTCGTCTCTTATTATTTATACACATACATAATTTTTTGGAGGAATATTAAAATTAACATTGTTGTTTATGCAGGTGCGACGGTGCATTTGGAGTGCTTTAACCGTACAGGTGATGTGTTAACCTACACAAGTCCAGAAGCTGTGACTGACGCGGCGGGAAAATACAGTATTCCGGTGGAGGGAGACCATGAAGATGAGCTTTGCCAAGTTATGCTTTTAAAATCACCAAACCCTGACTGTAATGAGATCAACAAAGACCCTTTTGTTAGGGAATCTGCTTCTGTTACCCTTACAAACGACAATGGTATTGCTGGTCCTGCTCGCGAGGCCAATCCTCTTGGCTTCTTGAAGAAAGAAATTCTTCCTGAGTGTCCTGAGGTCCTAAGGGAATTGGGAATCACCCCTTCTGGTCTTGTCCCATGAAAATATTATATATATGTCTTGTCCCATGAAAATATTATATATATATAATATTTATAATGTATATTATAGATGTATTATATATTTATTCACTTTCTAACCCCACATTTAACTCAAGACAGAATTATTGTTAACTTGAAATCTATTTCACATTTTTCCTCGTCTTGCAACGGGAAAAAAAACCCTCCGACTGCATGTGTTGCATTGTTTAAAAACTTCTTGGAAAGTATATTACGAAATTATAGCGATCAAATATAATTTATTTCGATATAGCCCTTTAGAAAGAAATTCATGTTTTATTCTTTGGTCGTTCTATTACAGATATAATATTATATGTTTCCACTACTGCTATTGTCATTATTTTGGCGGTGCGAAATTGCTTTTTTTTATATATATATATATCCTTTCTAACACCATAACTTAAACAAATTTGTAACTTGATATTATCAATTTCCTGTCTTGCAAAGAAAACCATGCATGTGTGATTGTAAAACTCTTGAAAGTTATACGGAAATAGATCAATTATTTATTGTATAGCTTTAGAAGAATCATGTTTATTCTTGGCGTTTATACAGATAAATATTATATTCACTTACTGCTATGTCATATTTTGGGGTGCGAAATGCTTTTTTTTTTTTTTGTTCTTAGTGACAATTTCTGATATGTGTTTGCAGATTGCTAATAATCTAATCAAATTGAAAAATTAGTTTATTTTTGTTTTTTATTTTGATAATTAAATGATCATAAAGTTGTGTAGAAGCAACTTTAGTTAAGCTTCTCGTGGACATTTCCTTATCATGGTATAAATTCATAGACTTTTTTTAAGGGAGAAAAATCTGGAAAAAGAATGATCAAAATGATCAAAATCAGAGTACTAAAGGTTAGTTGTGTTTGGTTGGAAATATTCCTTATTCCAAGAATATATGTAGCATCTCAAAGTAATCAACCAAATTCGTTGTAATGCATAAATGGGGATTGTTTGGTATTATTGTTATTTATCATTTTTTTTTTATCTTTGCCTTCAATTGTCAACAAATAATAAATTATAAAAATAACTTTCTCTGTGTTATTTAATAGATTAAATTTAAAAAAAAAAATTGTTTTATATTTTTTTTATCCGTTTCTTTATTTATAACTTTCTATTTAAATCCCTCAAAAAAAAAAACTTTCTATTTAAGAAAAATAGAAAATAAGAATAATAGAAAATATATGAAATATATAGGTGGTCTGGCTTTCCCCATTTGCGGGTTCCCACTAGTTTAAGTACACTCAAAAAGCAATGGAAAAGAAAAGGAATAACATAGAAATTAAATGAGCTTTTTAATCACAAAGCATAATTTGTACTTTTAAGGCTTTTTCTCTGGTCTCCTTTTCCTTTTTTAAAAGTAACGGTGGTGTATGCTTTCCAACTAAAACATTGAACAAGTGGTCTACCTTCTTTTGGCATTTCAATCAAATCCCAAGTAAATTCACACAACTTCTTCTGTTGCTCTTGATAAGGATATACATAGCCATGTTATAGTAACCCTGGTTTTCTTAAACTTGGTTTTCCAATCTTCTATATTATAGTTTTATTTATCTTTTCAGAACAATATAATTTTTATAGTTTCTTACTTTACTCGTATTTAATATTCATTAGTATTAAGACCTGCGCGATGCGTGGAGCAATATTTAAATATGAAATAATTTTTTATAACTTTCACATAAATAAAATATGAAAATTAGACGATTGACACGAACACGGCACGTTTAATCCGCTTAATATCATAAACAAGTTAAGTGGGTCGTGTTGACAATATACAACTCGTTAACCCGCTTAATATCATAAATAGGTTAAGTAGATGTATTGACCTATGTACGACCTACTTAACCTACTTATAGTATTTTTAACTTTCAACCTATTTAACTCCAATCATATTTAAAAATAAATTTTTACACGTAAAACGCATGAATTCTTCAAGATTTATAATTAAAATAAAAAAGTAATACAACAATAAAATTTAAATAGGTTTTAGTTTAAGTATTTATATCTAACACTAAAATTACCTGTTTAGTCTTAAATAAATAGGCCACTCACCTAATCTGCGTGTCAACCCGTAACACAACACGTTTATATTCATGTCATAAATAGGTGACTCATTTACAAATCATTTAACCTCAACCCTAATCAATTTATTTCGCGTGTTAGGCAAATCGTATTCGCATGTCGTGGCCCATTTTGACCCCTTACTATGACCTGCACCAAAAAATACACACACCTTATTAGTGTATTTTTCAATAGTGATAATAATTTTGAAAATGTAACTAACTATATTGAAATAAAAAATTAAGTATTTTTTTATTTTATGTTTATGATTTATTATACATGGTTATTTATTTATGTGAAACATTAATGTATTATACTTATTTAGTATAGTGTGTTGTCCTAAGCGTGTGGATCTCATTTTTTAAAATTACCGTATCGCCTACGTTCTCCTATCACGTGATGAAGTATTTTTTAAATTTATTTTTGTATCTTTTCTTATTAATGAATAATAAAAAAAAGGGACTAAAAAGGGTGTATTGGATTAAGAGTCTCTTAGATTTTAAAAGATTTTAAAATTCTAATGGTATTCAATCTAGATTCTTTTGGAATCTATTAAAATTTTATGGTATTTAATTTAGACTCTTATAAAATTCATAAAAATTTGATGGTATTAAATTATGACTTTTTAAAAGTCCATACAAATTTGATAATATTCAAAAAATTGCTAATTTATAAGGATTCTACAAAATTATTGATTTCGTTGGATTTTAGAGTGTTATGCTTGAGTAAAAGAATAATTTACAAATCCATCCTCTAATCCAGTCTTGATCTATTACACCCCTTAATAGAATGAAAGCGAGCAAGTACCCGCGATTTTAAACTACTTGTATAGGTATCCGTTTAAAATTTTACTATCCGTATCTATTCTAAACCCGTTTAAATACCTATTTAAGTATTCATATTCGAACCCGTTTAAATATTTACTACCTGTATCTGTCCAAAAACCTGTTAAAAGTACCTTTTAAATAAATACGATACCCGTGAATTTTTAACTATCTAAATTTCGAACTTATTTAAAATATATTTTTTACTAATAATGGATACAATACCCACTATTGAAACCATTTAATATAGCGGTTAATGGGAGCAAGATGATGGCCGATGATGTTAGCCATTGCTGGCCTTTTACAGTCGGTGGTGATAAGTTTTAACAAAGAAAATAATGATTTTGTAGAAGATGTATTTTGATTTTTAGTCCCTCATTGTTTTTCAGCTTTTCATTTGGCTCCAAAACCTTTTAATTTGTTCAATTAGCTCCTAAATAATTTTGATTGGATATATAAAAATCATTGTGATTCTATCAAAATCAATCAAAATCTATAAAAAAAAAGTCTCACCAATTCCATAAAACTTTATGTGGAATTCTAGTGGAATATGTGAAAATATTAGGAAATCCTTCAATTCCATCAAACTCAATAATTCTTTTAAAATCTAACACAATCCTAATCGAATATAACCCCCTAAAATTTTTTTTTGAAAAAATTTTGTTACTTATTTTTTTTTTTGGATATAAAATAAAAATAAAATTAATTTTTGTCTACAAATTTATTTTTAGAGTTTTTTATTTTCCTTCTAATTTGAAGAGAAAATTATCGAAATTCTTTTCCCTTATATTTCTTTCTTATTTTCAAATAAAATAGTTTTTATTTATTAATACTAATTTAGTTTTTTTTCCTCCTAAATGATATTATCTGAAAATATAATTAGTTTTTTTTCCTTATAATCTGCATGATGCGCAAGGTAATATTAAAAAATGAAATAGTATTTTATAACATCATTCAAAAATAATAGAATTATATAATAAAATGATAAATTGTATCTTATTAAGATATGCTGAAAAGTTGTGATGGTAAGATATGCCTTCTCAAGTATCATACGAAGTTTTTCATAAGGTATGGAATAGCAAAAGTCATACATGATATGACCTACATAAAACAATGCATAACGCTATTAATATATTTTTCAATAGTGATAATAATTTTGAGAATTTAACTATTGAAATAAAAAATTAAGTATTTTTTATTTATTATTTATGATTTATTATAAATGATTGTTTATTTATTTGAAATATTAATGTATTACTTTTTTAGTATACTATGTTCTAAACGTATGGATGCCCTACCTTTTTTAAAAATTTTCATATCCCGTTTTCATGCAATATAACTCATGCTATATGAAACTACTCTATATACCAAGCTAATTAATCAAGATTTTTTATCACCAATAAAAAATGAAGTGTTTTTTAATTTGTTTTTATGTTATTGAAATTAGAAAATAATTTTTTATTTTGTGTTTATAATTTATTTATTTTGTGTTTATAATTTATTATAAATAATTGTTTATTTATTTAAAATATTAATGTATTACTCATTTAGTGTATAGTGTCCTAAGCGTGTGGATATTATATCTTTTTTAAAGTCATCGTATCTTGTATGTTCTTGTATGTCCTAAGCGTGTGGGTTATTTGTATTTTAATTAAATTTTTTGATTTAATTTAATGCATTATCTTGATAGGATATAACTAATATCGTGATAAAAATATTATTTAAAAATATAAAACAATCTATCTTCTTACAATTATTGTCATTACACCTTTTTTTTTTTACAACTGTGCTAAATAGTTATTGTCCTTGTCATACTTGGTAATTTAAGAGGTTTACACTTGGTTTCTATATAATGCAAACTGCTCTGCTTTTATATATTTTAATATGATATATATATATAATATTATATCTTCCATGTATATATATATATATATATATATATCTCCATGTATTGTTTTTAGCCTATCGCTAATAGTTATTAATATTTTTTGAATAAATTTTACATGATCTAATCATAAAGAATTAAGATATATTTATCTTTTTAATATCACTTAAAAATTATATTTTTTAACAAAGAAATGTTTTTTTATATATAATTTTTCAGAAAAAAATTAAAAGAAAGACTGAATTTACATTGGTATTGTGTGTTCAACCAAATTTCAACACCAAATTACTATTAATTTGTGTTATGTATACATACACGAGTTTTTCTTTTTTTCACTTACTTTGATTTCCAGCTTGCCATTTTCAGTTTCACATTCAAATGAAGAAAATTGCATAACGATTGGGAAACATTTTCATTCTTTTCACACCAACGGGGACTTTCTTCCATTTTCTGAATTTGACTATTCTACTTTAAAAAGAAAATTTTATTTGAATTTCACGATAGGAGGAGTAGAAGACTTGTCACCATCCTTAAATTTCATATTTAGAAAAATAACAGTAACTAAGAATATTTAACTCAGAGATTCCTCAAATCACATAAAACTTGCAATTTATACTTCACGAATGGATAGAACTTATTCCAAACAAAAAAATAAATTCCAAATGGATGAAATGAAATGATGAACAGAAAGAAATTATTTTCAAATAAATCCATAATGCAGGAACCAGGAAGTTAGAATGTCAAATCATGGCAATTTCTATTTTCTGAATTTCGAATCCAACAGAAAAATTAGAATTAATTAAAAGGAAAACTATATTCTATCAAATAAGGCCCCACTTTGCATTTTACAAGCACCAGATGTCCATAATATATATATATATATATATATATAATATATATATATATATATATATATAATATCCCTTATAATCAAAGTTTTCGCAAGCGCGTTTCTGTGATGCCGAGTAGCATTGCAATTGTTAGCAGTTGGGTTGATTAACTGTAGACTTTGGATATATATATATATATATATATCCCTTAATAATCAAGCGTTGAAGCGCTGTTTGATGCATAATTGAATTTGACTTAAATGTGTTATCTTTAAGACCCAGCAACTTAAATATGATTAATTACCAAGAAATTATTTTTTTCTTAAGATTTAATCATATTTACAGATACAATTTCTGATCTATGCAAGAAATCTTTGCTTCGTCCATTGCATTCAAGTCAATACTAATCATGTGTATCCGTTGGATCAACTTTCTTACATTGATCAAGATTATATGATCATCTGCAATATCTGTTGATTTTCGGTTCATAGCTTCAAATTTGATTAAACTGGATATATAGCATGCTGATGATCGGATTGTTGATCTGAAACTACTCATATTTTTACATCAAACCCCTATTGTCAGCTGTTAATTTACATCTCTCTGATCAAGAGCCAAGTACGAGTGATCATTGTGCTTCATGTTCAACTGCAATATATAAAAAATTCATTAAGATAATACGTTATCATTTTTTTATGTATAAAAAATCAGTTTAATTATGTATATGATGATAAGACAAAATGTCAAAATCAATCAGTTTGACAACCTGAGTTGTTCTTCCTACGCTTGACGGGGAAAACATGCCGGAAATCACCGTGAGAGGCCATCTGCCACTCCTCCACAAGCACACCATTATCGAAGTCAAATTGATGCAGTACTCCATTAGAGCCATCGTACAAATACCCTTCTGGAAACCCACCAAGACCACCACGGCCTGGTGGCTTGGCTTTCCGACGACCGGCACCTACAGGAACATTACGAAGAGCCCCGCCGGCTGTCCAGTACCTCTGGCAACCTTTGCAGAAGTGTCTGGGTTGGTTAACATTATAGTTGTTGAAGTAGCAAAACTTAGTCTCCATGCTTTTGCATCTAGGGCAGGGTATGATCTTGTCTGGCCTCTTATCAGGCGGCGTTGTTGGATTTTCTTTGTTTTGATCTTCTTTTACTTGTCTGGCATGTAAAGTAATTCTTGTTCCAAAGAGCTTGATACCCTCTTCTTGGTTGGCCATGAAAGAGAGAAAGAACTCTCAAATTTGATGTTAAAGGACAGAGAGGTTAATGGATTATGGGTTGATAGAGAAGGGAGGTGTTTGTATATATATATGGGCAAATATATATAAATGAAAACATACAAAAGGGCTAAAAAGTGCAGAGAAAAGAAAGGAAAATGGAAGTCCATTTGACATAGCCGCCAAGAACAACAAGGTAGGTGGCGTGGAAAAGCTGATGATTAGCTTTTTGTCCACATCATTACTCACACGTCATCCAGTTGTGGGGCTAGAAAATTTAAAAGGTAGTCTAATTGTGGGTCCCAGTACAGGTAGGACGCTTACAATGTGTTCAGTAAGAGAATAAAGAGATAAAGTTTTGTGTCTAAATGGGAATTAGTGTTGTAAATTCACATTCTAAACTACATAATTAAAAAATAAAGGGGATAAAGCTAAAACCATATATTTATATGACATTTTCCTTTTAAAAATATCTTTAATATTCTCACTATCTTAATATAATACTCATAATATTAATTGCAGATGTCTCAAATTAATTAATTATTTCTAATTTTTATTAAATAAAAAAAATTCTTTTATTAAAATATATTCCAAATAATTCATATTAATTTTTTTATTCCATTTTTTGCTAAAACATAATATTAATTTGTTAAAAAATTTTCTGTGTCAAAAGTTAAAAGTTAACGATTATTTTGGGAATAAAAGAATATATATATGTTATAATTATCCAAACAGCTACAGTGAAATTCGTTGTCAAATATAAGTTTATACGCAATAGTTAACTTTTCCTTTTGTGGCTTTAATTAAAAATCCTTTCATATTGAATTATTTTGTTATGATTTAATTTGTAAAAGACTTATTAGATACTTAATCCTGCAATTTACAATAATTTAATGAAAATTTTTCAATCGATTTGAACTTTCGAAACTCTAGAATTAGAATAAGATAATTTCTAGTGAAATATTTCATACAAATTAATATTATAAACAAAAAATTCTAATGTAATGAAGATGACAAATTAATATCTGAAAGTAATTAATGTAATATTTACTTTTATTAGTAACACCAACTAGATCTATTTTGTGAAGAAACACATGAAAATGTAACTTTTAACACGTGTCTTTCTATTAAATTGTGTCCAATCAGATCGCACCAGTGACCCAACCTGCCTCCTAGTTGGTTATTCATCAATTGCACTATAACATAACTTTATATTATAAAAAAAAAATAAAATAAAATTATATAAAAGGGTCACGAATCATATTTTTAAAATTTAATAGTATTAATTAGAAAATTTGTAATCCCTTTTGGTCAGATTAGGTAATTTGAAAGAATTTGTTGCATTTTTGGGATTAGAAAAAGTATAAATGTTGTTCTGGATAGCTTCACTTACAATGTGAAGGAAGAAATTAGATATTTAAAAATGAGATTTGTTTAATCTATTCTTTAAAAAAGGAATCTGATTAGATTAATCCTTAAACCAAAAGTAGTTTAACCCTCATTTTTGTCAATAATAGAATATATATATATAGACAAAGAAGCATTTTGGTTTCTTTTGCAAGAAAAGAGATGCACTTTTTTCTTTGGGATGCTTTACAAGCCTCTTTTCAATTAAATAATCAAAGTATTATTTATTTAAAAAAAAAAAAAAAAGGCTCACTCCAAAGTTATTTTTATTTAAAAAAAAAAAAAAAAGGGCTCACCACTATAGTGATTTGCATGGGTACTCAAACTGTTTTTTTTTTTTTTAATTAAAAAAAAAAAAAAAAAAAGGCTCACCACTATAGTGATTTGCATGGGTACTCAAACTTTTTTTTTTTTTTAATTATTTAAGATTTTGGGCAGCTCATGATCAAGCCAGACAGAAAGAGTGATAGTGAGGAACTATTATATACTAATTATCTTTTCAGTGCATGCAAGGCAAAAGTGCAGAATATAATCTATTCATCTTTGGATCTGATTTTATATTTACAAAAATTTATTCTTGGTGAGGCATATTTCGCTAAAGATGCATAGAGGTTTTTAATACAAAGAGAATTAATATTCGACTATTAGAGATATGAGAAATTAATGGTTATGTTCGTTACAACTGTTTCGATAGATTTTCTTTTTTGGAATATTATGGATTTTGGCGGTAGAATGTGATTAGTCTCATGCTCTTGAAAGAAAAAAGGAATTGCTATGAGCACTATAATGAAGTGCCCAAATCATGTTTAAAAGATATTATGCTTTAAATATTAAGATATGGATTGGAAAGGTGGAATGGAAAAAGATTAAAGAAGCATGTTGCTTGTTGTTGTGGCTCTTCATTATCAAATTGCTTTAATAAAATGAGGCAGCAAAGTCTTTGCTTTCTCCTTTATTAATATTTTATTTTATTTTGCTATTATATGCACTTTTATCTTTTTCTTTTTTCCTTTTTCTTGCCTAATCAGATCAAATTGGAAACTTTGATAGTAAAGCAACTAAAACCCAAACTAATATAAACAAAGAAAGATTATTATTATTTTTAGATGCATGCATTTTCTATGTAATATTAATTAATTTTTATTTTTTTTTTTACTTTTATTTCTGATAGTACTTGGCTGCTTAGATGGTGGGCCACTTATGTTTACATTCCCATGTGAAATGTTTTAAAAATGATTGCCACATGCCAAAAAAGATGGGCCAATCCTTGATTTACCCTCAGTATTTAGACATATAATTCAAAGTGAGAACTATTACTGCAAAGACTGTTCATTTTTAATTATTAATAATATTATTGTTATTTTAAAATGGAGATGAAGTGAAAATGCTACTGAGAACAAATCTTTTAATTAAAATATCAATTCTACATTAATACATGTCTTATGCATTTGTTTGATTCCATTTGTTTTGTGTATATATTATATGGGTGTACTTTATTTTCCTTGTCTATTATTAATTTTTTTTCTCAATTTCGTAAAAATGAAAATATAAAAATTTGATTTCTGAAAAGTTTAAAAGGAGAAAAAGCATTTATGTTTTATATCCGAAAGGAGATTAATTCATATAAAAAAGATGGACCGATACATCACAATTCCACTGAAATTAAAAAAACAATTAATTAAACTAATTTGGCTTGCTCAAGTTAAGTCATCCGGCCTGCAGCTTCTCGCAAGTTGCAATCAGTGAGTAAAGTTAATTATCATTAATTAATTAATTAATAATAAAATGCATCCTAAGAAACTCGTGGTTTAGGAATTTGATCCCATCGTTAATTAATTAAAAACGCAAATAAGCATCAAGTATTTGTCAACTAGTTATAAGTTTATTTATTAAAAAAAAAAAATGCGCTTATTCCCAATATTCCCGGTTAAGATAAAACATAACTAAGGAAATGTATATGCTTCAACATATGCCAACCATGATAGATTAATTAAACTAATGACATAGGATTGATACTTAATGACATTGGAAGATTCCAGAGAACCTGTGCTCTGCTTTCTTTCATCTTTTGCTTTTACTCCTTGATTAGAACGATTAAGATCAGGAAAGAAAAGATGATTAAAATATTACTCCAATCAGACTCATTCTCAATATCAACTTGAACTGCCATTTCATGTTAAAAGTTCAATAAAAAGATCAGTTGCCTTTGCAGAAACGAGGAAATTGTAAAACAGTAACTTTTTTTTTTTGTCCTTTTTTGTTTAGTTAAAGAAATAAAAGTTGACCTTCATTTAGAAAAGGCTTTCAACTTATGCAACCGAAAGTAGTTTCCACTTACCACTTTGCAAAATCTAATTTGGTTTTAAAGTTTTGATTTTAGTTAAAAGATAGGGAGTTAATTGGATTTAACTCATAAAACATTTATATTTAAAAAGGTGATAGGTCAAGCTTTTTATATATAAAATAAAACCAAGCAGTCCTTTGAACAACAGAGCAGAAACCATATAACGAATTCAAAATAAGTAGTGTTGGAACTATCATATAATATTCCTAGGCACCAAGCATAAATAAGTGCCTCATTACATGATTATGGATTAACTCATTGTTAGCATTTTTATCCTAACTATTTGAAAACTTAATTAATTGCCATAAAGATACTGAGCAACAAAACCCTACGGATTAATTACACAGAGAAACTGAGATTATTCACATGTATATATATATATATATATATATACGGATTAATGTACACAGAGAAACTAGAGATTATTCACCTGTATATTATATAATATATTATATATATTGTATATATAAGTAAAATTACTCACTACAAGAATTCAAAATTAACAAAAAAGGATCTTGGTCTTTTCCCAAAGAACTTGCAGATCAATAGCTTGGAAATAAAGATCAAGTGTGCACTCCAATGATGGTATGTCGATCGAATGCTGTTCTCGGCATCGTATCGTGATCTGTGCTGAGCTATGCTCTGTCATGCAGTTTTTGTAGTCTGGTCCAGTGTCAAATTTTTGATTATTTTGGGTGAAATGTTCGTAGTGAACCTTAAAAGAATTTCATACGAAATGTTGAATTAGCAAGAGGATGGATAAGGTGAATGAGAATAGGAATGATAAACAGGAAATATCTGAAAACCGTCGCGCATCTTGTTCAAAATTGCCTTTCCTCTAGAATGCAGTGATATATATATATATATATATATAATACAAATTTACTCAACTACAAGAATTCAAAATTACAAAAAGGATTTGCTTCCCAAGAACTTGCACAATACTTGAATAAAGATCAAGTGTCACTCCAAGTATCATCATCTTCTCCATCGTCACTCCCGACAGCCTGACATGTTTTCTCCAGTGTCAAATTTGATATTGTGAATAGTAACAAGAAAACAAATGAATAGCAAGAGAGAAAGAATGAGAATAAATGATAAAGAGGAAAACTGAAACCTGTCGGATTGCAATTGCTTTCTCTAGAATTGCAGTGACTTTGTCATTTGCTGCAGGAACCGATGTGAAGGTAGGCCTTGCTGTCACAGTGCGTCTCAGAGTAAATGACTGGGTTGGCAGAGTCAAAGGACGAGTTAGAATAGAAAGTAAAGGTTGCCATCAAAGAGTACAGCTATTGCTACAGAACATAAAGCTAGCTATGCACTTAGTGATTTTGTAGGTTCCACATTAAAAGATTCTCAATTGATAGCTACTTGATTTTGAAGGATCTGGCCTCCATCTCTAGTTACGGTGTTAAAAATGTAGAAGCGCAATTATCAATTGTATCAAATTAGTAGTGAGCTAGCATGGTGGTTGAAATTTTGAACTGGCTCTGAATGGAATGGAAGATACTGGACTATATTAAGATAACTGAGCAAGAGATGAATCTAAAGCAATGTTGGTAGTGTGGAAGGCAAGTAGGATAGTCCTCATCCTACAATTAGATGTACAATGAGAATGAAACAAGGTTTCATGAGAGAACTTGCAGATCAGGGATCAGAATGGTTGTAGGGTTAGCAGGGAAAGTAGTGAATCTTTCTTGGATTATTGCATTGATTTGGGAATAGCAACTGATGTCCCTTTTTTTAAAGTTCTAGACTAGAAGTCCAGTTTCACTGAATTTCTTCTTGCGTTTCGGTTATAAACAGATAATCTAATCTCAGCATTACTCTTGTTATGTAAACTAGAAAGAAACCAAAAAATAACTAGAAAAGCTCACTCACTTTTGTTCTGATTTGATGCAAAAAATCTTCCTTTTCATCCATCTCTTTGCCATTTGATGGCAGGTTAACTTCTTTCTGCACATTCAACTTCTGCCGGTCCTGCTGTTGAAAACAAAATAAATACGATGATAGAGATGACTCCCACTTTCTCCCTATTTATATGTATAAAAAATATATATATCTGAAGAGGAAACCAGTCATGTACTTATACTGAAGCTGCTATACCTTGCCATTTGGTTTAAATGCAAAGGTTTCATCTGTTTGTTGCTCATTGGATGGGGCAGGTTTATGTTGCTGAGATATTGTAGAACCTGAAATTTTTAGACCAGGCGTATGTTGCTCATTCACAACTTCAAATGCTGTGTTCGGTTTGTCTTCTGCTATGTAAGAGGCAGGTTTTGCAGCCCACCATTGCACTGGGGGAGGAGGTGGTGGTGAAGGGTTGGACTCTCTAGGATTCTGCAATTCTATGAGATTCCCTTGATCCACATCATCTTTTGATTTTCCCTGTAGTATAGGGTTCACAGCATCAAAACTGGGAAGATCTAGCAAAGAAGAGAAAGATGGATCTGCACCATTCTCAGTAAATAGACTTTTTAGTCTCGAATCCATGTGAATGCCATTGTTATCCACTGTCCCAGGCTGCAAAGAGCTTGAAACAGATTCAACAGACGATATTCTGCACAAAGCATCATATAGCTCATGGTCCTTGTTTTCAGGAGATTCCCCAGATTCCCATTGCTCAGAATCTGAATCAGAGCAGCGGCTAAGACAATCATCTGACCTATAAGGAGATGATCTACAGAAGGTATCATCGTCAGAATCAGAACCCGCTTCTTGTAAAAGAACGGCAGGCTCTGGGACCAACTGAAAAGATGGGAACATATCTCTAATACCTCCATTACTGTGGTTCCCATCAGGAAATCTAAGTTTCAATTTGGAAGCCTCAAAGCCACCAGCAGGGTGGAAAGACATTTTCATATGTTCTAGGGGTGGTGAGGAAGGAAGTGAATCTGCAATAGATTTATATCCAAACTTCTCATTGAATATTTTCTCTGGAGTTGCACGATACGCAAAGCTCTGGTGCCCATTCCTCTGCTCCACCGTGTCAGTTTTTAGTGAGGCAGCCGACTCAGGTTTCCTGGCCGAGTCAAGTGACATCGTTCTACGAAAACCATTAATAAGTAATCTATGTCCAAGTCCAAACACTTGGGATGAGTTTTCAATAATTTCCAGGCTTGTCTCAGTAGGTGTGGCTTTGATGTCTGCATCAAGTGGCAGCTCTTTTCCCGGATTCAATACACTGGTAACATTCGTTCGTCCCCCAAAAGGATGATCAAATCTATTATTACGATGAAAATCACCTGATTTTTCAACTTCGTTATCTTTATCCTCGTGCTGTGAATTGGAACGTTCAGAATTCAGAACTCTTTCCATGTTTCCAGGATCCTCATACAATTTGCCAGGTCTTTCTCTATCTCCATCGTTGGCTGGCATACAAGTGTGATTTGGAGGAACAACTACCTGTCCTTTGTTTCTTGTCATAAAATCATGACTTGGTGTACTTGCTACAGCAAAATCAGGAGGCTTGGACGGCTGAAGTCCTAATAGACCACCATTTGTCCAAAATGAAACTGAATGAACACTAGACAATTCAGCCTCTGATTCTTGAGACTCTTGTTCACTTTTGGACCATCAAGAGGATCGACACTTATTCCACAGCCAAACGATGATGGGTCACTGACAGTAGACTCTACTTTTGGACCATCAAGAGGATCGACACTTATTCCACAGCCAAACGATGATGGGTCACTGACAGTAGACTCTACTTTTGGACCATCAAGAGGATCGACACTTATTCCACAGCCAAACGATGATGGGTCACTGACAGTAGACTCTACTTTTGGACCATCAAGAGGATCGACACTTATTCCACAGCCAAACGATGATGGGTCACTGACAGTAGACTCTACTTTTGGACCATCAAGAGGATCGACACTTATTCCACAGCCAAACGATGATGGGTCACTGACAGTAGACTCTACTTTTGGACCATCAAGAGGATCGACACTTGTAGAACTTTCATTACCTGGTAACTTGTCTGAAGGAGAAGGTTCTCCAGAGACATGAGATGTATTTTCGTCAATAAAACCATTTGAGGGATCAGAGTTGGGCAAGTCACAGGCCCTTCCTTCGTCAGAACAAATATCAAAAGGAATATGAGATTCAAATTTAGATGGATAATCATCTAAAACATCATCTGTGACCCTGTTTATTTCCTCATCTATTCCTTCATTTTGAGTATTGGAGAAACATTGCTCCAGTTCATGTTTCGTTTGGCAATCAAGGTCAGTTTCAGATTCTGATTCTATGGTGTTAAGGGCATCCTCGTAATTGTCTGGCTCACTTTCAACTTCATCAAGCTCATTCCTAACAATGCTTGATTTCTGAATATTTTCATCATCAGAACCCATTTCTACTTGATCAGGATTGCTAAGGTTGGATATTTCCGCCCCTCGAATGCCTAGATCAGAATCTGTTGTAAACATCTCTGGACCTTCATTTACATCACAGTCTAGGCCCTTAGGCTCCACTATTTCTGTCTTCTCATCCCATGTATCGCAAGATGAACTAGGCGCAATTGGCTCAGGTGATGAACTGCGAGGGAAATTATCAGTAGCAATGTTGGGTCGTCCATCAGGGAAAATTGAATCAGCAATATCAATATGATGCATGAACCCTGGAGAGAATTCCTTAGATTCTTGTTCTTCAGGTTGGATGGTGGAACTTAAATGGAAAACACATTCAACATAAGCTGATCCAGTTTTTGAGTCAAAAGAATTTGAATGATCACCCAGATCAGATTTTAATGTCGTGTCAACAGTGGAGGCTGTACGAGATGGAGAAGTCCGCCCATTAACAATTGGAGTAGTAAACTGCATTCTGCAACATCAAATGTCATGCAAATGTCAATTTCATCAAACTGATCTGGAAACAGTTACTTCAACTAGATAATATACCTGCCACTCTGATTTGACATTGACGTAGATCGCAGAAAGTCAGCATTCCTATGTGATGATCTTTTTTTCTGTCCATTTTTTACATGCAATTAACAATATTAATAAGAGCAATGTTTGTATATTTAATTATACACATACCAAGATACAAGGAAAAAACTAGGCCCTCAATACAGATACAACTTAATTAAGAATGAATGCAAATTAAGAAAGTATTACTGCACATTAGCTAAGAACACTTGGAGGCAAAAATTAGTGCTGCTTGTAACAATTTTACCAGTTGAATACTCCTATAAGCAAACTAATTTATGAAAACAAACCCAAAAGCATATTGCTGTATCAGAAATGACAATTAGATAAAAACACTTCTCATGATGGTTGAAAAATTTTTAGTGAAAAAACATACCTTGTTCTTTCGATTCTTCTTTTCTTTTCGGACTTTCTCAGCATCTGGTTCCTTGAAGTTGCCCGATGCTCTTCTAAAAAAGGTTGGATCAGAGTATCTCTTCAAACAAGATCCTGGGCCACCTGCATCAAATCTGGATGGAAAAGCAAAAGGAGATAGCATCTACAATCTAATATTAAGCTTCATAATTCAGTTACATTTGCCACTCATTCAGATTAGGAAGGAGGGGAAATGGCCATACTTGTCGAGCAAATATAGACGTGGAGGATCACGGCAATCTTCATAGGAGTCCATAATAAATCGGGGTAAGTCATTGTAGATGAAATGGTTTTGTCTATTTTGAATACGTGAACGCCATTCAGAACCTGCAAGGCAGCTGCTTTTTGTAAATAGTTGAATAAACTAATAGAAATATGATTATGGCAGAATAAATTTCTAGGAAGCTACTTAAGCATTAAAAGGCGCATGGGGGTGATGGAAGCTTAAATTTGAATCAGTACTACCAATAGTCTAACAGCAACCTATACAAGCAATGGTGCTGTATCTAATTAATTTTCAAGTTGCTTTGTAAGTTAGTCTAGCCAAGGTGAGCACCCAAATAATAAAAGCATGGGAATAGATTGGTTTTATTACAAAAAAACATTTTCACTCCAAAATTGACAAGTCAAAAACTTCGGGGATGATACTTAAATGACCAAAATTAAGATTTAATTGTATAAAATATGATATGCACCAATATCAGGATGCTGTAGAATTTTCTGAACATACAGCTAACTTTCCAATACATGATATTTTGGCACTATGGAAGTACTCTGGACATATACAATCAGCTCCTAAACTCCAATAATCAAGGTTGTATTATTAATATATGTGCACCAATGATGAAAGGAAAGAAAATTATTCAACCAATGTAACTCTTTTTGAAGGTGAAAAACTATTAATTTTTGGGCACCGATCAGCTTAAATCTTGTCATTCTTGGGCAAGGTGTCATAAATATTTGACATATAAGATATCATAATAAAACAGAATGAAGCGAACAAAGCCTGAGAAACTTTATTTTATCGACACTGATTCAATACAATCACAGAGAGACAGAATAACAATGCTTAATGTGCTTCTATATCAGATTGTTAGAGCCATACCAGCTGTGTATGCAAAGTGTATATGACTTGTTTGGGCCAGTACCGCCTTCTCCAGAGAAGGCAGTGAAGCTTCAATGTTTTGCACACGAACCATCAATTTATGACTTCTAGAAGCTGTAGTCATTACTTGCTCCTGTAAGCCATGAAAAACCTCTGCTGCAAATCTATGAAGATGTGAAATATGATATGTTAGCGAAATTACTTGTTGATAGAAACACTCATTTAAAAATAAGCATTAAAAATTAAATTTTCTGTAAGCATATTGACCACTGCAGTTGTCAACCAAAAATAATTGAATCATAGAATCTCTCTTTATAGACATCAAATACAAATAGTCATCAATTAACAATTGCATTTCTTAGAAAATTAAGACTTAGCAATTATCATATATGCATCCTATGGTCAGCAGAGACACTATAGTTCTTCATAAGCAGAGTTACCAACAGGTATCTCTTTCCATAGACACACTATGCGGGTAACCATCACATGCATGGATAAAGTTATCTGGTGAGTCATGAATGAGCAATAATCCAATTATAATGCAGTCACCCTGTACCAAGACATTGAACAATAATATGAAAATATTAAACATAATTAATAACATACATGTAGTCGTTTCTTATGCTGTTATCTAGTTGGATGGCCTAATGCATAAATTTGCCCCTTGAACTTTAAAGTTTTATTCTTGTGGCACCCTAAACTTTACAGGTGAAATATTGTGTCCCTAAAGTTATGAATTTAGGTGACATTACATACTTGTGACTGATGACCTAATCACTACCAACATCCCACCATTCAATCAACAACTGCTAACTAAGCTAAGCCATGGTAATAGACACGATTGAGATACGCCTGGGCAGAATAATGGCACAATTAGAAAAATATGTTGCTAGCTCACATTTTCTTCTCAGAAATCATTTGCATAGTCAAATAAATCGGAGAAATGCATATATTAGAATTCACACTTTCTTCATTTTCTCTGTTTCACCTCTACTCCTATATAAATTACAAAGCTAAAAGTTCAATAAAAAATTTGAAAGGAGAAATGATATCATTATCTTAATAAAAGAAGGAAAAACACATTTTTCCATTCAATCACCATGAACATCAACCTATTTACTTCAAAAAATACTAGGCTGAAGCTTATTTAATCATGCAATCCAAATATCTCACTAACATTGATATTAAATTAAAACTCAACCATCAAAGTAGAGTAGAGGAGGAGTGAAATGTGAAGATGCAAAAAATAAATAAACAAACATACTCGGCGAGATCGCCTAATTGACGCAAGATCCCAACGAGACCAGAAACCGCGATACCATCTAACACAGCCTTAGGATCTTCACGATTTGCTTCTTTGTAGAGGTGAGGCTGACCCAACCCGTACTCATTTCTCACTTCAAACCTTACCAAAGGCATTTTACTTTCTGTTCTTCTCTAATAAGCTCGGTTTGCTCTTTCTTTCTCTCCAAATGAAGAAGAAGAAGAAGAAAGAGAGATATCCACTTTCACATAAAAGATATAGCAGTGAAGCAGAGCAATAAGAATATAATTGAAGGAATGAAGTGAAACAGAAATGAATGAAAGAACAATAAATGAAGAAATGATGAGAGAGAAAAGTGAGATTGAATGCGTTGTTTAGAGAGCGAAAGCAGAGTAGGTGGGGAGATTTAAGCAGCTTAACTGCCGAGAGAGAAAGAATTAGTGTTTGTTTTTAGGAGCTAAGAAACGATGAACGAACAAGAGAGAGACATTGCCAACTCTGCAAGCCATTCCTCCATTGGAAAATCATTGTTCGAACAGTGTCAAGCTCTACTGAGTGACCTTTTTGCCCTTCCTGTTTGGTTCTAATGACTTTGGCTGTCCTTGAAAACGGAAAGCGAAGAGAGTAGTTGGCAGGAAGGGGACGGACAACGTGGCTTCCATGAATTCTTTAGATTTTCCTTCGGTTTTTCACAGGGGTTGCTTTGGTTAAAATTGTAATTGTAATGGTTAGGACTTAGGAGGATTAATTATTTATTTAAATTTATTTTATTTTTCAGTTTTTCTATCACTTTCAGGCTTAATTATCAAAATCAATAAAATCAGTGCCATGGAAAAATATTTTTCTTAAAAAGAAAAAAAAAAGGAACAACATGTGGAAACTGGAAAGTGGGCGAACGAGATTTATTGTTATGGGGCGAAAGTGATATTTCTGGAATTTAATTTAATGTGGGAATTGACATAAGATTTAAAAACAGGAGATTTATTGGTCTTTAATTCATAAATGATGATGCTAATTGCTCTTGCTAATCCAGATTACTTACCATTTTGATATAGCTCTTAATTAACTAATGCGCTTATTTTCAGTAATCCATTCCATATTTGTGGATATGTTAGGGTTTGATTCACGTATTAATTAAAATATAGTCATAAATAATCAATGGACCGTTCAATTAATAAGTAGAGTTTGAACTAATACCAATATAAGCTTAAAAACACGTATTCAATTTTTGAAAAACAAATGTATTTAACAGACCAGCCAAAACTCTTCACACTCTAAAACTTAAATGGGAGAATTACAAATAAAATAATCAGAGTGGTCAACGTCTTTCAAAAAAAAAAAAAAAAAAAATACAATCAGAGTGGAGAGATCTGTTGCAACCCGTCCTTTTCATAAAAAATAAAAAAAAAAAAAAATTATCTGGATTAAAACGAACACCAGGTAAAACATTATCGCCCTATATACCAAAAGGCAATCGTATGTCGAGTGGTAACTTTCTACTTTCGGAGATAGGAAATCTAATGCTTGTCTTTTTTTTTTTTTTTTTTTTTTTTTTTGAACAGGTAGCGAAATAGAGGCTTTTGGAGTAGATATATGCTCTATACATTAATAATAATATATATGGTAACATCAAATTTTTTTTTTTTTTTTTTTTTTTTTTTTTTAAAGGAGGAAACTAAGCTTGGAGTGATATGCTATAATTAATAAATAATATATGGTAACATCATATTATTATTTTAAAAAATAATAGTCACAAAGTTTAATTTTTGAATTACAATTGAGCATCAAAATTAAAATAATCCGTGTTTTCCTGAATTTATATAATTTTTTTTAATGTGACTTTAAAAAGATATATATTATAATCTTGATTTACAAATATAAAATTTTATTATTTCGAAGTCTTTTTATAAAATTGATCAAGGATTTCCTTATTATTTTTATTATTATTATTATTATTCTAAAATAACAATTAAATTAAAATATAAAACCAATGTTTAAATAAAGGAAGGTTTAACTAACCCAATTTGGCAGATGCAATGAGTTGACCTAAAACGATGACCTACTTCGACAGAAGGCAATAAGTCATTGTCAATCGTCAACAGAAACTTGGAATCACTATATAGTAAGTTGTTGTCATTTATTTTCAAAAGTCGAAACAAAAACAACCTAAGATGGTTTACTTCGTATACAAATAATTTATTTGTAGAATTAAATTAATTTAAATTTCTTTTTTGAGTGTTATAAAATAACCAAGCCAGAACTTTAATAATTAATCAATAATAGAATAACAATAAGTTGAGCAAGTTTCTGTCACTTGTCAGTCACTGGAGTTGACTCGTGGGTTTATGTGAGATTTGGTGAAGCTTTGACTTAGATTAGCCGTCCAGATTAGAATCTTAGTTAGCTTTCACTCTACCTCAGGACCAAGGGTTTAGCATAAGTTTCAATTATCTTAAAAAAAAAAAAAAAAAATTAAGTGAGCATTATTGAGTTGCGATATATAGTTATGTGTATTTTTTAAAGATTTCATTAGGATTTGCACATTAAATTTTAATAATGAATCCAGTAGAGTGGATCCAAGCCCCTATATGATAATAGAAAATACCTAATTTGTTAGGCATTAATTAACTAATTGTCTTATTTGGTTTTATTATAAGCAGTTGTTGGGATTGGGGATTTGGAGATCTTTGGTTGATGCACAAAAAACAGGACTTGGACCAACAATGAATTAGTAATTTTTTTTTTTTATTCTATTTCCGACTAAGTTAATTAATAATCAATTTGATGGAAACTTTAGAACCAAAAAAACTCATTTTTGAGGTGACTTTTAATCATTTGATGTTAATGGGCACCAAAATAAATTATTTTTAGGTCAATTTTTGAGAAAAAAAAATTGAATTATGGGAATAAATTTTGGGGTAATAGCATGACAGACCAATTATATTATCGAATGAAAATACAAAAAAAAAAAAAAAAAAAAAAGAATTATGGGAATAAATTTGGGGTAATAGCATGAAGACCAATTATAATTATCGAAAGAAAAAAAAAAAAAAAAAAAAAAAAATGGTGCCATTATGCATTCTGTACGTCTGCTTTTTCATTATTGAAAGGCTAATCAGTAATTAGTTTCTCACACCACTAGTAAAATAATACTATATGGCAAACCTACTACATGATTAGATCCAAACTCTAAAATTTTTTATATTTATAATTATGCATCTCTTTATTCCCAATTAGCAGGCCAGACCTCCCTAAAGTTATATCATTATCAGTTGAAAAACTTAGCAGCTATATAATTAATAATGAATCTTAAGATAAATTGGTTCAATATTTTTCTCTTTTGAGTGAAATCGAGAATTACATTTTTATGGATAAAATAAATATTCTTACGTTAAGAACATTTAATTTATCTATTAATGGATAAATTCATCGTAAAATAAGTAAATACTCGTTGAAAGCCCTTTACTCGTTTATTAAAAAAGCAGGGAAAGTTATATACAACCTTTTCATTTCAATTTTACGAGGCAAAAAAGGAAATAAAAAGCAAGGTAAGTTAAGATATGATAATAATAATGTAGGAGCGGGGACAAAACTTCAATGGTGACAGATGAAGAACAGGAGGAAGGCTCCCATAACGAAAATAACAAACCGTCTTAAAAATAAATAAAAAAGAAGGATATGAGTAGATAATAAACGTACCCCACTCCTTGTATCTGGACTGCTAAGGAGGGCTGGGAAGCATTATTTGTTTTTTTTTTTTTTTTTTTTTTTTTTTTTTTTTTAGAAATTTTTTTTTTTTTTTTTTTTGAAAATATTATTATTATTATTATTATTATCAATAAGAAAGTAGGGTAAGCCTTAGCTGATGCCTCCTCACTCACAAACATTGATATCTCAAGTACCCTGTGCGTGCTAGTTTCATCCCAAATCCAATTACATCATTTATTCAAAGCCCACTGCATTTATCATTCATGTGTCTTACATGTATAGAGCGGTATATATGCATTTTTATTTTGAATAATAATTTCCTAAAAATGTATATTATAAATAATAAAGTCCTTTGAATATTGCTGTTCATGTAGAGAGAGCAAACCTTTCAAAATTGACGGACTAACCTCGTTGCCTCTTACTTTAATGGGCCTGGCCTTGTATAGTCAAGAACAAAGTCTCTTCCTCCCTTCCATTTCACATGGTCCGTTAGCCTGGCCCATTTTCAAATTTGGCTTGGGACCATCTCGGATTTGGGTTATTGGGCCAAGCACCGATCACAACAAGAGACAATACTCTGAGTCTGAGGCTCGGGCCTCTTGCTCCTCTTTTCGTTTTCCTGTCTGTCTATTTTGTTCTTTATGTGATTTGTATACTTCTCTTTTCTTAGACACTTCATGGGGAGAATAATGTGCTGAAGGTTGCTTTTTTTTTTCTTTTTTCTTTTTTCATATCATATCATACAGTAAAATAATATGATTCCTAATATTAGCCCAAATGGTAGTGAATCTCTGACTTTAAAATATTTTTGAAATAAAAGTATAATTAAAATTTGTGGTCTTGAGGAAAAAAAAATAAAAAAAAAATAATATAATAGATATTCAACTGAACATTCATTTCAAATGACTATTTATCAAAATAAGAAATAGTCCGTACACTAGGAAAGAAAATTAAGAAAAACTACCACATATTTCAACTCCATTGGACGGAAATGACCGTCCAATCTTCTTAGGAAAAAAATATATTTAATCAAATCCCACGCGATAAAAATAAAAATATTAATAGTGTTAATTAAAGTGATAAGCAAATCAAATCTATAAAATTTTTGAGAAGTACAATTTATTGAAATGGTAAAAATCTTTACACTTTCCGTCTAAAAGAGATCATACATCCTGATTGTAAAAAAAAAAAAACAAAAAAAAAGATCGGTGATGGAGTTTGCATGTGTTAAGAATTGATTTCCCCCCACTTGGCCTCATGCATTAATAGCTAACACATTAACAACCCTATGTAGTAGTCTAAATTGAATGTGCACGAATCATGATATTGATAGTGTAAACTGACTTTCTTTGGAAAAAAGAAAGAAAAGACAATTGATAAAAGAGAAAAGAGTGAGTGACTGATACACTTTAACTTCTCCATCCAATGTTTCTAAAGAAAAAACAATTCTGAATATATACTAAGAAAAAAAACAATTCTGAATATATATATATATTATAATATATATGATATATACTATAATGTATTAAATTGCAAAGAAAATTTCAAACTCAAATTGTACTAAATTAAATTGATGTGTGCGTACTAGTGGCCTCATCTATATAATCTTTATATATATATGTATTAAATTGCAAAGAAAATTTCAAACTCAAATTTGACTAAATTAAATTTGATTTGTGCGTACTAGTGGCCTATCTATATAATCTCATTTGATAGATAGGGAAACCTAAAATTAATCACAATACTCCAAAGAATTTCACATGCTATCAACTGTGATTACATTAAGAATTATGCTTGATTAGATTGCCAAATTACAATCCCTTTGTGTGTGTATATATAGATGTGATCCCAATTTATTCAAACATCACATGCATAAACAGTTTTGATGGTACAATTACAACTGGCATAATTTAGGATTAGGAAGCAATATGGAGTGATTT